GCAGGAAGAAGTACGTTGTGAGCCCCGACAATATCATTGGATAATACACAACGTCTTTATCCTCCAATCACCTTCTTCTTTTCCCAATATGAAGAATCGAGGTCCTTCCATCGCAAACTTTAGCCAAGATGTTTAATCATAAGGCAACATCACGTCCAAGACACATGTTTACATAGAAGGGATTGTCGAGGACAGAAATATAAACGGCCCTTTGGCACAGCCTCAAACTAAGGAAATAACCATCTCACCTATACTATTCGTATATGCTGGCGCAGGCGAAGACCTTGGTAACTGCCTAAAGAGGCAAGAGAAGCATACTATGTACGCATATGCCGTCCGACCTCAGCAGCCCACAGCTTGGCACTCATCAATGCGCTCATCAGTGTTACTCGGATCCAGATCAGATGTATGGATTACGATTAGCTATGTGTCCAAGCAAGGCTAGTTGCAACTACACAGCGTAAGTTGGATGTCGTTGAAAGGTCTTGTCAGAGCCTCAATCTCCACTAGTTTCCTGCTAGACGGTTTAAACCCACCAGAATGGCAAGTCACAAGGTCACAAGGCAAACTTCAAGCTCGGAAAATCCGGCTCACTACCCGGCCTGGGATCTAAATCTGGTGAGTATCGTGGCTCCCTCGCTTCATTGTACCCACCCATATGCATGTTCGCGCTGCCAGCAAATCGGCTGCCAAGCGTAAAAAATCAAACATCGTTGTCCTGCAAGTTCACCTAGTTTACCCCCTAGGGACTATCGTGTGTAACGATGAGACGACTATTGGACCATAATATGCAAAGTTTGTCGTTAAATCTACGCTTAGACCAACTAGTTTAGTTGGGATTTAAAAGGGTTCTTCAAACTGCGAAATACACACTCGGTTAGATGTGGTATATAGATACGAATCCGTACGTAAGTGTGTTTTACCCCAACCTGCCTTAAGTAGGTAGCCAAGGTCTGAGAAATCGTAAGGTAGCAAAATCAGTAATGCTTGTATGATCTAATATCACAGCTACTCTAATTAGCGCTCTCTAAAACAGGAAATATACTGTACAGCCACATGTGAATTGTAGAAATAATGCATTGGAGTTCTATTCACAATTGGAGTTCTCCCTTAGAATGAAGATATGGCGATACTATAATCCCCGAGGAATATCTCTGCGCGACATATTATTTACAGATTGACCTTGGCAAATACTATTTACATCTTCTATCAGGAAGGTTTGTAATCCTTAAGTGAGCAGGAGTTATTGGAATGACATGCAATAAGCCCGGGAGCTCTTAAGTCACTCACTGGCTACCGACATCACAGCTGACAGAATGACAAAATGTTGTGCTACCGGCAGTCTAGTGGTATTATATATCAAATGCATAGAGATCTGTAATAAGATGGAATGTCCGAAACACCGTATACAATAAGCCAACTGCGGCTTTAGGTGTAAACTCCAACTTCTTGTCCGCCAGTGCTGAGATCAGCTACTCGGTAGTCAACACCGCTTGCAAACCGTACACCGTTCGGAAGGAGATGGGGGACTGTTCTCACAAATATCTCATTGTAAAGAATTAGATGCTACTCACCGACTCTTATTCTATTACCGCATTAGAAGCGTACTGCAGGTCATCATTACTACCAGCGGTCATCCGTTTGTCGTTGACGTAGCCGCAGGCTTCCAGACGCGCCACTAGCGGCTAGGTACCCTAACCTCTACGATGATTCTAGATCGGGGTGAGACGGCACGGAAAGGACACACTAATTTACCCTAGTTGGCATTCTTTGGAAGAAATGTGTTTCTAGAACGATGTGACAGATTCTGCTGTGTTACTCGTAGCTGCATGGCCCCTTTCCGGAAAGTATTGTCGGGCCACATAACCGCCACAGAAGGGTTCAATGAACCACAATATTCACTAGCAGGTATCCAGTTACTCACTCGTAAATCTAGCTCGTAGGGTTGTTTCGCAGCTTTCCATACGCTACCCACTGGCGATCTGTGGACTGCTTCCGGAAACCCTCTTGGGGGTATTATATCGGAATTCACGGCAAAAACGTACCATGGGATGTTTGTTAATCGTTCAGCTCGAGTGACGGAACCAACTTCGAGCATAGATCGATGCTAATAGTAAGCCACGAATATCCGCTACGACTATAGCGTACGTTACGAGAGGTTAGTGGTCGGTTATGGCCCAACGAGTGCTCCAGAAAACTTCCGCTGCACTACGAGAACAGCGACGCCCATGACCTGGGCTCGGGCTAGGCCCAATCCCGACCCGCTCTTAAAGTATCTGTCCTAATCCTCGTGCAAAGTGCGGTAACACTAGGATACCGACAACCCCGAGCCTCTCACGATAGTCCGGCAGGTAAGGATAAGTTGGTGGTTGAGGGAAGACTACGGATTACTCTCCGCGGCGTGATATTTTGCTACGATTAACGCCATATAATCTCGCTAAAGGCGGCGACCGGAATACGAATGGCATGTTTTAACCTCGTTAGGGATGGTAGATATGCCATCTGCCGGCGGGGGGGCTTATATTGATTCTCGATGACACCCCACGACACAGTTCTGGGCGAAATCTCGAGGTCAATCCTCATCAAAGATCGGGGAATTTAGTACCAAGAACCCCAATCGTGGGTACTCATATTTCATCTTCGAAAATTTGACTTGTCGGGAGCAATGGGTTGAATACCCAAGGTAATGTCTAGAACAGTCAGGCTACCCCTTTTCTAGAAGGGTAACACGACGAACACAAATGCTGGGCGTAACACAGACACATTCGGTTATGCCTAAATACCATCTCGACTATCCGAGTCACACTTGTGAAACGAGATGTGTTACCAGCGAATAGATGGCAATGCTTATGGGCAAGAGTAGATTGGCATCACTACGGAAGACCTACAGTAGCCCCTTAGTGGGGATATCTTAGTGTCTCCCCATCGTTGATTAGAACACTTTTGTTGCGTTAATTAAACCTCTATCATACCTATTCACACGGACCTTAACTTCTACTAACTCAGAAGCGATATGAAAAGGTAACACGGCCAAGACAAGCCTCGAGATGCTAACTCCCGACGGAAGGTGTGATTCCCTTCCTGATGCCTAGCCAGGTCGATCCATCACATATATCTACTCATATCGAAATGAATATGAGCTCTAAAGCCCCAGAATGAGTACCACCCCAAGTTAGCCAGCAGTCGGGACCGCACGAGCTCGAATCACGAGCACCCCTTACCTACACGATCAAGTATACGACATATATGTGTGTAAGTATGTATGCGTACACTAAGCACAGGCAATATAGCTACGCTGGACTGCTCTAGTTCGCATATACCTTCTCTCATTAACTATGTTCGTGACTCCAAGTTGTTCAATGCTCCAGAGACATTCACTTCTGTGTGGCAATGTCCCTTGGGTAGCTTTAGACGACGATGTTTTCATCTCCGAGGACATTCAACTGCTGTAATATCCGAATTCCAAATATCGACGATATTCAATAGCGTCAACATTGACATTTTGCCGCATCATGTCATTGAAGAACCAACATCGAAGGTGATAGGTAGTACTGTGGTAACCCAATTGCAACCCCTATTATCCCTTACCATGAGTTGGGTACTCTGGGTTCATCCCATCACCCAGTAATCAAAACAATCTAAATCCTTACTCAAATAGGGCCACTCAAGCGAAGTGAATGTTCACAGAAAAGTAAGATACGAATGAGATATAGATGTTATGTTACTGTACATTGTCTTGAGTCTACTCGTGGTCAACTGAGAACACTACTGAGATTTGGCACCAGGGGAGAAGGGCCAAATCTCACTAAAGACTCACACAGTGCCATTCACAAAACATCGGAAAGATTGCACATGATTAAAGGGGGCAATTCATAGATAATCATATATGGATCTTGATCTCTAGGCTACATTTACAGTATGACCTTAGCTCTGGCTCATTTTCCAGCTGGAAGTTTATCACCTCTATGAGATTGTACCTCCATTCCGCATGACTAGAGACTCCAGACACAGCTTAAATTCATCATGGACCTGTTGAAGTCTCAAAACATTAGCATACAAGTAATTCAATAGATAAGTCTACGAGTTGAAGTCCTTGTCACGTCAGCAAGGATATTTATAGACTTCGTATCTGTCTACAAGTCAGTCTACATGGAGGGCTATACCCTATCTAAGAACGTCGCCGCTAGTTAGATATATGTCCAAGCTACGCCATCATGATGCCAACGAACGGCTATAGACGTAGTTCAATATACCGTAGCATATGGCCCGATAATCCGGATCAAACGCCGAATCATGCTCACGTGGCAGATCTTCAACGCGAGCCGGAACTCAATCGGAGAGCCGCGTACTTCGGATCAGACTAGATAGCTAGGGCTGACGAGGTCCGGGTAAACTGAGTATAGTGACACTATCGCCTATCTCAACCGGCCGGGACAGTGTCGTCATCACAGGGTATAAGTATACGAAGGGGGTATAGAATAACTCGTCAGCTCCTCCAGGCTCCAGCTATTCGGGTTCCGACAGCCAATCAAGAGTATAGCGATATATTGAATTCGCAATTCGACCCATGGGACTACGTATAAGTTGAAAGCCAGCAGCTGACGTATCACTATGTCCTTGGGAGCGGGGGATCTCACGTAGGACTTTTGAAGGGCAGGGGGGAGGAAGAAGCATAGCAGCGGGGTATTTGCTAGTAGTATGTGGTATTGCGGTATGCGGCACGGCGTGGTATTATCAACTCTTCTATATTTTATTAGTACTGCCACAATTTTTCCAGCCAATCAGATCCTTAGAATCGCCCCGCAGTTGGCGACTTTTTCCTTTGCCATCCTGTCGCATAAGGTCTGAAACATATGCAAATAGGATAGAAAGGTCATGCAAAACGCGCTCTATCCAACGATACTAATTATTAGAATTTTTATACAATACTATAGTAGGTCAATTGATTTTACAAAAACTTCATCGGACGTGCGCTGAGGTGTGGCTAGCCAATCAGAAAGGCCAGACTTATATGTGGCGTAAAAGGCACTCTTGAAGCTAGGCACTCCCCCGTAAGCGCCTGCGCGAACGGGTAACGCAGCTAGTACCTGGATATACAGTCTGAGTTAGACTACCTTAAACAAACCAATAGCACAACTCCAATATCAACGCTTCTTCTATCCAGCTTCCCTTTTCGCAACGTCCTGCTGCAACTACGTCCTCGATAACCCTAGAATATGGCTTCACCGCTCCGCCTTACGGCTCAATAGAGCACGTCTATACGGCGTAACGTGCGTAGACCGCAGATAGGGCTTACGCAGCCTTCTTGACTACAATTGGGCTAGAGGTACGTTGCTAGTAGCGATCGGAGTCTATCCTAGGTAAGTGAGGTACCGAGGATCGCATATAGTATAGTCTCAACAATTATCATGGTGTTAGTCACAGCCTTACCGTGTCGTAATCAAAACCACCACGTTCTGTGATATTCCCTAACATCACCCCACGCGAGATGGAATCACTTTACATCTTATTCTAGAGAAAATAAACCAATTCTATCATTATTCTCTATAATTATCCACTAACCTAGCTTCTTACGTCCTACTTTTACTGGTGCGGTAAGACACAAACCAGCGTTTCGAGTGTAGCAGAACAGCTTGGCGATAGTTTCAATCTCCGCCAAGACTGTTTCAACGAACCGAAGAAACTATGCCTTACGCCGATAACTTGTATTCTATGGGCGATGAATCAGATGGCGAGGACTACGCAGATCAATTATCGCCTTCGGACGGTTACTTCGCCTCATCATCCTCGTCCCATGCCGTCCCAAACGTACCAAACGTCTTAATCCCCGACCCTACGCTCCAGCAGACATCCGAGTCTGGCGCTGAATCAAAAGCGAGAGAGGCAGAGGAAGAAATGTCCTCGCCAAATACTCGGAGAAGACAAGACTATTATCACAACTACAACCATACTACTACAAGATTAGGCACTACCGAACAACCCAGTCAGTCGGAGCAACACGCTACTAGTTCGACCACACCACGTCGACAGCAATCCAATTCCGCGTTTACGCATACGTACTCTCCCTCGTCATCATCATATACCCCTCTCAGAACTCTCAGAACCTATCCAACACGAGGGCGGACTCCTTCCGTATATTCGGACGCTCCACCGGCGTATTCACCATCGCCAATCTCCCCCCTCTCGTCCACCAGCCAACAACCCCAATCTAGAAGCTACAACACATTTACCCCTACCATGGGTGCGCAGGAAACCATCGAGAACGAGCGGCTGCTAGCCAGAGGTCCCGAGAGCATCGGCCAACCAATCGACGAAGAACTTGGTAACACACCGCACTGGACTCGACGAGTCAGGAGACGGCTGCCTACGTGGCTCGGTTGGAGGACCCTGGTGCTTGGCCTGATTGTACTGGTTGTCTCGATCGGATTTCTAGCAAGTTCTTTGCGCATTATAAAAGAAGATGATCATGTAAGCCGGACCATCTAACTTCACCTTTTTCTTGGCATCGGTCGGAACCTGTCGCTAATATGGTTACGCAGAGGAAAACTATTGGGGCGCAGCCCGAAGAAGGATCACCGCCCGAGTCCGTAAAGGAACCCGTGGCTGGACCCGGACCCGATGCGCCTGGGGTCGCCGGCCCTTTTCCGCCAACGTATTGCGATAACGCAGTGTACCGCTTCGAGGATCAGATCTTAGGCCTCAACTTTGATAGGAACCACAATATTACTTTCATAGAGGACCAGCACGCACACTCCGGAAACACCCAGGTGCGCGTTGCCGGCCAAGTCAATGTACGAAGGCTCGATGCCGGAGGTAGTCCGCGCTTGATACTGGAGATCGCCACCAACGACAAGGGTGTCCTACTCGACGTCTTCGTGGACGAAGAAGCCCAAGCCTTGAAGGTGAGCGTGCCTAAGAAGTACAACTCCCTAAACCCGAACACCTGGCCTTGTATCGAAATGCGAGCGACAATCTGGGTGCCCGAAAACGCCGAGATAGGAGTGTTGTCACTGGGCTCAGTCCATCTTGATATGCTATTTTTGGACGACCTATCTCTCCACGTGGCGGGTTACACTAGGGTCTCTTCGATCGTAGGAGATATCACGTCCGGTTCGGACCACCCTACCTTGTACAACAACACTGGCTTTATGCTGTCTTCTCCGGAGTACACTTTCATCCCTGCCAAAGATTCGTACGTGCTCGACTCTCGTATTATTGAGATATCGACCACGTCGGGTAAGATCGAAGGCAACTGGCCTCTTTACGATATGCTAGGGTTGCACACGACCTCCGGCCACATCACAGTGTCGATCACGCCCAAGGAAGAACTCGAAACGGACCCGAAGGCTGCTGTGTTGTCCTTGAGCTCGATATCCGGCACTGTCTATGCCACAGAGCCGGTGCACTTGAGAGGACAAATCCCGCTTCGCGACTATCTTGTAGATATCAAGTCGACTTCTGGAGGTATCCATGGTGCCTTCGCATTTGGTGCTGGCATCGAACTCAAGAGTACTGCTAGCGACATCGCTCTTGATTTACTTCCCGTGATGAACGAAGACAGGGTGTCGCCGGATCAACCCGCTCAACTGGAGACAGCAACGACGAGCGGTACTACAGCCATCCGCGTGCTCGAGCCGGTTTGGTACGGAGACAGGGGACTGGTTAGCGGCAGGCCACTTAACTGCCTGCAAGCGCTTCACAAGTCCACTAGCGGAGACATCGGACTACGGTATCCTCAGGCCTGGGAGGGATACTTACGCGCCGAGACGACGAGTGGCAGACTAAAGGTCAAGGGAAGAGACGTCAAGATTATCAGGTCTGTCGGAGGTTGGCCAGGATCTAAGCTGGAAGCTCAGAAGGGCGCAGGTGGTCCCGGTTCGACGGTTCAGGTCCACGCTCTTATGGGTAATATGGACACCGTCATTGGTAGGGGGTAAGGAACGAATGAGCGTATGAGTATATTGCGTCTAGGAAGAGGGAGTTGAATGGATTATGAATTGAGGCATTCTGTCTGGCTTTACGTGGGAGGTGGGGATACCCTCGCATTCGTTAAATACCTTGTGGCTATGTTTGGAATGGGTAAACGGCGTTATGGTTTTCGAGCATAGGTTCGGTGCTTACATAGGTTAGTATTTTTAACGGTAAATACGAATATAATATCTCTGATTATACTATATTATTGTCTTTTGGCTCACCTTCCGTATTAATTCTTCTTGGTAAGCTACAAGGTTGGTCTGGCTTGGGAAGAGCACTTGCCAATATCTGTATCTAAAATAGCATATAGTAGGAACCTGCGAGGCTTCCATAACTTGTCTATACTTTCTTAAGTCAAGAGGCAAGTGTAATTGTATCATATGTAAGGTATCTAAAGTAGTCCCCCTTATGGGTTCTATTTTTCCAACCATCCCAACTTTTACGAACTACCTATTTCGCTTATAGGAAAAGTCATCATTCTATAAAGTATAATTCTTCCCAGTCAGTCGTTAGATATAAAAAAAGGAATGTTAGCATACTCATATTAATATCCAATCCCAACGATTTTACCAACACACTACTCGCTTTTAATTGAACACAGCACGATGTGCCGGTTATACGGAACCCGTACACTTTGCCTAACGTGCGGAAACGTTACGGCGAGCAATTATAGGGTCGAGTATTGCTTCACGACTGTCTTCTGTGAAGTAGAGTGCTTCCTCACCAGGTCGGAATCGTACCAATGCTCCTTTTGTACTACGGGACTAAATCCTCCACCATGGAGTGGCGTACAAGACTCATCGACGGAAGAAATCGACTTAGACGAGAGGACCTACACTATCACGACAGGGTTGGATACGGCCCAGCCAACACCTACAAGATTTTACCTTTCAGTAGAGGCCATGTATCGTGTACGGCTCCGGATTCAACAATTGACTTCAGAAAACGAGGTGGAAAGGGCATCCCGCCCACGCGTACGTCCACCAGGCAGGCTCAGGAGTCGTAGAGAAAACCACGGTTATAATACATCGACAAACCAAGTAGTTTCACATCCACGGCGTGACGTCCGGCGTAACACGAGGCTTAGATCTCTCAGGCCCCTAAGAAGCACTGTTAGGACCGGTATAGGGGAATCAGAGTCCGAACGTATCGCGACTGGAACGCGGGATCGCCGAGTGGGTAGTCAAGGTAGAGGGAATGCCTCCCGTATACCTGAAAGGAGAATGGTTCATATCGAAAACATCGCGGAAGACCAAGCGAACATGCAAGAAAGCGAAGACACAAGGCACGGTCAACATAATGATAGGGACTCACACGCCGGTCGGGATATGGCTCATCCGGACGGTATGAATCAAGAACTTGGTATTCACCTGCCTCACGTAAGGTCTCAACATCCGCGTCCATCTGATAATACGGAGGCTCGCCGAAGGGGTCGCCATTTTGATTCTTCGACGCCCAGAAAGCTAAGAGGATCCCGGGACCCCCGGTGATGATAGAAGTGCCCAGAACTAGAATCTCGATTGCAACCCTGGGCTAGGAGTTGACGGTGTAATACGTTATGGTGTAAATAGGGGCAACGATATTTGGAGGGGTGTCAAGGATAAAATGGTCGGCCATGGAATCGGTACTGTCGTTATATGGTGTTCACCAGTATATACTGGGATAGCGTGGTCGGTGGTTCAGGGTATTGCTTTGAAGCATGTTCTAGTATATGGTTCAGTCGTTATGTTGTGTACCTTCACAGCGTCTAGGTAGGTACCTAGTCATATAGATCTTCTATAGGATCAAAAGGTATGATACGGAAACTTTTGAATGACTCTAGGCTCCAACGTAACAAGTTTTTCAAATATGTATGATTATAAGTAACGAGCAAAGCATAAAAAATGTAATTCTTATTGCAAGTATCCCATAGGAAGGGAAAGGGGGAGGGATTCGTGAGATGGGATGAGAGCAATCAGCAATGAAGAACTCCAAAAGAATCTTATCATAACTGCCTATACTACCTAGTCACTAGCGGGAATATGAATTGTTACTTTCTAGTATAAAATAGAACCCTCACAGCGTGATATCGGGTAACGGATACAACCAATCTTGACCACAAGCGGCTTCACATTAGAGCAAACAATTCACGAACAACCTCGCATGATAGTCACTACCTCGTGGTCTCAAGTAACTGTTTGTATGGCTTGTCCGGTTTAAGACATCTAATATTAGAGCATCAAAGGAGCAATACCTTTGTGATACTACCATCAATAGCTTTCTATCTCATCTCTTTATATACGACGCTTCGCCCTTTCACTGCAGAGCGCTGTAGTACAAAAATGCCTAGAATAGCCAACTCGCCCTCTAGACAACGTGGAAAAGTCTTTGTACTCTACTTGGGGGACTTTCCTTATCCCATTCACTGTGCATTGCGCACAATGGGTACCATCTGGTTACAATGATGACGAAGTAGACGACGCGACCAACTCAAGAGACTTGCCAAAATTTTGTGAGTTGCGCACACAAATCGCATTCAACTCACGTCGCCGCCTTCACCATTTCGCCTACAGTACAGTTTTCCACTGACACAAATCGGCACCTATTGCCTTATTTAAATTATTCGTTTCGCCGATGCCATCCAAACAGTTTAGGCAACCAAACCCCCTCTACTTCCGACCGCGTACTCGTCCATCGCATCGTCGACATCTCGTAATATTTCCTGCAGTCAAGCGTCGTACCACTACCGCAAGTCATCTCCTGCACTTGAGTTACACCTAGGGACCATGTGCATCGAGATCTGGAACACCTTCCGGGGATGCAACCACCGATTATACCAGAACACATCCCCCTGCCACGTCGCCAGGAGATGCGGTCCCAAAGACGACATGGTTCTGGACAAGACCAAGTTCCTGCCAGATAAACAACCCAAGCTGCCTCCTGGGATGCTGCAATGCCAGCGCCGCGTCGCTCTGAGACCAAAAGATACCCCATGCCCGGAGTGTGCGAGAGTCCAATGGCGGGCTACTGCCGCCAACGGCAAGGCCACCACAACCAGTCTTGCGGGAGGGACTCCGTCCTCGTCACTAGGTAAGAGTGCTCAGGTCCTCGAGACCATAGTAGAGCACGTGGATGGGGCATTCGGATAAAGACAAAAACTTACACTGGGGATAGAAGAACAAAGGCTGGCCAGCCCATCGCCAGATGAGAAAGCTGCCGAGAGAGTGCGAGACTCGCTGATGCTCCTGGAGCAGTTCCGGAAGCAATATTGAAGAATTCCGCGCTCTGGATTCTGGGATAACACCATTATTCATTAGTTCTGGGAAGGTATTAGTTAAGGATAGACGGATCAAGCTCGGGCGACTATGGAGTAGGAGGCGCATTTGCTGTTCTCTTGGCCAAACCTTGGCTTCCATTCCCCGTGTATATGTGCAAAAGCACTACCACACCGTAGGGAGCTAGCTAGCTCTACGTCTGGAAATATATTATTAATAACCAAGAAATATCGGTGTGAAGTTAGAATTTACTGTGCAGATATTGACTAGCTCGAGTGTTTTGTTTTAATACAGAAGTGTGTTCGTCTAGGAAGGGTTCACGATAAAAGGGGGCTAATAAATAAATTAGGTCGATGACATGGCCATTGGTAATTCATATATGGATATATGGCCTAACAGCTCGTAGGCATATCCTTAGGCATATCTATCGAATGGATGGATTGGTATACGGTCTGTAACTTGTCGTCCGAAGTTGGAGGGTTACGTAGTTCTAGTTTGCGGTTTGCGCATCTCGCGCATCTTACAAACGCAGGGGGTGATGCAATAGAGCAGAAAAGGTACCATAGTGGGAAGATGTGGGTACGAGAAATCGATTCTGAGAGGTTGAACATCTTAAATTGGTTCGATAAAAGAGTGGGACTGGAAGTGGGGTTTCCGAATATGTAGGTCTAACTGCGCTTGCTGCGTGGTGATCGCGTGGGACGGGGTCCCATGGCTGAGTTACAGCACAGTAGCGCCTGAATCTTGGGGAAGCACCAATGCTAAATACAGGATACTTTAGCGTACCTACATACATCCCATGTCCCATGTAGGTATGTGCAATATCCAAGCCAATATCTTAAGCTATTTTCCCCAGTTCCCCCATAACCTTGGTAGCTCTTGATGTTTGTTAATCAATGCTATTGTGCCCATCCGAGGTAGTATCCTGTCGAATATTCTATCCAATATTCCTTCGACAATACCTCCTCGCATGTCAATCTCTTCATTTTCCCACTTGCCATGGCCAAAAAGGCGCGTCAGAGGATAAGCTATGGTTCGTCATTTCTATTAATTCCGTTGTCTCTCTTTAATTGACCTACCTTACACCTCTTAGTCCCCTCTACCCGTTGATCTTTGCCCACCCCCGCATAGTTGAATGGTCACCATCTTATTATCCACTCCAACTTTATCGTCACGTCTTGCTATACGCTTGAGTGAAATGGGCTAAAATAGGGAGACCCTTTTTTTGACTTTGTCCTAACAACTATATTGTATTTCAGTTCTTGAACTCGACCATTCGTCATCCGGCGGCCATAGACTTGGTGTAAATGGACTTGCAGTAGACCGAGACAACGCTATCCTGTAAGCTTCCGGCTGCTGTCATGCGACCACGTCCCGTCCCGTCCATTAACTTTATCGCATAGCTACTCTGGAGGAAGAGATGGAGTTATCTGCGCCTGGGATCTGAACCTTGATCTAAACGGTTATTCGGATCGAGGGCGTGCGTCTAGCCAAAATGCAAAACCCCAACCGACTACCAAATTCCGCGCATCGACCCAAGCTCACACCCACTGGGTCAATGACATCGTTCTCGCTTCCAACAATTCCGCCCTCGTCTCCGCATCTTCCGACCTGACTGTAAAAGTATGGCGACCCGAACTTGGGGATACCGAACCTCACACCATCGGCCAACATACAGACTACGTTAAGTGTGTCGCGACACCTAGTTCTGCAGACTGGGTCGCATCTGGTGGTCTTGATAGAAAGATATATCTCTGGGACCTCAATGGCAAGGGGAAGTCCCTAGAAATCGACGTTAGAGGCGAAGATGTTAGCGAAAAGGCTTCCGTATATGCCATGTGCGTCAACCAGAATATTCTAGCCAGCGGGGGCCCAGAGTCAATAGTACGGTTATGGGACCCCAAGTCGGGGAAGAGGATCACCAAGCTGGTTGGCCATACCGACAATATCCGTGCTATATTAATGAACGAGGCCGGCGACACCGTCATGACCGCTAGCTCCGATCAGACCGTCAAAGTGTGGAGCGTCACAGCTGGTAGGTGCATGTATACGCTTACTATGCACAACGATAGTGTCTGGTCGCTATTTTCTGAAGATCCCGAGCTGGCTGTTTTCTACAGTAGCGACCGGTCTGGCCTTATTGTCAAGACGGACACTAGAGGGACCGTGGAGATGGACGAAGGTCTATCCGTGGCCGTAGCTCAGGAACACGATGGTGTCAGCAAATTGGTGGCTTGTGAGGACTACATATGGTCGGCTACCTCGAGCTCTTCTATTAATAGGTGGACGAATGTTGATACTGGCACCGATGCTCTACTCCCAGAGGCATTCAGACACTTGCGGGCTATCAACACAGTTTCGAGATCGAGAAAGTCTCCTGCGGCATCTGCAGATGGGCAAGGAAAAAACGAAATTCCGGCTAAGGCGGTATTACGAATATCGAACACTGCAGCTTTCCCACCGGAACTCGACGATTCTTCTGAACACAATTTGACGACCAGCGCGGCGTCTAGAAAAGGCTCGGAGATCCTTGGTGACACCGTTGTCCCTGTTATCGAGCCTATACATCACTTACCGGAAGAAACCATCGAAGGGCAAAATGGGCTGGTGAAACATAAACTCCTTAACGATCGACGACGAGTATTGACTCTTGACACTGCTGGTGATGTATTGCTGTGGGATCTGATTAAGGTACGCTCTCTATGCGTGATATAGGGGTGTAGCTAATCAGAAGCAGTGCGAAGTTATTCAGAGATTCGGAAAGAAACACCTCGAAGATGTTGAACCTGAAGTTAATACTTTGGAAGCTGTTGCTCCTTGGTGTTCAATCGAGACAAGTTCTGGCAACTTGACTGTCATATTAGAGCCTTTTAATTGTTTTGATGCTGAAATGTATGCCGATGAGCTTATCCTGACAGAGCCCGTCGAATTCCGAGAAGATCAGAGAAGTATGATTCACGAGAGTTTCATTATAGGGCAAATACTAACTTTTTGAAGTAAACCTTGGAAGATGGATTCTTCGATATTTATTTGCGAAGTTAATCGATGAGGAAATCAAGCGAGATGAGATACATAGACTGAAACTCAATGAAGGCGTAGAGAAACGCCAGGCAGCTTCTCAGATAAACCCGCCGATATCAATAACTATACCTACCTCAAACATGCAAGGGTGGCAATCCAGCGACTCTCCAGCGACAACCCCAAGAGCGAATGGAATTAGTCACCCATTAAGCCCTGGATTGGCAATTGGCGTAGCTACTCCCGCTCCCAACTTGGCAGTAGGGGGTTTCGAGAATACAGCTGCACCTGTCAGTCCTCTTGAAAAGCCATCTCAGCAGGTAAACCGATCGTCTAGTGAAGACTACTTCTCTGGCGGCATCAGCTCAGCAGACGCCCCTGCAAAAGCGGCGACGACCCCAGGAGCGACGGAGCAGGCACCTGCTAAAGAAGAAACACCGAAGTCTCCGGTAGAGACCAAAGATAAAGATAAGGAGAAAGATGTTAAATCTCCCAGTACGCCCTTCAGCAAGAAATTCCGAATGGGCATGTCTTTCGGGAGTAAGAAACTGGGAAGATCAGCATCTACTAATATCGAGAAACCTACCGTTGCGGAAGATAAGACAGAAGAGAATAAGTCGGAATCATCTTCAAACCACGAAAAGGAGATTGACGATAATTTCCGCGGTGTTGTCCAAAAGATCCACAACGACTATGAGAAGCAGCTGTTAGAGACCCCGAATAGCCCGATCGAGACCAAGATAACGCCAGCTCTCCCCATTGACGCACCGGTACTTAAGCTCCCGCCTGGTACAAAGGTTATCATCCAAGAAGAGACATCAGGCGGTAGTGCCAACTTGTATAGGGGCACGGTGATGAGTGTCGGCGTTGACGCGGATATCATCGAAGAGAAGGCTCCTATGTGGTTGGGCGAAGTCTTACTTACAGTACGTGCTGTTTTCTTTATTGTTAGAGAATCCAAACTGACCTAGACAGAACACGATTCCGCAAAAAGAGCCGGTTAAGGTCTCGTTCGTACTGCACCCTTGGAAGGATTCGTTACCTAGTATTGCGACCACGGATGGAAACAACCGTCTCAATGCGAATAGAATGTTGAGAGTAAAGAAAATTCTGGCCTATGTGGCTGAGAGGATTGACCCGCAGCCCGAAGAGCTCGAGCCCGATGCTCTCAAACCTGAGGAATACTTGGAATTGTATTGCAACGATCAGGTATGTGCCAACATGAATGTGTGCGAAGCTAAGATGCTAACCCACAAACTTAGCTACTACCAAACACCATGAGCCTTGCAACACTGCGAGCCCACATTTGGAAGGGAGGTAACGATGTAGTCTTGTATTATAAAGCGAATGGTCGCAAAGAGATTCCGAAAGAGCTCCCACAACCGACACTTGATGACCCCGCGGTATCAGATCCTGGAGGGCAACCAATACCACCTATAGCTACTGTAAGTTGATGAATTTGGAATTTGACAGGAGGGAGGGTATCATCCATTGTGTCTGTGTCTATGTCCGGTAAATCTAAAAATGGGGTATTCTCTATCGTCTGTTGTACATACTCTCTCCCGTACCGCTATGTTGGAACGCGGCTACTAGTATATACCCCCACGAGTTATATACAGCGAGGACTGTCCTGTTCCAGCCTCGATCTCCCGCATTTGTTCGTCTAATTGCGATCGTCACGTGGGTGTTATGACTGTTATAAGACGTTTCCTTGTAAGGCATTCACAGCCCATTGGTAACTCCCGAGGAATATGGCGCCGCCGGTACTAATCCACATAACCCGAGGCCCTATTCCGGCGAAGAAAGGTCGTATCCCATGACTGGACAGTAAATCCTTCAGCACGACAAAGACGCTCTCGCGTTCCTTAGATAGCATAACCCGGGTCTTAAGAACATCCAGCGGCGTCGTGACACCCGCCGCCACAGCACCAGATACACTGCCATACAGCGCGCTCTCGCCCGCGCTCACCTCCACATTTCCACTACCTAGGCTTTTCCGCCGCCGGCCCCAACCCTTCAGCGCTTCCCACAGCGGAAACTGGATCACGGTGAACGGCACCTCGCGCATCACGGTGATGCCCCACCCCCGGTATAATTCCCGCCATACCCCCGTCAACCCTATGTCCCGACGCTGCGATAAAATCGCGCCCAAGGCCGCGGCACTCGAGCCCCCGTGCAAACCCGCTTGCGCGCGCTGCTTCACAACCTCAGTAGGCACGCGGACCGCACAGGCGGCAACTTCGCCCAGACTCGCAGCGAGCATGTGCTCAAGGGGCGCTTCCCAGGTCTTCCCGGCGCTAACGTTATGTCCCAAGTTCCCAAGTATAAGATGGTCTCCCCCGGTAGCACTGATATTCCGCTCCTGCCGCCTCTTCGCAAGCAGGCCCTTGACGCCCTCGTACGTGCAGAAGAAAAACGCGGCGCCGGGCGCGCTGCCGACGACGGCGCTCCCGACGCCCCGGTATATGCCCCGGAAGCCGCCGGAGGGGAAGAAGCCGTCGCGGGACTGGAGGCGGGTTTTCAGCGTGTCGAGGGGGAAGAGGGATAGGTCGACTGTGGTGCCGGCTATGCCGCCGGCGAGGAGGGCCGTGGCGAAGGGGGGGTTGGACGACATTGGGGGGTTAGTTGGGGGTGGTGGTGGTGGTGGTATGTAGCGAGTTAGAGGAGTGAGAAGGGGAGGGTGGGTGGAGGTAGGTAGGTAGGTAGGTGTAATAGTGAGTCCCTTGACTAACTATAAATTGTACGTAGGTAGGGGTGTATAGAAATATCAGGGCCGAAGCCGGCAGAGAGCTAGAGTGCGGCGTCCATTGGTTGTGGGCTGTGATGTAAGTCGGAAGGTAAGAAAACTTATCGGTGCATGTAGCTAATTGATAGAGACTATCGATAAAGCTATCGATACCTAAGATATGCAGATATTGTGCAGTAGCTCCCGAGTTATGTAATAGTTTCGTCAATTTCAATATGAGTTTATATCTTTTTTTTCTTCTTGTTACGCTTCTAACCTAGCAACTTCATCGTCGTAGCTGGGGAGGGAATATATCAGTGTAGAATGGAATGGGCACGCTCCACCATGTTCTGCATACAAGTGCGAGGGCGATTACCGTCCCCGAGTTCATGGACGCCGTGCGCGCCACTTGTACTCCTCGGTTCCCTTATGCCAGAGGGACGAGCCATAGGCGAGTTGGTGAGTTCTGAAATCATATATCATATACTCTAAAGGGGACCGACAATTCTAACAAGCTTAATAGCCATAGCTGTGAGTGGAGGCGTCGATTCTATGGCCCTTGCCTTTCTCTGTTCTCAAGTGCGCAAGATAGACCCCGACTTCAAGATCTCTGATAATCCTGTATCTGGATTTCGGGGCATCGTCGTCGACCATGGCCTCCGCCAGGGGTCTAGAGAAGAGGGTCTCGCTGTCCTTAAGGTTCTCAAGGATATGGGCTTGGTTGATGAATTGGTTGCTATTAATTGGTCCAAGATACTTGGCGATTCTCAGCTTCCAAAGGACTTACCCAACTTCGAGAGCGTCGCGCGCACTCAGCGGTATAGGAAGATTGGAGCTGTATGCGCCTTTCGAAACATCGGGAGTCTTCTTCTAGCGCACCACGAGGATGATCAGTATGAGACCGTCCTCATGCGCCTGCTACAGGGACACGGCATTCGTGGCCTACGCGGTATGAGGTCAGCCTGCGACATTCCTGAGTGTCATGGCCTTTTCGGTGCTGATAAGAGTGGTTTTGTGGATGATCAAGCTCGCAGCTTTCCTTTCTACAACCTGACCCCTACTAGGAGACAGCGGAAGCATATGCGACGAGAGTTCAGGAATGCTATTAGTAACCTCATGGCTGAGGAGGAAACGGATGACTGGGCCTCGACTGACTTCGATATGAAGGAATTCTATCAGACGAAAGACATTCCAGCATTTACACCCAAAGACCTTGCCGTCGAAGATGGTGGAGTTACCGTCTACCGACCCCTGCTTGAATTTAGCAAGGACCGTCTGATCGCAACTTGTTTAGAGAACAAGGTTCCTTGGTGGGAAGATGCCACCAATACGGATCATACACTTACGATGAGGAATGCTATCAGGCACCTATACAAAGGTTACACCCTTCCTAAGGCTCTACAAAAACCAGCGATCCTTAATCTCTCGAAGAGGTGTGAGCGGAAAGTCCAGGCTCAAGAGGCTGAAGCGAACAGATTGCTGAGACGGACCACTATTCACGATCTTGAGCTGCTTGCCGGAACTGTGACGGTCCAGTTTCCGAGATTGGAGCTGCGTATAGCGAGGAGAGATTCTCGCTCGTACTTGCGACATCGAGCACAATTGCTGAAGAAAAGGCAGATTGCCGCTATCCTTATACGCAAGATTCTCTTGCTAGTCAACCCAGAATCACAGCCACCGCTTCTCTCGACCCTCGAAAATCACGTTACGCGCCTCTTCCCGTCTCTCGCTCTCCCTGAAGAGCTACCCATGGCTACACCTCCAAAGGCATTCAGCATTTCCGGCGCTTATCTCGTACCAGTCGAGTCTAGCCCTGGCGGCCCGGCCTCCACGGGAGCAATGAATCAACAACTAAGCTGGTATATTTCGCGCGCACCGTACCCTTCAATACAACCGCTTCCAAGCTTCCGCACGCCGTACTGGGCTACCAATCGCAACAAAAAGGGGCGATGGCTGATGTCTAGCTGGATGGATTGGGCGTTATGGGACGGCCGGTATTGGTTCCATATCAAGCACCGATTCCCCTATCGCGTGCTCATCTTGCCATTCTTGAAAGAACACGCCAAAGCCTTTCGCGAGCAACTCCCGCCCGAAGACCAGAAGCGGCTAGCTACACTCCTCAAGCGCTACGCCCCGGGTAAGGTCAGATACACACTCCCGGCTTTCTACCTCGAAGAGCCTCTCAGCCTCCTCGACATGGAGAACACCACCCCGCGGCCCGGATACCCGATTCTCCCGTGGAAAGTGGTGAGTACGGATAGTAACAGCAGGGATAATGAAGGTGGGGTCGAGAACGAGAGCGAGAGCAGCGAAAAGCAAGAACCACGTTCTATGCATCCCACGATCCTAGATACTTCGAAGATAAAGCTGCTTGCTCTTCCCACGCTGAGGATCCAGCTCCCAGCGCTTGACAACTGGATGTCGTACGAGACGCGGTACAGGAAGATAGATCGCCAGACACTGCAGACGGCGGGGACGTTTCATAGGGGCTCGTTTGCGGGGCCGCGAGCGAGCACTTTGCGGCTGTCGAAGAAGGGGTCGGAGGTGAATTCGCGTAGATATTTGGGTAAACGGCGAGATAGAGGTAGAAGCTGAACTGGCTTATGTCTCGTGTCTTGATGGTATATAAATGTATAAAATTATTATATATATATGTGTGTGTGTACCATACCTTACATAATATTTAATTGCGGTTTTCGTTGTCTCTTCGCACGATGAATTCTACGTAGGTCTATTTCCCGATCAACGACTCACCTCACCTCTTGTAGAATAAACCCGATTAAACTGCAATCCATGAGACGGACATACTACACCTATTATACTTACTAAAACGCAACTCCTTATGAATATTAAGATTTGATTACTCCGCATTAATAAAATAATCGATTTGGTATCATGCAATACGCAGCTAGCTAGGTAGCCTCTAAACAACGAGACATACAAGGTATCTTTCTACCTTTTTGTAGTCATATGGTACACGGCAATAGTAACAAAGCGAACTCCACGCCTTTCCTAGACGCCTGTCTATATTGATGCAGTTCTCCTTGGTAATCCACTTATGTCATCGCGGTTGGGAGTCCATAGACAGACAGACAGACAGATAGACAAGACAGTCTTTAGACATGTAACTCAACAATAGAAGTACACTCAAAGAGCCTCGTCTCATCCCATCTCTGCATTTGCGTTCCGCCCGTTTCGTCCATGCTAGAACTCTTTCTTTCGCCTGATACACACCAATAATTGGAACACCTTAAAAGACCTACCCTTCCATTCTCATCCTTATCTCCGGTTCCGTCATTCTACTAAAACGCCGCACCTCCAACCCCCTCGCCCGCAAACTTCTTCACGCTGTTCTCACTGAGCTCTATTCTCAATTCCAAGACCTTGGCCTCCCTTTCAAACTTATCCCATAACGCCAGGCTCTTTCTCAACTTCTCCTCCTTAACATACTTCTCCGCACGCAACTTCTCTTCTTCCTCTTTCAGCTGCAACGTGTGGGCCTGGAGCTCGGGCATCACGCCTGTTGTCATGGCGAGGTAATGTGGGTCCATTTTACCTCCGGGAACGATAGGTGGTAGAGTCGCAAGAAGTTGCTGCGCTAGGCTAGGACGGGTACTCTCGGCAGCTGGGCCCTTGGGTGGGTTGAAGGGTTTGGCTTGGTTGACGGGGGTTGTGGGAACGGATTGCGAGGATGGGCCTGCTCGCGGGCCGGTGGGGATGGTATTAGAGATTGTTGTTGCTGAGGCAGGAATGGGACCTGCGGCTGGTGGTAGATTACGGCTTTGAATCGTACTACCCCAGCTGGGTCCTCCTCGACCGCCTCGACTATAACCGCCTCCTCGTGTGGCAACGTAGCCTCTAGGACCTGCCGGCGGGGCACTAGGGCTGATATCGGGTCGACTTGCTACTGCGGGAACGGCTGGAACTGGTCTGGGGGGCGGGCCTATCGCCCCGGCAGACTGGCTCCCGTAAGCGCGAGTATCTCTGGGACCGGTGGGAGGTGCTCGGAGAGCGGCAGGGCCACGCGGAGGGGATCTAGGTGTAGCACTGGATTCTTTCGGAGTCCCCTGAGGACTTCGATCTCTAAGTGGTACATTATGAGAAGATCTAGACAAAGGTCTGGAGGGTATGGGAGACTCTGGATGTGATCGATCGTCGCGACGAGGAGGAGGAAGAGGGTGGGGCGAAGATCTACGGGATGTGTCCCGAGACGGAATTGCTGAAGAGATTGCAGAGTCGCGTGGCGGGGAAGGACGTCTGCTATGCGAAGGGCCGTAGCGATCGTCTCGTCGATCCGGGCTGCGGGTGCGGGCTCTGTAGGTACTAGCCCTCGGAATGGGCGGGGGTGAACGTCGGAGAGGCGACCTTTCTCGGACGCGGTCTCTGTCGAAGGGAGATCTCGATCTCCGTCTGTATGGAAGACTTGTTAGGGGTATAAGATTAGGATTGTTAATCTGGGGTGGTGGTTGGAACCTTGCGTCATAGCCCCTTCGCGGAGATCGCAAACGATCTCTATCATCCCGTCTTGGTGAGAACCTGCGCGGCGGCGGACTTCTTCGAGGCGGACTACGTCGGGGGGGAGACCGTCGTGGAGGGCTTCGGCGAAGACTACGGCTCCTATCGCGTCGTCTCCAGCTGTCACCCATATCTCTAGTATCTCGTCGGTCTCTGGAAAGGTCTCGGCGGTAGCGATCAGCGCTTCGCGAGCGACGTCGTGGGGATCGACCGGGCACATAACGGTCGCTATCTAGAAGTGGTGGGCTACGGCCTCTTGGAGGGCTTCTAGCCCGGCGCGGAGACCGGTTGGAATTGAACGGGCGGTACGATTCACCAGCGCCATATCTAGTGACCTCACCGTCATCGTACCTATAGGGATAATCATTATCTAGTTAGCACTCTATTTCCCTGACCAATTCCGAAGTAGGCTGCGATAGTTAGGTTATAGTGACCAAGCAATTAAGCTTTACGATCTCATAGTTGGAATGGTAACGATATTAATTTGATTAAAGATTACCCTTACCTTCTACTTCGCGAATCGCGATCCATCCCCCGATGAGCGAACGCGCCGTAATCGCGTGGATCAGACCGTGGTGCGAATAAGATATCTCCTCGAGAAGAACCGATAGACGGAAAGAGTTCAACTGCTTCCGGAGGATTGCTTGTATGAGATGTATCTTGCAGATAATTCCTAGTTTCGAGTTCCTGGTTTGGGCCTTGCTGGGAGCCCTGGGCGGGTTGAGGATTAGGATTAGGCGGGAGGTTCTGTTGGATAGAATGGGAGGGTAGTGACTGGTGCCAATTGTTCTGTACTGGAATTCTTCGGCGTCTTGTAGGCCTTGCAGGGGCATCTTTACGAAAACGTTGATTTCGATCCATGTTGACCAATAGTAACACCTTGATACCGGAGGTTTAATCTGCCTATCGCCGCCTGTACCCACCGGGAACCTAATAACTTAGGGACCTAAGCTGCTAAAGGACTAGCAGAGGTACCTAAGGCAGGTAAGGGGTAACCTTAAAGGATCTAAGCTAACCCCTTGGGTCGATTTAGTAAAATGTGAATGGTATTAGTGAAGGCGAAGAATCGAATGGATGAGATGCACGTAAAGAAGTTGCAAGTATACTGATAAGTAGATGTAATTGTCTGGTGGTTTCGCGAGTGGGTTAAGTAGAAGCTTTCAAATGGAAAGGAGAGGAAAAAAATGAAAGCTGTTTAAAAAGAGAACTTTGCGAGTTTGGTAGCTGCAACCTAAGTACCTACCTAGGGCAGGTACGTTGTGGTATCGCTCACAACATATGCAACAACCAATATGCTGCTGCAGCTCTCTTTCCGTTGCGTAGCGGAAACACCTTTAGGTAGGTACTTTCGAGACGCTGATATTGATAAGGACAACCAATACATTTGTAGCCTCTTCATCTCTTAATTTCCTAATCTCCTACGTAGAAAAATGAAAGCTACGGAATCGTTGCCTAGTCCGCAACCACCTCTAGTAAACAAGTACTTCCTCTTCGAACCTTCGCATCTTCGCACCTTCGCACCCTCTCTGGTCTGATATATACAACCAGCTGCTCTAGACAGCTACAATTATTCTGAACCTCTGGAATCTATTTCTCGTCCTCCGTGGTATTGCCGCTTCCATCTTGACTACACCTCTCGCCGATGAATTGATACACCTCTTTCGCGTGTGCCTCCATCATCCGGTTGAGCCCAACTTCCGGGCTCCTGTGTACCCCCCCGAAGCGTTTCTTTAGTACCTTCTTTGCCAGATCGTCGTCCTTCCAACAAGCATGGTCGTTTGTGACGTAGACTAGCGAGTTCTGTTTATACCAGCTCGACAGTTCTGTGTCAGTTTCCGATTTCACTGGTCGTAGGTTACCCGTTACGAAATTAATCACACCCGCGATTCGATTTTTGCAGTCTGCAGCCTCGTCAGCACCAAAAGCTCCTTTATAATGACTCTAGTCTCTGTACGTACCTCTATTCGTCAGAAGGACCTTGACGCCTAGGTATGCATTGCCTACGCCTACAATGAACAGGTCTTCCACATCGTAGAGCTGAAGATAGTTATCCCATATATAGCATACCAGTTCCTGGATCTGCCGTTGCAAAGTCTTCTCGTCTGCACGGGGAGTAAACGCGTCGATGTCCTCAGAATGAGTAATGTAATGGGGAATATTGGCGTCCATAATACCAAAGTCATTCTTGTGAGCCCAATCAACATAAGACATAACACCATCCAACTACCATATATTAGCGTTTGCTCTCACAATTTGAATAAAGCCCACTTACGATGAAGCCGTTATGAGGATCAACTGTGTTATCGATAATATCTGGCATTGCCTTCAACTCGGGACTGAGTAATCTGTTAGTAGAGATAACGGAAGTTTTGTGCGTGCTACTTACGGATCATGAATGACGAATATAATTTTTCTCTTGGCTTGCAATCCCGGCGTGACAAGAACCTGGTTCTCAAACGACTTGTAGAGGACTTCCCTTTGAATGAAGAGGGGGACCATGGCATACTTATCGGACAATATCTGCCGTTGATAACCTCGAATAACGTCGTGTAAACGAGAAGTGTTATCTCCCAATTCCCGGACCTCGATTATCCCAGGTCTCATACATTCCCAGTAGGGCGCTTGGACAGCTTGAACCTTTGCTAGGAGTCTTGCTGCATCCTTATTGAGGGGTGGTACGCCCATCTTTGGTGGCGGTTCTCCCATGAGTGTCCGGGCGACAGCTAAAGCTGAATTGGAAATTGCCTTCAAGTTATAGCCTCCTTCGAGGCATACAGCTACCTTTCCGCCGGCAAGGGACATTAGCATGTGCGTCATATGTGCGTAGCATGGTGGTGTGACAAAACATCCACCCAACTCGTCACCATCGGCCGCATCAAAGCCAGCAGAGATAATTACCATGTCCGGGTCGAATTCGCGAGCAATGGGCATTACAATCTTCTGGAAAGCGGCGAGGTATTCGCCATCGCCCATGCCTTGGGATGGCCAGCCAATGTTCACGTTCTTCCCTTTGCCTGGACCTTCGCCGACTTTGTCTATATCTCCGTCGGGTATCATATCGTTATCTGGTTTTCCTGGGTAAAAATTGCCATCTTCATAGACGTGGAGGGATATATATAAGACATTCGGGTCTTCGTAGAAAATGTTCTGAACGCCATTTCCGTGATGAACATCCCAATCCAAGATGAGTATCTTGCGGCAAGTGTCTGGGTACTCATCTTGACAGACTCTGGCGCCGATAGGGACGTTATTAAAAAGGCAAAACCCCATAGGTACATCACACTCGGCATGATGACCCGGTGGCCGAATAATAGCGAATGCGTTCTTCACTTGTCCAGAAGCAACGTTCTTACAAGTCTCCACACAACCTCCTGCTGCAAGTAGTGCTGCTTCATAAGACATACCACCTACGTACAGAGAGGCTCTCCCTTGGTCCAGCTTATGGCTCAATGATCGTAACTCTCTTGTGGACATCTGGGAGAGATTTTGAACCCAGTCATAGTGCCTTGGGGTATGTACCGTGCAGATTTCCTGCTTCGTGGCCGGACGAGCTGGAATCCTCCACATATATTTGGTCGGAGCTTCTCTCAGGATATCAAGAAGATCAGAATCGGGACCCGCGAAAACGAGGCCAGCTTTCTTAAACATCTTCATGATCTCCTCGATTCTCCTCGGGTCTTCTGGATGGTGTGGTGAGGGCCCAAAATCGGCATTTGCATGGAGCTTCATCCTGTCATCGTAACAGCATCCCGTGGGAAGCATACCTAGCCGGCGCATAGATTTTATTGTTTCGTCGGTTTCACTAAATTCGTCGCTCTCGTCCATGTCCAGGTTCATGCCGTTCGTGGCAGAAACGTCGCCGCCTTCCTGCCTTGTCACAGCGACGACGTGGGACTCGTCAAAGCCATTAGGCGCATCAGTCATAGACTGATCCTCACCTTCCATGTCGGCGTCAAGCCTAGCCGAGTCGAAGGCTGCGCCTTCCACTCGGCAAACCTCAAGTAGTGTTTGCCAGACTAGAGAAAGAAACACGACTGCCGGCTTAAGTCAACAGATTGTTAAGCTTTACCGACAGCACAGGTACCCAGCCGTGAGAACTCAGGACAGTACCGCGGTGGTTAGCGTGGATATGTCTAGGCCTGGCAAGCGAGATTTTGGTTTAGATTCCTCGAAGGGGTGGATGATTCACATGCCCATAGCAAGTTGTGAGGTTATTGCCAAAGATGATGAATGTTGACAATGATCTGTTAATTTGTCAGCTAAGAATGTATATCTCGATGCACGAAAACGGTGACAAGAAATAGTAGAATCGAGATAAAGTAAGAAAATAACAATGTAATAGAATTAGCTAGATGCTCTTGATACAGGACTTATACGGCAAAGCATAAGGTAAGATTTACTTGATGATTCTAAAGGGAGCTTCGATGGATCCAAAGAATAGTATCTTAATTCAGGTCTTCGTGTCCTTCCTGCGTATTAAATATTCTTACTACACGAGAAACAGCTCTATTTTAAGGATGATACAGTAAATATAGAAAATATAGAGTGGAGTGATGGTGTACTTACACTGGGCGAATGTTGCTTGCTTGCTTGAACAGCTCACGCACTACTTTACTTGACGGAGAGTATGAGACGATGCACCTCAGCGTCTCCGCAACGTGGCATAGACTCCCGCAATGATGAAAAGGCGTAGAAACCGTTAATTAAAAACTTGCCGATGAGTTCTAATGACCTCTCGTAGTGGTTTAGGTATGCTTGGTGTGGCTGGTAGGTGGTACTATTAGATGTTATTGTGTTATTGATATGCTATGGTAAGTAAACTTGCCTAGGTCAGTAATCTTTTTGGTAAGTTCTAAAGTTGGGGCGCGGCGTATCGGATCCAGATAACCCCGTTTTTAACACAGACACCTGTATTTAGGTACCTCCGTAGGTGCTACTTGCCTATAGGTATCAGGAATTCAATTTAGGTACATAAGATACCTTTAAAGATGCCTTTATTTACACATGCACTTTTCAGTAACTACGGCGACAAATTTATTTGACCTATAATTAAGTAGACATTAAGGCAAGATGAAAAGAAGACCTTGAATTACGAAAACGCAATGTATAATATGTACCTATCAGTATTCTAGGAAATTACGAACCGAGCTCGTCTGTTTGACTACAGTACCCGCCGCGATGCTTTGGAAGCCCAGGAAAGTCTTGACCGGCTCCTTATGCTTTCATGCCTCCGAATATTTGAATAGAATACCTTCGCAGAAATCGTTTGAAACAGCACAGTATCCGGGTGACCAGATACTTATACCTCTAAACGTACAAAGAGAATATTAAATGTGAGACTAATACGTATTCATCTCAAACTGACCATACTCTTCCTCCTCAGGATGCTGTGACATCGGGCAATACAACCCATACAGATCCGAAATCCTAATCTCGTGCCCTGCGACCGTTGATACGTCTTTGCACTGCAAGGTGTGAATAGAAGGAAATTAGTGATAGGAAAGAAAAAGAGAAAGATCCTATATAATATACAAGCCGGAAGAGGAGACGCCTCGCGCAATGCATATGTAACAAACCCCCACGATTTCTTTGTAGCGGTTCTTCGTAGCGGGCTTGAGCAGTATTGCAATCACTGCCTTTAGCTACCCCCTGGACCGGCTGAGAGGCAATTGTCCTATCCTGAGCTACTCCGCGGCAAAAGGAGAGTTCTGCGGTAGGACCTGGGAAGGGGTAGGAGCCATTTGCAATTCGACAATGGTCTTCTTGCATCGATGGCACCGACGACGTTGATCCTGACCCTAGAATGGAAAAAACGTCTCCGTGCCATCGTCTCCTCGGGCGACAATCGATGGTGAATCGAATGGAAAAAAGGGAACATGCGCTGGAAGCGGAGGTACCCGTCCATCCGGCCAGGCGTCGTCAAGCCATTTGGTATCGTGTAACTCGCTTGGTCGATCCTCGTCCACAATTCCAAATTGCGGCATGTCTGCCCAGGACTGCACATCTCTGAAGATCTTGCGCTCCCCGAGAACTTTACTCAGTGAAATAGACAAGGTCTCGGAATCACGAGCAAAGTTTGGCTCTATGTCGGATACTGAACTGATGGTAACAGACTTCTTCCAGTTCGCGTAGTGGCTGAGGTAATAACGAAGCTGCTCAGGATCAAGCTTCATATAAGTCTTAACAATTTTCGCGTGGCGGCGGCCTTCGCCAGCTCCCCAGGGAACGAGCTCGACGCTATAGCCTTGCTATAGATTAGTTAGTAAGTATATTTCGGTAGGATATAATTTGGGACGAAGACTTACCTTACAGTGGCAAACTTTCTCGGGAGATGAGCAAAGGTCCTTGCTCACTGTCTCTCTTACCAGGCGCCAGAGGTGCCAAAGCTCATTAATTTCGCTCGTTGGCATGAGACGAATATGGTGGAGTCGAGTATCAACCGTCCATGTGCTTGGCTGAAAAACGCTAAATCGGTTAAAGGTGCTTCCATGGTGATATTTCGCGTACAACCACCAGCGAGCAACAGCCTTTCTCACCCGGGCTACCTCGCTACCTCGTAGACAGCGACGATCCTCTGAATTGTCCCTCCAATGAAGTCTGGGGTATTTTTCAACCCACCAGTCAACCACCTTCGCCATGTTCCAAATTTGCTCGATATCCTGGGTCGTGAGTGTATACTTCGGGACCTCAAGGGGCCGCCTGTTCGGAAACTCTTGAGAGGCGCCACCGAGTTCCATGAGGCTTATGGTGAAATTCTCGCGAAGATATTCGATTATACGCGGACAGAGCATAAACTCAAAATGGGATTCGTCTTTGTGAGCGGTGTAAGTATAAAGAAGGATGTTGATCTCGGGCAGACGTTGGAGGACAGTAATCAAAATGGACTCCTTGCTTCCCTTGAACACAAGAAATAGCCGTTGGCTCGAAAGAGCAAGGTTTGAGGCATCCAAGGGAGATAGCAGCTTCATGATTTCGAGTATCAATTCATTAGGTATGCTATAGAGCAGGGGTTTGCCGGAGGGCTGGAGGGTAACATTGGCGGATGGCATGTTGAAGTATGGACTTATTCGCAGATCTGAGTTTGAATATGCGAATGGAATTAATGACCAACTCCAGTGGATGATGGATTAGGCTTCTGATTGAACTGTAACAGAATGAAAGTAACCCCTTGAACAGTTCTAGATGCGACCGAAGTGCCACTTTTGCAATGCGAACCCAGGATAGGCGAAAAAGTAACAACAGTTTTGCTGATATGCTTAGTGAAAGTTGCACAAAGTTCAATGAGGGAGGATTGAGGTTTCTTGAGTAACAAGAGGCCAGCAATGTGCAATAGGTATCAAATCAAGAAGGCTATGATTCGTTGATACTAGTTCCGAGAATGACCTAAATGCCTTGGGGTGCAACCAGAGTTGAGTTTTGCCGACTGTAGAATCTCCTGAGAGATCTATGTGTACTCGAATTGAACAGGCCAAACATTCAAAATGCCTCTAAGCTCTATATGGTGCCACTGTAATGAGTAGGAGAATAGAAAGACAATACTGAAGTAGTAGAGTGGGTGGTGTGAAGGCAAGTGTAAAATTAGTAGAGATGGACAAATAAAAGAGGTGGCAGTAAGCAAAGCATTAAATCTGGGAAAGTAGCAGTAGGAGATTCCGTAATGGAACTATTCTGCGGATACTCCCTGGCGATGACAAGTTTCCGGGACGGTTTGCGGGCCTGGCAGTAGAAAGTACCCAGGTAGCTTCAGAGGTAGTCAAGGCGATTTAGTGTTGACTACCTAGATACAAATTGACATGGACGGGGGCCCTTTGCTAGAGCGAGCTGTTAAAATACTGGGCAATCTCTACTAGCTACGAATCAGTCAGTGCCCATACGTGATTCGAAAGTGATTGAGACTTACTCTAAACTGAGCTGTCCGAAGTGTTATTCTCAGGAAGACCGACGACAATGCAGTCTCTCTCCTTCTTAGCAACACCGTTTGTGTACTTAATGCTTCCCTCCCCTTAAAGGCGTTTGTCTCACTGGTGGAAAGGAGTTCACGTCTAATGTCCTCCTGAGACGTAATCTCCTAACAATATATCGTTCTCTCTTCACACCTAGGAGTTGAGACTATTTGACTCCTTAGCCAGCCTGATACTAGGGCTTCGACAGCTCTCTTTGTCTGTCGGCACCTAGCACCCCTTGGTCAACACAGGAGCAGAGAGTTATTCAACTCAATCCGCGACAACCCCTCCTTTGGGGCTATTCTGAATAAGAATAATGAGCAGCTGAACCGCATGCCGCTGAATTGGGTACGCCATAAAGGCGGACTCATGGCGTGGTAGTTCCATATTGTTGCTTGATCGAAAAGGAAGAAGTAAATTACGCGACATCAACACGACCTGACTTCATATATGTACCTGGCTGATGTATCCCCCCTGTCTCGATGGACTTGCCCATAGAGCTTGGATGCTGGTTTCGGGCCGAGGTTTTGCCTAGCGCTAACTCTATTTAATCATACTTTACATACATAGTTGTGTAGTGGTCCGAGCGTCTTATAGCATAGAGAAAGAGCTATATAAAGTGCACTCATATCTAAACCTCTTATAGGTAGGTAGATATCTTAATCTACTTACAAAAGGTTAGAATATGATAGGTTTACAAATTTAAGACATCTACGGGTAAGGGGTAATTATAGTCATCATCCATCATTATCTTCAGCTAGTAATGCAATGAATAGTGACGGAAGTTATCAAGGTGGCTTACCTTAAGGCTTAACTTATGCTGGAATAGGAAGCTAATAAGTGTGAATTTCAGCAATAATATCATAGCGTACCTACCCAAGGTATACAGAGAGAATGAACCACTAGAAGATATTCACATTATCATGATAGAGGCTAGCTATTGCAGGGTATTATTTCAGCTCAAAATTAGCATCTTTTGCTAGAGAATATCTGAAGATACCTGGGTGTCATAGGAACGCCAGAACGCCATTGGTAGTAAGTTACAACATCTAAGCGAACAGTTCCTTCGTATCCAGCGCATCCACCGGAGCCTGCTTGCCATTCGTCCGCAGTCCCAGATCCCCCTTCTTCGCGAGCCTCTCCACGTGCTGCTCTGTACGAGTATTATGCTTCGTAGCCTGTCTCCTTCGCAAGTCGGCTCGGACTTGGTTCGGCGAGACGAACTCTTTGTTCTCGTAGATGATCGGCCCGCCGAAGGAGCCTTCCTGGATGACGATAGGGGTGAGCACGAATCGGGGGCCAATTTCAACCATGCTGACGTCGAGCTCCTTGTTGCGGCCTTTAGTAGGCTTAGCGTCTACCTCCGTCTCCCCGTCCTGCACCTTCGGCGCCTCTGACTCCTTTACTTCGTAGTTGCGCACCCATATCTTTCCATCTGCGAATGTGAACCCCATAACGCGATCTATGAAGGGCTTAGATTTCCTCGCGCCTTGTGGCACACCGAATGTGTGGAGGAAAAGCTCCTTGATGACTTGTAGGTAAGGTTCCTTATCGAAGGCGGCGTCGAAGGAGAGAATTGGTCTTGAGCCCTTCAAGCAGTTGCCCGTGAAGTGCAGCTCTATAAGAAAAAGAGTTAGCAATGAAACATCCCCACCCGAGAAGAGGGCCAAAGAGGACATAAACAGAGTCTACCAACCTTCCATTGTGTGTAAGTTCTGGAGGTGCATCTTGACCGTTGGGCCATTAGGAACCTTGCTCAACCACACGTACAAATCCTTGCCTTTGCGCGCCTCGAAGAACAGCACATTGTTGCAGTTGTAAAGTTCCGCGAGCTCGTTGAGCTGGTAAAGCTTCGACTTCGTGTCTAGTTTTGCGTCCTTCCGGCCATGGGGGAGCATAGACGCAAGGTCATTAAGTAAATGTCGATGTCTGCGAACAAAAGCTGTTAGATATTTCTCTGCGCAAGCGGTCACGAGCTTGCGGGTTGCGAAAATACCTGTATGTGACACCTCTGGAAGATAATATTAAAACTCTTTGCTTATTCTTTCGGACGCCATTGGCAGGCGCTTCGGCCTTCTGGCTACTAGTCCCCTTGGACAATGACTTGTATACGGCTGCCATTGCTCGGTCAAAATTTGCGATGCTTAAAATGGTCGCTGGATCATGTCTTCAATTCAATTCAATTCGCGATTCGAACGGGAACTTTTTTTCTGCTAGGCTTATCGATAGATGATAGCGGGGCCGGAGCTAAGACGAACCATCCGCGCGTGCGCGTGGCTTGTGTTGTACCTATGATGATGTACCTTATCTACATGCGTGGTAACTTGGCCGACTGCCCGATTACATGTACGAAATCTATGCTGGTAACCGTATCCATTCACGATCGCCAAGCTGCCAGCAAGGATTATCTAAATAAGTTTGATATCAGATATGATGAATCCGTTCGAGGGCGAGCTGTTACCGAATAGAAAGACATAAACGGCTTACTTACAACTTTTCTTCTAGAGCATGTGATCCTCGATCCAACCTATCGGTAAGATGAAGAAGCCACATTGATTAATGAGACTACGGCTGGACATTACATAGTTAGTGAACATGCACAGCAAAGAGACATTCTTATATTAGTAGGGGCAAGAGAAAGATAGCATTTAGTAACTACGTCGGGTGTGTTAGATTAGACATTGTCCGTGACCCCTAGTTGTCAAAATCTTAGGCTACGGCCACGAACTTCAGTAAAAGCAGGAAAACAAAACAAGAGAACCATGTCCTGTGTAAGGTCAATATCCCGAACCCCCATGACGCATCACCCTATCACAAGTGTATTCGTTCCGGGCCATACGTGACGCCATATACGTAATGTCATATCAACCGTATAACCGTCGTATCATCTCGTCGCGAGTATTGAACTAACAGCACTTCCCGCCCTGTTTCGCGGCATCGTCAGGAGACTTGCTCAACGAAATGTTGGTGCCTGCCATCGGAGCTTGGGCACCCTCGCCGCTATCCAACGCCTTGCTCGAAACGATGCGGTAGATTTCTAAAAGTAAAATACGTTATTAGTATGTGGTTGCCTTAACTAGCGCTTGCGTAAGCCAAATGTGGCAAAGGGGATACTTACCAGTAAGGATGTTCTGGAAGGCAAGCTCAACGTTGCTGGCATCGAGAGCAGAAGTTTCTATGAAAGAGAGGTGATTCTCGCCTAGAGATCTCGTGTCAGCAATTTGGGCATCTTCAATAAATTGAATCGTAGACATACTGGCAAACGCCTTGGCCTCCTCCGTAGGTACTGCTCGGAGGTGCCGCAAATCGCTCTTGTTTCCGACCAGCATGATGACAATGTTAGCATCGGCGTGGTCTCGGAGCTCCTTCAACCATCTCGTGACATTCTCGTAGGTCTGGTGCTTGCTGATGTCGTAGACAAGGAGCGCACCGACTGCACCTCGGTAGTACGCAGAGGTAATAGCGCGATATCGTTCCTGGCCCGCAGTATCCCAGATCTGCGCCTTGATCGTCTTAGAATCGACTTGGATGGATCGAGTCGCAAATTCGACGCCAATCGTCGACTTGGAGTCTAGATTGAACTCGTTACGGGTGAATCGACTAAGTAGGTTGGACTTTCCGACGCCGGAGTCTCCAATCAACACCACTATAATTCCATCTCGTCAGTAACTATTGCTTCAGGAGCTCGAGTAGTCGGCAAGGGGGTTCGCACCTTTGAAGAGGAACTGTAGTAAGTATTGGTTAGCTAGATCTTCTAAGGACCGTCTAATAATTCAAGATAGAAGGAAAACAATAAGTAAGACTTACATCATATTCGTCGTTGGCCATGTTGGGCGATAAACTTGCGGTCGAGGTAAAGTACTGTCAAAGAGAACAGGAGAGACTGTAGCGGCGGTGATAGATAAAAAGGAGCTAGACCGTGGGGCCTATATGTGATGCAACTATAACAAAAGGTCGAGGTCGGCGCTATGTCCAGAGTCTAGAGTCGAATGTTGTTAAAATCTCTACGGGCACTTCCCAAATCTCTTCCGTTGTCACGGTTTCGGTTGGTTGCCTGGAAAGGTTTTAGATGTGTCTTGTAGATGCAGACAATCGAATATACCTGAGTAGTGGAGTTGTGAATGGGGGGGGAATTAGGTACAATTGTTAAGGCAATCGTTAAGGCAGGCGGTCGGATTGCTGCTAAAACTGTCAAAGTACCTTAAGTAAGGCAGGTGTTATCCAGCTGTTAGCAGGGCTCGAAAGTGCGCTAGGAAGTATGCTAGGTTACAGTCGGTACCTAAAGGTCACCTACGGTCGGGAATTGTTGCACGGTGTCAGGAGTCAAAGCGGATTAGACTGCTTGCGGGTGGGGATGTATCACAATAGGAGGCGGTGCAAAAGGCAAGTTAAACTATTCGGCACGTGATTAGATATACTCCACTCAAGTACCTAATATCTTGTCTTTGTGGATTTATATAATTTCACGCGTCAACTCTAGTTACCTACCCATTCCCATTCGTCTATCCCAGGATATATACAAATTTCAGTCAATGGGCACACATAAACGTAGTCTCTTTGTCAAACTACTACGATCTCATAGTTACGGTACTAGAGATAAAGGGTTATCAATGAACTATATTCACACTATTGGTGTTTGTAAGGCAATACGTTCCATGAGACCTACAAACTTTAAAGTCTTCAATTCAGTCTCCTATTAATTTAACAAGTTCAAACAAGTGTTCAAAACAGATCCTCCTTGCTAATAGAAAGTTATATAAGTGCCTCTCATAAAAGATAGAGTAGATAAACACGTCTACCCCTATAATCATATCTCATCACCACCTCACAAGAGAATGTGTATGAAACGCCGCGGCCTTCCACCTTAACTTCCCTTTTACCCACATCTCAGCCCCAGCCCCTTAGCCCCTTAACTCTAGCACTCCGCAACTAATCACTCGACTAAATTCATCTTGAGAACAGCTCGGAACCGATGTCGGCCACTCATCATTACATCTAGGAAAGTTAGCATGATGCAGCAATATTATTATACGGGGAACATATGAATACCCTAGGCTTCCTGAGCCTGGTCCAACGAGAACGTCTCAACAGCGCATCATATGCCATGGCGATAAGCAAACTCAATAGCTTTTTCTGAGTCACGATTATTCCCTACGGGCCACGCCTATACCGAGATTCCGCGTTGGACCATATCGATATGGCTAAGCGTCATGTCCCCGGGAATGCTTAGGACCACCAGTTTACCCATAACATCGAGGCCCCGGATTAGTGGCGTAAAAGACTCGCCAGCCAGCCGTAGTGCGTTGAAAACAGTTGAACCTGCACATAGCAAAGGAGCAGCTTATGCTCGAAGAATAGTGTACTCCGCATCTATAAAAGGCGTTAGTTATCGTTCTCGGATCGGAACCGAACCAGATGGCGGGGGCGCTTACATCCTCCATTCCAATTTATACCATTTGCGATAGGGTTATCGCACATCTGAGGCCAGTTCTGAGAGCACATATCACACGGCCTGTCGTGGTTAGCCTCATGATGAGTCAATATAGGGTAGTACTAATTAGACTACTTTTGGTCTTTTCCTCCGTCTAATAGTTGCTTAATCTCCAAATATGATCTTTCCAACTTTCAGCTAAGGGGTTTGATATGCACGTTGGTGTACGCTGATAAAGTTGAACTGTTTTGATTGTTTAGGCCCTTGCTATAGAGATGAAAAGGTAAGCCCTAGTCGTCTAGTTTACCAAGGTAGGTAGTTCCACGTTGTTTAGATCCCTGTATGATGTAAATTCCTTTAATAGTGATACTATTCAACATATGATAGGACTTAATATATTTACTATGATAACTCATGTCCGTATGTCGGCATAGCCCATACACACCCATAGGTAGATACCTACCGGTAGACTTAGTCACACCATAGCATTGGGTTAGAGACAGGGAACTGTAAGATTCTGCATATTCAGCCGTAAAGATGGAGTTCTCCGCCTCCGAGGCTGCGAAGCCGAAGTCTTAGAGAATTTCGAGGGCTAAGTTTAGATTTGGCGAGATGAAGTACCCGCTTCGGACTGCCGACTTCAAGCTTAGTCGGCTACTCTTAAGATAAGAGGTAATTGACATATCCGCGTAGACATATTTGAGGCTTGTTTCATAGAATATCGTCCATACAAAGTCATTACGCATCATCCTCAATCATCATGCTAAGATCTCTTAGTCCCTATTCTATAGAACGTTCATCGTTAATATCTAAGACTCACTAAACCTATCCTTCAACATAATGAAACGGCTGCCGACAAAAGGCATAATCCGTATAAACTAGGAATAAAACTATAGCAGTCCAAGCACAAGAGAGATCTAAAATCCATCCCATTATCCCTTACGTCTCTTCTCCCAATACCAGATTAATCCAAGCGCAACCCCTTAAACATCAATCAGAAATACTTCTTAACCTGCTCTTCACTCCACTGCCAGAATTCCTCCCCGATTCCACTACCGCCTTCAGACTTGCTCTTCGATGCGTTGGACATCCCTTTCGAGATTTTCCAGATCCTTCCCCACGGGGCAACTAATCGCGATCAGCTTAGCTTCTATAAGTGGCTATTAATGGCTAGTGGTACTTACCGAAGACGCCAGAGTTGTCGGAGGTAATATGAGGCGAGAGTCCAGCATAAAGAGCCGTGTACGCGCCATAAACAACCGGGTAGAAAACCGTCTTCCGGAGGAAGAAAGTTGTGATAGGCCCCTGAGTGCGCCACAAGTCCGAGTCGAGATTTCCGGGATTCAACGAGGCGGCCAGCACACCATCTGCCTTGTGGCGTTTTGCGTATTCGGCAGCGTGCAAGTAGTTCCCGAGCTTGCTGATGCAGTACTTTTCCATCTCTCCTAGCTTCTCGATGTTGTGCACGCCCTTTAGGAAGACCTTGGGGTCTATATTCAGGGCGGCCGAGGACGATAGCCAGATTGCGCGAACGCTGTTGGGAGGCGCTGTCTTCGCTGTTGACACTAGGATCGGCGTCAAGAGTTGTGTCAAGGCAAATGTGCCGAGACAGTTCACGCCGAACTGGAGTTCGTAGCCCTGCTTCGTTTTGGATCCCTTCTCCGGGTACGCGACACCGGCGTTGTTGAAAAGTATATCAAGTTTTTGCTCTCTGCTAAGGAACTCCTCAGCCGTCGTCTTGATGCTCGGGAGGTCAGCTAGGTCGAGGCGGATATATGCCAATTCGCCTTTAGACCCGGGAGCAGCGGCCTTGATGCTGTCGATGGCATTCTTCGTCTTCTCTTCAGATCGTGCCATTAGGTAAACCGTGGCATTCTTGGAGTAGAGAATTCGAGCGATCTCCTTGCCGACACCAGTGTTAGATCCCGTGACGATGGTGACCTTATTAGTCAAATCCGGGACATCCTTCTCTGTGAAAGTTGGCTTTCCAGAGAAGAAAGCCTGTTTGAAAACAGAAGATAAGTCGGCCATTATGGGTTATTCGTTTTCTTCCGTCCTTGCAATGATGGATTTGATTATGTTGGTGAATATTATAGATATATGTAATGAGATGAGGCTATATCGTGTTGGTTGTGGATGAAACTGTGGTATTTCAGCTAAAGAGTTCTTAATGACGATGGTCGTATATATATAAGAACTAATGTCATGCCGCTGATCCTACGTCGGGATAATCCCGCGGGGTTTAACGACTTGGGCCATAAAGGTTTATTCGCAAGAGAAGGCGTTTTCGGTATTGGCTTTTATGTGCGATATCGTTTCCGCCCTTCTCTTCGAAGTACATTAGGCGCAATTAAGAGGGCATATGTTACCGATATCTAATTCTAGAACCCATATCAATCGTCAGAATCGCGTCAAAAAGATGCCCCATTCTGATCATGTAACAAGAGTATCTTATACTATAATATCGATAACTTCACCATTTCTCCATAGAAATTTATGAAGTATTCCTTGAAATAATGATTTTAATAAGACGCTTTTCATCATTTTTATTCTTGTTGTTTTCGTTGAGAAAATAGGTTTGAAAAGGAGTACATTATTTGCTTCAATAAGAATGGGGCATATTTTTTGACGTTATTGATATTCTAATCGTATTGTAGATTAAAAATTCACTATTGGCACTAAGATAATCGCGGGTAACTAGTTCCTATGTACCCCTGATAGTAGCGGGACTAGTACCTTTTTCAATGTTGTTACCTTAGGTAGTGTCTTTTACATAGGTTAGGCAGGTAGGTATTTCCTTTATTCTGTATTCATCTCAACTAGAAGCCAAAGTCATGAAAGTAGGAGTGATGGCCTCGAGTAATCCCGCTGGACTTTCCCAATGCCGGATGATTACATCATTATGCATAGGCCAATAAGACATGTACTTCGTACTATACGTGTTACGACGAAACCCGCGGGATTATGCAAGAGTCTTATGTAAGACATACCATTCCTAGTCGCCAAACCCGCGGCCCTCGACAACTTACACCTTATTGTCTCGTGTTACGACCAAACTGCCATTCCGGGGGTTTCATGCTCTAGGTAGTCTTGTTCAAGTCCGGTATCCGTTAGCTCTTAGGAAGAACCCGAACCTAAGATCAAATGCCACCCGGTCCAATAGCAGGTCCTTCAGCGGCGTCATGCAGTCCGGCGCCTTACGGCCAGGCTTGCGTTGCCTGCTCCCGTGCCAAATGCAAGTGTTTCTATCGGTCTGATGGGTCTTCCTGTGAGAGGTGCCATCGTCTTGGAAAGACTTGTGAACCAACCTTAACTGCTCGCAAACGGAAAGCCCATACGCCACCTCTCCCACAATCACCCGTGCAACATCCGCCTCCAGCTGGTAGCACTCGACTTGAGGAGAAATTAGATGAGCTTGTAAGCCTGTTACGCTCTCAGGCAGCTGAGAAACAAGCCCAACAGCATACGCCAGAATCCTTACCCGGAGGGGCACTCGCTGGTTATACTGATTCCATGTCTCCAACACCTGTATCTATACCTGTACGTGAGCATCCGGATATCGCCATAGACACCACTGCTACTATCGTACATCTCTTACGCCCCTCTACTCCTACATCACCATCCCCCATATTCGATGATGTGTCCGTTCATAAAATATCAGAAGCGGCCGCAGAAGAACTATTAGACAGCTTTCGTAATGCCTTCATTCCCATGTGTCCTGTTGTTTATATCCCTATATCAACGAGCTCCGCTGAGCTGCGCCGTGAGAGGCCTTTTCTATGGCTTGTCATTATGGCCTTGACCTCCAAGATGATCTCGCAGCAGTTCGCAATGGCGGATACAATATGGCGCATTATATCACACAGAGTAGTTTTGCAACATATAGTTGATATGGATCTACTCCTTGGCATCGTCTGCTTCGCTACTTGGTCTGTGTCCCGCGGCCTCATTTCAAATGACTAAACTGATAAGTCAAACTAACCGACTTGAAAGGTCTCATCACCTCAAGGAGGATAAACCATTTATGTGTATGCTTTCTCAGTTAGCCGTATCACTTGCCCTCGAGCTGAATATACATCATGATACGCCGACGCGGCCGCTGCGGCGTAATCGATTCCCAACTCAACGGCCCGTAGAGCAGCGCTCTCGAACTATAGAAGAGCGTCGGACCATGCTAGCTGTCTTCCATCTCACGTCTTCGTAAGCGTTGTCCTTATATGCATGCCTAAGAATAAGGCTTTCTAGCTGCCATACTAACCTAAACACGCTAGTACATGGTTAACATACAGACAAACGGAGCCTCTTCGTTGGACATCATACTTGGATGACTGCCTCCGTATCCTCGAAGATGAAAAGGAGGCATATACCGATATCTTTTTGACTACGCAGGTCAGGTGTCAGATCATTTCGAACCAACTAACCTGTTCTTTCGGAAACCAGCCAGCGGGAGTAGAAAGCCCTAAAGCAGCATCGACCGCTCTGATTACAGCCCTGCTAAGAGAACTTGGCAATATTCGACGAAACTTGCCAGCCGAGGTCGAATCAAATAGTTAGGAGACTCTACCCTATCCTTCGGTAGTTTATTAAAGTCTAACAACTATCTTTAGAAGCAACGCAGTTCTACTTGTGCTTTGCGGAAATAAAAATTCGAGAAACAGTGCTTTACAGACCTAGGATCATAGACCAGACAGGCGCTTCGCAGTTCCAGCGACTACAAGACCTAGACATAGTTTTAAGCATCGCGGAGCGATGGATATCCATTTTAAATGCCCTGCCCTATTGCGAGTGGCACGGCATCACTGCCGATCTCTTCACCCAGTTTACCCAGTACCTGGTAGTACTGTTCAGGCTCCAAACCCTTGACGAACCCGGCTGGGACCAGGACGAAGTGAGGCGAAGAGCCGACGTCTTCGGTATTATAGACCAGGCCTGCATAGATGTCGACCGCGTCCCGGTGTCGCTGGGCATGGTCGACGCCGAGGGTCCGCGCAGCGGATTCTTCTTCAAAATGTCGCGTCTGCTCCGGGAAGTAAGGGCGCTTTTCCTGGCAGAGATGCCGCAGAACACGCAGCTAAACCCTGCTTTCCCCGCCGCGGATAATATGGCTACGGGGGATGGTGTTAATACCGGCGCTGGGTTTGGGGAAGACATGTCTCTCGCGGATGAAATTTATTTGAATGCGGTACAAGAGGATATTTTGGCGCATATATGGGATTTTAGGCCGGATGGTTCTTACATGTCTTTTGCTTCGTAGACTGATACCAATATAGGGGCTATGTTTGTATTGCAATACTATTTATTGGAATAATTCGTGTAATAGACTTTCAACGGTCAACGCCAACACTCTTCTTGTCATCTTACTCCTTACTTATATCACATTATAGATTCTAAGCCCCGTACCCCTATTTTCTCTAGCTCTATTGGTAAAATCCTTACCTCGTAATGTTCCTTCACTCCCAATTACTCGATACTCATCATATATACGGCATACGGTAGGCTCACATAAACACTTCCCTTCATACTAAGTCGGCATTTACTACTACAATTTGACGATGAGACGTTTATATGAGTCATCTCAATTCGGGCATCGGTGTATTTCATTGTGTACAACGCGGTAACTAGCTTATGTACCTAGACTTTATCATAATAACACTCGTGCTCTCGGCGTACTTCCTCAGTACTTCCTTATAAGACTTGCTCTTAGACTTTAACTCAAGTCCTTTCATCTGATCGACAAAACACATGTACAAATATCTCTCGGTTCCACAGTATACTCAAGATCCGTAAACTTGGCCAGCCGAATCAAGAGGCAGATAGACCTAAAGCTTTGAATCGCGGCAAACACAGCGCACAAAGGGTATACTTTTCGCCCAAAACCTCCTATACCCCGCCTCGATCCAAGGCTTTCCAAATCATTTTTTTTTACGTTTCCCATTAGAATCTCCCTTAGGTTTTTCAGACGTGAAGTGAGGACCAAGTTTTCCATGAGAACCCTATTTCTTCTGAAATAGCTTGGTCAAAATTCTATCCGCACTGTCGACCTGGACGTGACTCGAATCGCGACCTTCCGCCTTCATGTCGTGATACCAGTCCAGAGTCGATCTATACTGGTATCTCATCGTCTGACATGATGGGTCCTTCGCCCGAGCGCTATAAGCAGCCTCATAAAGATCGTTGACGCATGCTGACTTCTCTAATTTGGTTCCAGGACGCGGTGCATGCCATATAGACCTTTGAAGCTTATTCTCATCGCTCTCGTATTTGGGTATTGGCTTCTGCTTTTGTGTTTTTGAGTATGCCACTCCTCCATGCCACTCGTACTTTGGAATACGTATCCAGCCCTTATCTGGTAAAAGAGATCCTATGGGAGGTAGCCATTGCTTGCCGTCGGCCATCATTTCCTCCACCATGCGTTTTGTAAAATCTAACGGCTTATCCTTTGGGTTATACTTCAAGTTGGTTTTACTGCTCATATAGACTTCGCCAAGGTAGTACCTTGAATCCTTCAGTGATATTTCCCTTCTAACAAGGTCGATTAGATGCCGCTGCATGTTAAGCAGTGTAGCCTTCCCGCGCCCGGATTCTCGGTCATGGGCGAATATATCCCAGATAAACAGTTCTACTTCGGCATATGTAACAGAGTTGAAGTGAGGATTCCTAGGCCTAAGCACTGCAACCCAAGGGTGGCGCCTATATGAGCTAGGGGGCAACTGGGGGTTCCACTCGTCGTCTATGGTGTAGAATAGACCATACCAAGTGTTGATGTTAGAAAACTTGTGAGCAGCACCCAACCAGTTCTTGAAGGTATCGTACTCGCATCTCAGATCACCAAAGTGGTCAGCCATCGGCACATTCAGCCACGAAACTGGCTTGTAGTGTAGCTTGGCCCAATTTCCTTTTCTCGGAAGGCGGATGGGGAGACTGGTAATCCATTGTTTGAGCTCAGTAGCGCTACCGCTGCTAAGGGACGAACGAGGAAGGAATGCATGTGGACTAGACGCGCTGCTCGCGCTACCAGGGGGTACGGAGGCGTCATGAGCCAATTTTTTTGATTTCTCACGCGCCGAAGCTATGTCGGGGTCGTTGACCGTTTCTTCTGTATAGATAGGAATCTCGATATTCCTATAAGCAGCTCTGTTTTTGTTGTTATTCGAGCCAAGCACGGTAAATTTGCGATATCGATCACACTTCAAGCTAGACCACCAACAGAAATAATTTACCAAACTCTGCTCGTCGTTTGGATCGATAAAATCTGTGACCCATTCTACTTTCCGGATCTCTTCACTCGTTTCTCCGTCTCCAAAATCGGCTATGATCCCCTTCAGGGCCTCCCACGCTCGGAATCTTGCTTCGAGCTCTTGCTTCCCTAAACCGGATTCTGCTAAGAGCTCCTCAAGATGAGGGTTGTTTTTGTGTGCCAAACACATCCTCTTTCGTTCCGCTTCTTTCTCCAACGTAACTACTTTAAGGTAGTCCAGAAAATCCGCACAGGCCATAATCAGATAATGAGGGTTACAGCAGTAATTTCTAAACCATTCCAGAAACTTGTGAAGCCGGACCGGATCTGATAGTGCAAAACTGGGCGTGATCAAAAAGGCTCGGCCCTGGGGAAATAATCGTGTTAGTTGGAGTGTGCCAGGTTCAATAGACGCGTATATATCCGAAGGGAATCTCGGTGGATTATATTGTCCTGTAGCGAGATCCCAGAGTGTGTAACAATGTTTGTTGTCAATCATTTGGAAGATCCGGGGCAGTTTTCGGATAGATGTACTAACATCTTCGTGTAAGATGATAGTACCTGATTTGCCTGCTTGCACGGTCTCGTGGAAGTGTACCCAGCTGTCCTTGATTTCGTGGGTGAATATTTGGCAGGCTGGTTGACATGAACCTACAAACATTACAATTAGTAACTATACCTTCCGTCATAATGAAAATAATATGTTTTGGATATCACTCACGGAGCCAAAGCTTAATCATATTGCATACTTGCTTTTCTCTTTCGGGGAAAAGCAACATGAACACCTGATTATCCTTTTCTTTAGGGTTTTGAGGCAAAAACAAAGAGAAATCCAACCCAAGTAAGTCCTTAATAAGTACTCGGCAGTGTGATCCTTGTTCCACATGGCTCAGTCGGGTTGGAGCACGAGGAACGGACGCTGGGGGGTAGAGTTTCATATCGTCGCGCGATTTATAAATTATGTATCGTAAATGAGATTCTGGGTTGAGCTTGCTTATATCGACGCCAAGTTCGTTCCAGCCATCGCAATTTGAAGGATAGACAAGAATTGAAAATTGTTCCGTGATTAGGTGACTACCATATGAGTTTCGTCGAAGGTGTTCCGCCACATTACTCAAGGTTGACGAAAGCTCCTTGGATTTGGCCTCTACTGTACCGTCAGAGAGAGTTTCCCCCATCATTAACGCACCTTTGCGAAAGACGAAATTGTACGAAGAACAGATGGAATCAAAATGGAATGTTTCTTGTGCCATAAAAGCCGATAGCCAGGGCTGAACTTGGCGAGTCATGCCACAGAATAGGACTTGGATCGGCTCAGATCCACTCTTTCCGAATACGACTGTCTTTAGAACGACCTGAGTCTGCCCTCGCTCCTGGTAAGTGGCCAAGGACAATCTCCTTGATGGGTGAACTTTAACCGAGTCCGGAGTTCCTGGGGGATGTTCGATGTCCATTGGACTATCAACAACAAGACCGACTCCGTCATCTGTGGCTCCGCCCATGGGCGTATCCTCCGGTGCGTCATCCTGCGCTCCAGTAAAGCGAACAGACTTCTTCGCCTTTAGTGTCGGTGTAGTTATGTTCGCGCCGCTCGGCGATATTGCCGTAGGACTTTGTACAATTGGAGCGTTTGCTATGGGCGTAACTGGGGAACTCGCGTTTGTCTGGCCCGGGTTCGGCCGACTACGCTGGTCATTTGTTACGAAGAAACTAGGCGGGATAGATGAGATATCAAGGTGCGCTCCATCCATTCTTTCGATACCCCGTTTTTTTGCGATGTTCATGACACGCATTGAATTGAAGGCCTTGGGTGCCTTTGACGGGTCATCCATAACATCGCCAAGACTCGCCCGCTTTTTCCGCTCTTTACCTCCAATGAAGACGTTACTTTTTCGTGTAGGTAACGTGGCTGTTTGAGGTTGAGTACGAGTCGCGGTATGCCGCTTCCCAGAAAATTTGTTTGCCAGGCTAGACGACATCTTCGGCGGAAGCGACGAAGGGGCCTTCGACGTTGAATTTGACGCCGTTTGATTTGATGTTTTTTTCGTGTCTGTGCTGGGCTTCCTTGCAGTGCCTTGGTACCCGGTCATGGTAGTACCTATTCCCCCATCGCCCGAAGACGCCCGTTTTGGTTTTGGAGGCCGCTGAGTCGGCTTAGACGATATTGGATGCGTTGGTGCCCGCTTATTCTTATTCTTATTCTGAACCGAGCTCGCCTCTGTAGGGGTTGGGATTCCAATAAACATCTTCTGCTTGACGATTTTCTGAGGTTTTATCTTGGGCGTTGGATTACCAACGTTACTTGTCTCTTTAAGCCCGCCATCGAGGTCCATTTCATCCCCAGAGGCAATCATTGTAGAAGAATCCTCAGTAGGAGATTCAAGAGGCAGAGGTGCGGTGAGCGGTAACCCCAGTCTCTTCCGTTTTGCATTCCGTCTCTCGTGCCTTTCAGCCTTTTCTCTGCATGCAGTGTTATATATTTCAATGTCAAAAGGCAGGCGCTGTCCGGTTGCAATTTCCTCCTGGATCTCCTCCCATTGCGCAAGGAGACCCGGTCCTAGGTTTTCCACTGGCTCCCACGTACACTGATCTATCGGAAACCCATCCCATTTGATCAGGTACTGTCTCTCACCCGGTCTTTCCGGGTGAGCCCGATCGGCGTAGAGGTCTGCGACGGTCCATTCTTTATCCTGATCTTCACTATTGACTCCGTAATCAGTAGAGGCTAGGGAAATATTATCTATATCATCAGTATCACTGGGCCCAGCAGGAACTGATAGACGAGTTGGGGGAAACGCCATCTTAAAACATTAAAAAAGGCGTGTTCGACACGAGCAAGTAAAAGAGGGCAGAAATCGGATGGTGATTAGGGCATGAGGTACCCAGGTAAGAGGTAGGTACGCAAATAGCGTTCTCTTACGGGTAACTTCGTTATATTGAATTGATTCGGACAACGGCGATTATTTGAAATGATTTACGAGAACGCTCTCAATATGTATATGTTCATGTGCATGGAAATTTGTGTTAGTAGGTACAGGTATGTAGTTGTTGATTGTTGAGTTTTGATACCAGGTACCTTGGTGCCCAGAAGATTTTGGGCATTTGGACTAGAACGCACTGGCCAATTAGATAACTGAAGCCGGGAAACAGCAACCAGAAAGCGTACCTGGCCGTTCTGTTGACCGCTATGATGTATATTGTGCAACTGTTTAATGTGGCAAGCATAAGTACCTGCATTAGGTACCTACCTACATGTAGGTAATATATAGGTAAATTGTGCCTTCCAGTTGAGCAATTGGGTTAGGTTGATCTGTACAGTACCTATTTTATGTAGAGTTCTTATTATTGATGGAGGTTAAAAAGCTCACCTTCTTATTTTAAATTTTGCTCAAGGTAAAGAAGATGTAGCTATCTAGGTAAAGTAATTGCCAGATAGAATATAATTTTAAGATATTTCTATTATTGCTACGACCCTTATCACTTATATGATATATAAAAGCCAAGGAATTAAAAATACCGAATCATGAATACCGTTTGCCCGTGCGCTAGATCTCATCTCGACATCTAAATTTGTGGAACTCCATCTTACGTAACAAAAGAGAATATCTACATTACGCAGCGTAGTTCAATCAAAAGGATAGAAGTAACTACTGCAGGTAGTGCCACACGCGCTTTGACGCGGATAATATACCTAATCTTATCAGTAGCGATACTCGCCGTCCGCGCTTCTACGTCCGTTCGACCTTGGCCTATCATCGTCCCGTTCATCGTTCAGCCAATCCTCGACATTTTTCCAGCTGCGGGCCTCCGGGTCAACCTCGCGCTCGAGGCCGCGGCTTCGAGAACGACCGTAGTCGCGTTCATCCCAATCCCTTCTCCAGCTAGAGCCGCTACTACCGCGTGGGCGAGCGATAACCTCGCGCTTCTCAATGACGTCGCGGTCCGACCTGAACCTGCGCTCCCATTCCTCTTGCTCGAGCCTGTCCCTTTCGCGCCGCACCTCGAGCCGCTTCTCGACCGCGTTTGCGCCGAGCGCACCAACGGCTGCACCGACCATCGTGCCGATGAGTTGCTTGCGCTTCTGGTCAGGGGTTTCGTGGTGGTGGTGGCCGTTGTTCTTGTTTGTAGCGTCGACTGCTTCCCTAGCCGCTAAGCCACCTACTAATGCGCCAAGTACGCCAATTCCAAGGCCCGCAGTAGAGTTGGAAAAGTTGTTATCGACAAAGTTCCGTGCCTTGTCGATTGGAGTCCGCGTCCGGCTGTCATCAGAGTATTCGCTATCGCTGTCTCTGTCGTGATCTCTGTCCTTTCTCCTTCCGCGACTTGATCTCCGATATTCACCTGAGGGGAGAGATCTAGGTCGCGAGCGCGATTCGGGTATTTGTAAGCTCGACGACGACTGAGACGGGTGCGGTTCATAAGTTAGCTGTTTTAAAGGCGGCGACTCATCGTACGTAGGGTTTGTCGTGTTTGCAAGTTGTCGGCTTTCCTCGTAGGATATTGGGTAGTCGCCTCCCGAGTATGTGTAGCCGGGAGAACGGTCCCGATGGTGGCTCGACCGCCCGCGAGAACGGCTGTCATGGTAACGCGACATCTTTATGGTTGGTAGGCAAATTTCACGAAACGTATACTAATTGTCGCAGTAGGATACCAGATGTCTAACGGTAGTTGGAGTTGCGAAACAGAAGTCGGTGTAAAACAAAATATGCTGGACGTAATAGTAAGATTTTATTCAGCAAGATAGATGAGTATTAAAACCCTCAAGCCGAATAAGATCCGAGACAAGCAGAATTGCTCAGGTAGTAGTTGGTGGATAGGCAGATTTTCGTATTATTATCTCGCCGAGGTATATTCTGCCCAGGCTGAAAGGCATAATGGGTAAATACACGCAATATATGTACAGAACAGATAGTAACAAGAGTCAAGGCAAAACATTAGTATTAAAGTATTAGTCACTGTTTTTACGGCAATGCCTTCTGATCCCGCGCCATTCTGTCGTGCATCGCATGCAAGACGTGATACGCTAGGAGAGTTGCAGCGAGAGGTATGTAGAATGCTCGGGTGAATGCTTGGGGGGACTGAAGGATGAGTTTCTCGGCGCTGTTGGGCTTAGATCATGCCCGAGGTGTCTCCCGCTGCGGACTACGGCGGGATGGCGGATGACCATTGGTGGGGTCATAAGCAGATGATGTCACGCATTTGATTACCTGCATGTGCTCAAGTCACTCCAAACAATTAGATACTTAGGTACATAAGTGCCAAGAACCACATTCGGTAATAAGCACTTTTCGAGTTTTGCAGAGGCAGCCTATTCTTTTTGGAATGACGATGGTTTACTCGCCCGGTCGAACAACGATAACTATGGGCTTTAAGACGGGCGGATCTACATTATTAGACTTTACATTCGATATTAGCTTCGCTATTAGGTAGTGACAGGATCTCACCGAAAGTGAAAGAATACCTATGCAAGGTACCCGAACGACGACACGAGGCTCTCCCTTTGATTAGCCGACCGAATAGCCAGCTTAGCCAGCCTACCGAACTAGCGTATATACCTGTGTCAACTACCGCATGTCTATCCTCGTGTAGCCTGACCTAAATGATGGCAGAAAAAGGAGGTAGCATCCGCAATGGCGCCAGGCACAGAGGCCTTACAGATATCGTGTAAATGCTTAGCCTCTGGTATAGCCACAGTATGGTTTTTAATATGACCTTCAATGTTGTTAGTAGGCATATTGGTACCTTTGTCGAGATGTTCAGCCTTATTAGCCTGACTTGAAATCGCACTTCCTCCCTAATACAATAGCAATAATAAAGGGGTCTATATACGAAACACAAGTTTGCAAACCAACCAGTTATTATTGAGTTGTGAGTTCTATCAACCTTACTAATGTACAATCTTCTGTCAGTATTGTTGAAATATACTGACGAAAAGGCACAAGGCTGTCAGATCAAGCTGCAAGAAGGACAAGCCAAGAAATATATCGTTCAAGTATCATCATCTGTCATCATCATCTTCCATGATCCATTATCCGTAATGCGGGATAATTCCGACGCATTGGGATATGAAAGGCGTGAGAATAGTCGATTGTCCAGATGAGATGTGATCGTTACACGGAAACATTTTTGTGTCGCAGTAATGGAGGAAAATAGTACACAACGACGTCCCCCACCGGTAGGATGAGGCCGAAGTCGAAGCCCCCGTTGAAGTCGTGGTCGAATTCGAGGGTTGTATGTTGATCGAAAGACACGGTCTATGCGATCTTGACATAGTGAGGCGAACGAGGTCATTGCCTGTCGCGGTATGTGCAAAGAAGAGAGTTGAATCTCCTGAAAAAGGTTCGTCACAAGACGAAGCAAAAAAGCAAGACAAAATAACTATCATCCATCTGGAGACAATTGTGGTATCGTAACTGTGCGACATTATCTAACCGGTCTTCATCTCATAGACGCGATGCTAGAGAAGATTTGAGGAATTTGTTGAAAATTCTCTCTTAGAGTCAGAGCCGGAGAATGTCATCTCGAACAAGGAAATCGGGTATCAGAACATCGAAGAAAACCAGAAGGTTCATCCTGAACAAGTCGTAAAAGCGCCAAATATGGTAAAGACCACGCAGGAATTTCCCATATGGGATATCATCAAGGGACGAACGACCCATAGAGCCCACGCCCTACTGCCGCCTATCCTACTTCGTCAAAGCATGCGGCTGTTCCGAGGGGTTATACACCTTAGGCTCAAGAATCGGGCCGCTAAAGTCGCGCTGTCTCGGCGGGACATTGATCTGATTCTTGATGCGGTACTCGCCGGGATGTTTGCCCTTGGGAGGGGACAGATCATCCTGACTTCGATGTTTGAAGCCAGAGTTAGGCGCGTACTCCACGAACGACTTCGCCGCCTCTTCTTTCTCCTGCTTCTCCTGGCGGACCTCGATAATAGTCCGGAAGAATTGGCACACTTCCGCCAGCGAAGTCTGTAACTCGGGAGGGCTGTTGAGCAGCTGCATGAGCGCCTGGGAGTCTAAGATGTGCTTCGCGATGACCGAGTCCGGCTGGCAGTGTGTGCGGATCCGCATGTTGCGCGCGTTCATCTTCATACCGTATAGGAGGCCCTTGACAATATGGCCGTCTGCATAGTGCGGACCATGGAATCGGAAGTTGCCGATGTGTGCGTATATCATGTCGATTTGGGTCTCAAGATCGTAGCGGAATCCAATCACCTTCGGACGACCCATCTGTGCCCAGGAGTCGGCTATCTTAGCATGAATGTGCGGGTTCATGCGTCCGAGGTGCAGTTGGCCGTTGATGTATCCACTTAGGGTATTGCTCAGGATGAACTCTAGCTCACAGTAAAGCAGACTCTGCTCACGGGGATCAAGGGTGATGTTGAGTTCACGAGCAACACTCACTCTGGATGCACCAACTCTAAAGTCCGCCATCCCAGCCTGTATACAATATGTCAGTTTCAGCAGTTAGAAAAGAGGGAATCGATAAAAACGTACAATCTTTCGAGCTGTCTTCTTCATGCCATCGAAGAAACGCGCATTCGTAGTCTTCGGGCGCTCAGGTTTCTTTTGCGCGGCGGTATCTTCGAGCCATCCTTTATCTCCGAACAGATTCTTCTTCACCTTCTTAACCTTGTCATTGGTAAGCCACGGCGTCAACGGTGTAAAAGGCGGTGCGCCGTATTCCCTAGTAACATCATTGACGGTGAGAGATTTGGGTAGACCTTGACTACCTTTCTCGGGCGAGTGCTCTCGAGAAACAGCGTGAGATACCGGGACATCTGAAATAGGTGTGACCGGATGGTTGCGCTCCTCCGTAGGTTGCTTCTCCATCCAATTAGAGTAACCCTTTAGAATGCTACCCCTTCCCAATCCAGCTTTGTAGGGGTCGCCCGAGGGCTCTTCGTAAAGGTGAAATGGTGTACTAGCTCCGTATACTGAGGGGCTATCATTGTCAGAGCCCTGGTCTTTCTCTGATGAAGGGATGGGATTGTGAACGGCCTCGATGTTCGCGTGCCTCCCGGTCGTCGCACCATACCTGTGAGCCTCCTTGAGATCAAGCGGTTCAGGACGACGTTTCTCTTTCTGACGAGCAGGAGTAGACACAGCCGGTTTCGGAGGAAATTTGTGTCGGGACATGTCTCGAGATCTTTGAAGAGGTTCTTCATCGCGCATGTTAATGAGATCCGATACTGTTGTGACATGGCTGGGGAAGTTGCCCCCGGCGCTCTCAGGCACAGGAGAGAGGAGTTCATCGGCATCACTCGACTGGAATTCGTATCTATTCTGTAGTGAGCGTCCACGTTCCGGGGAGGCGGGATTGCCGAGTTGCTGGTATGTGCTAGATGAAGCACTGTTTCCTCTACTACGGCTGTAGTACGGAGGAGCATCACTGGGCTCGTCCCGGTAAGAGCGTGATCCTGATCGCGAATGAAAAGGTTCTCTGCTAAGCGCCCGAGCTCTAGCCACGCCTAATTCTAGCTCTACGGCGCTGCGGCCTCCTTGAGGAGTAGAATACCTACTATTGTTAGAAAGAGGTAATCATTGCCTAGGTAGGTAAATATATTTTGAGGGACGTGCTCGTGCTTACATCTTAGAAGAGTTGTTGAAAAGGGCGCGTTCAACTTCGGACTGAATAATAGGTAGCGGAGACGACAGCCTACGAAGGGATGCTCTCTGGAGAATAGCAGGGTTGTCGCGTGAGTGACACGAGGCTGAAGTGCTGCTTTGCGTTGATGCTGATGCGTCTGTTGTGTGCTGGAGTGCAGTGGTATGAAGGGAACAACTATCCGTAGGCGACGTCAAATCCGTAAAGGGACTGAGCAGTTCCGGATCCTGAGTACTTTCAGATGTGCTGCTAAGCCAATGTTTGACTTTTTCCTGTTCTTCTGGACCAAATGCAAATTCAGCATACGAGCAAATAAGGAATCTCGTGATAGGGGCATAAGAATTAGGAAGAGGGTTGTGCGGACTAGATAATTGAAATTGGTAAAAAAAAAAATTTCTACTTACCCTTATCAAAGGTCGTGCTTAGGGAAGTTGTTGCTGATGTTGGTGAAGGTGCTACATCCTTAGGGAAATTCTGTTTCGTCACTTTGTTGTCGCCTAGGTGACAGGTTAGAATACAGTCCGCCAGTCAAGCACCTCAATCCTCCCTATCAGCCGTTACCAGTTGATGGTTACCAGTTGATGGCTACCAGTTGACGAGACGTACCAGAGCAAGTCCCCCATACCCAACGAGCGCTTCCAGCATCATCATTGAATATCGGGTTAGATGAGTGATATCTTTCAGCAGTTAGGACTGCTATAGGGCTCGGCATCCCAGCTATGAATATGTGTTAATCGAATGCAATGTACATAAATGCAACGTAGATATAGACATCATAATATACCTTGAAACAGTCCATTAAATCGAGTCGCCTGGGCGAAATCACTTGCTCCTTCATCATCAGCCATATTGTCGGGTGAGAAGACAATTAGATGAAGATGGTTAATTTTACGTGATGTTGAAGAAACTTTCGTTAAAAGGCACCGTTAAGGGCGCCGTTCAATGTTCTAAGTACACTACCTAGCAACGGAACAACTGACCGCCTAATTTTTTCAGGTTTTTTTGTGACCGTTTTGATACTTTCCACGCATCTCTTGTAATATTAGGCATATGAGAATCTTTCAATTGTTGCCCCTTAAACACAGCACAAAGACGAGAGCTACTAAATTCTACATTGCACATAGCTGATTTATCAAGCACTGCGATAGCCTCTTGTGTCACACTTGCCCTTCAAGAACACCCTTCTTCCGTTACCACACTTCTGTGGACATCTTCCTCATTAAATTCAGGCGTACTAAGACTCGGTGATAGCTCGATTATGGTAGTCTTACGATTTGATGTTGATGAGGTATGGGTACCGGAGGCTTCTGCTGGCATCGTAAATTCCACGTTTTTGAAAAGTAGAGAATCACGACGTCGTAAGCCATGTCTATTTCTAGATAATCCATCAGCTACAATCAACATGAACCACGGTACCCAATACGCACCTTTCTTGAATAGACGATAGCTGGACATGATTAGAATCCAATAGTGTCGAGAGGCCTTGGTTACTTAGCGTCGAAGGTTCATCTGACTGTAATTGCCTCCATGTGGTCCTATCAAAGTCTCGCGGTATAGTTTCACCTAGGCTATTGAGCGCAGATCGGTTCGAAGTGGTGTAGTTTGCAGTTGCTAGTAGCTGCGTGGTATCCCTGTCACCATCTACTATTTCTTCCAGATTAAAGACAATCCCTTGTCTCTTTATTGATATCCGTTGGTAATCTGCAGATTGTTCGGTTCCCTCCAAGTTACTTTCTTCGAATTGATCACCAAGCTGCAAGGTGCTCGTACCCTCAATTGAATCAGTTAGGTCGAATCTCCTGCAAGTTATCGTGGGCTCCTCGGGGCTCCATTGGTAGTCTAGTCCTCCATCAAAGTTTAGTTGTGGTGTAAAGGGGCCTCGGAACGACCATTTTCGTGCTCTCTCTAACAATCCGGTTGAGGCAGCCTTCACGATGGTGTCGGTGGCCTTTGATTCGGCGGTAGGCATCTGTCTTAGAGGTAGGCACGGGGGCAGTGAGTCACCAGTCCCGACGAGTAAGTATTTCCTAGCGAATATTGCATTCGGTATCTGGCAGCCGTTAGGTAGCGGCACAGTAGCGACATCCGGACAGGTTCGTTTGGTTCGAAATGATGAGGATGAGGCTGGCTCGAACGTGAGCGCACCCGGGATCCAACTGCACCGTCTTTGGTCTAGTTCGGGCTTATGTTTATGCATATGAATCTTATCTGATAGTTTACTAAAGAGACTGGATCTAGATGAATAACCACGAAGTCCTTTGCAAGGTTTTGGGTTGTCGAGAAGGAGAGTATCCGCTGTACCTGGGGGTGATGTCGCGCTTGGACGATCCGGGGAGGCAATCGGCACATCTCGCTCTTCGATGAATTTGCCTTGCGCGCCGCACTCGTGGCTCCATTGCATCTCATGGAACTTCTTAGGATTAGGGCTGTTAAGTGGGCGAGTACCGTCGTTTCGTGAAGAGATGTATAGTGTGTGATCAATAAGCCATGCCTTTCGGTTGCGTATGCAGCTTGGATCGATAGATGCCCTCTCAGTCGAAGGAGATGAATCGGACAATACGAAGGGGTATCTGTCTGGGTGTTCCGATCGCCATTGCGCGAGCTTCTTTGTTGGAATGATTGAAGAAGTAATAGTGGTCATATGTGGGACGTGAGGAAGTTCGAGGTCAGCCTAGGGGATACCGTCAGCTCTCAACTACCTAGGGAGAAAGGCTTGTGAACTTCTAACATATCTGCGTAGGTGATCATGTTTCCACCTTTGAAACGCGGCCCCCGGATCATCAGTATGCTCACAGTCGACTTCAATCAGTTCGTAAAGTACACCACCCGCCAAGTCGAGATTCTCGTCACCAAGATGCTCTCGTAAAATTAAGAAGATCTAGGTAAAATGTGTTAGAAGGTATACAGGTATTTGAAGATATGGGATACGAACCTGTGGAATTCCGTCTTTGTATTGGTAGTTCCTTGGGATGTGTGCGCAGTATCTTACAAGCACGTTGCGACATTCTAGATAATTGTAAGTTACGACGATAATATAAGGGGATCTTAACCATATACTCACTCTCTTCATGATAGCCGATTCGATCCAGATTATGAGTTCCAGACCGCTTGAAGCTGTGGCTTATATTGAGGTCAGGACCGTCAGGGCCATCTTCGTCCTCGATAATTTGTATAATATCCCCGGTGACACTGCTGTCTTCCTCTGCAGAAGTCTTAAGCCCCGTATGGCGACGCAACGTCCTCGATATCATATTGCAATTGATCAGAAAGGTCGTATAATTATGCGTGACGGAGCAAGCAAGTGTTTGGTCTAGAGACCAGAGCGGAATACATTTAGGCTAAGGGGTTCGACGGGACTGGCGATGTAAATTATTATTAAGGCCATGAATTTGTTTGTGACCCTGAAGTTAAACATTTCATGTAGAAGAAAGAAAAAAGAACGTCGTGATCGAGACTTCCTGACACGACGGTGAAAACTTAGTTGTTCCCACACGTGCCCTCAGTATTGCTATGTTCTTGCCCTTTATGAAACGAACATATAAGAGGTACCCGTAACGGCGCCAATTAGAATCAAAGTCTATTTGGGTACCTAATGTACCCCATAGATGCCTAATGCTTTCCCCAGCCTTTGAAGGATACATGCTCCTTCCGTCCGATTGACATTATATAGGGATGTTTACATGTAGTCGCCTGAGCCATGTATTGACTCTGTGTAAATGATGCTCTGTGGTATTTCTGTATATCAGAGTAGTATAAATATATTAGGTACCTATTTAGCAATCTTATGGGATATTGCTGATACCTACATACCTACCTAGGTACCTAATGTACGTCTAAAGTATGTAACTGATAAAGAACCATCTTTGCACTTATAGGCTTATATCGAAATGCCGAGGCCTCTACTAAAGAGGTAAGATGATGTTTTATAGCTGGGCCATCTTCTCACCCAATTTATTTGTGCAAAAAGCACTAAAATACTCGTTTAATGCGTCCACGGTCCCAGAGCCTTCAACTAAGCTCGTTACGATACCCACGTAACCATCGGGTCGAACGACGATGACCCCACCCCTTTCTTCATCGAATCCCATCTTGGCGTGGGCGGCGGCTTTTGCATCGGGTACGCGGCGGTCCCATCTGTCATCAGCATATATGTGGTCACGGTAACGAGCAAGGAGGCTCGGTACATCCCGTGTGATCTCGATCTGACTCCGCTGGGCAGCAAAAACGGTACATATAGTAAAGAAGAGGCTGTGAGGGTTGTGCTTCTCGTGGTGCGAGACCGAGTCAATGTCTGGCCGAAGATAGGAACTGTAAAATGACCCCTTGTTGCTGAGGCGAAGGGCAAAATCCTCCAGTGCCCTGGAGGTTACCGCAGGCTCTCCAGCGAAAATATAGATACGGAACGCACCGTTGAGAGGAACTTCTTGTTCTAAATGTACGACATTTGCGTCGACAACCCTCGTGACGTCAGCGTTGATCATAATTCGACCCGTTCGCAGTTTGCTTCCTCGAGGATCGATTAAAGAGGACTTGGCTATGTGAGCTGGAGACCAGTTTAGCGCGTTGGGTTTGTAGGCTACACCATATCCACTAGTAAATTCGCAAGACTCCTTGAAGGTCCTAACGAAGGCATTATCTTCGGCCTGTGCGTTTGTCTGCTCCGAGGCGGCCTGTACCTCTTTTGCGGCAAGCGGCCGTTGCGAGAATAGTTTGGCATATTTGTTGTCAAATGAGAGCAGAGTTTCTGCGACATCCTTACGTTCAGTTTCGTAGGTTGTTAAGATGGCTCGATCAGCGAATCCAGCTTCGACAGCGTGGATTTTCCAGGCGAGATTCAGGGCATCGAGAAATGCTGTATTCATTCCTTGACCAGCTTTTGGCTACCGAGAAGTCAGTAACGCTGTCTAAGAATGATGTATGGGTCTTACACTATGAGTATGACAAGCATCACCGCCTAGAAACACACGGTGATCAATTGTGTATTTATCTGAAATGCCTTGTCCGATAGGATATACCGAGTACCATTCTACACGTTCCCATTCGATGAGGTATGGATGAAGAATCTTCTTCGCGGAGGCCTGAACTTGTTCCGCAGTAGCTGTCCTACGCGGACTCCAGTCTGCATCCGTAGACGATGCGATCTGTATGTATAGCCGGACCATGTTATCTTCGCGAGGAATGACCATTATCGAGCCATGTCCGGAGTGTATAGTACATTTCATCTAAAATCGTCAGTGTAAAGCTAGCCGAAGCTATACAATGAGACTTACCTTGATATCTGGGAAGTCGGTCTTAACAACGCCATCAATAACACCCCAAACATGCGTAATGGGATCCTTATGTGTGATCTTAATTCCCAACTGGTCTCTGACAAATGATCTAGCGCCTTCGCCGCTAAACAAGTATTTAGCTCGAACTGATTCTCGATGTTGTCCGTCGACGTGTTCCAGATGTACTTCAACGGGATACTCCGGATCTACTTTGTCATCCGACTTAAACCCCTTAATAGTCCATGGCCGTTGGATCTGAACGCCGTTCTTCTCTAGATCTGAGATGAATACACGTTCTATTCGACCCTGATGTAACAGTGTGGTGAAGGGATATCTCGCATCAATGAAACTAGGACAGCTGGCCCAGGTACCTGTTCTAACGATGCCTTTGCCATTATTGGGTGGGTCCCAAAAGGCTACTTCAAAAACGCGCGCGGGCTTATGAGCCATGATGGCAGATTTTAGGCCCATATTGCGAAGGAGGTCTAGGGACCGAGGCTGGATGCCATCTGCGCGCCCCGTGGGTGTAGGCTCGGGTCGATTGTCAATGTGTTTAATTTTATAACCCCATCTCGCGAGGCACGTCGAAAGCATGAGCCCTACAGGACCAGCCCCAATAATTACTGAATATACGTTAGTGTTATACGGTGATCGATGTCAACTCACTTACCAATATCATAATGTGGCGAAGTAGACTTCTTTGAAGATCGATTATCCATCGTTCTTGATAATCGACTAGAGACCCAGATAGGAGGAAGTGAAAATCGATGATGTATAGGTAGTGGAAACAACTAACGCCGTGTTGGATAAGAGTCAACGACTAAAATTAGGATCACAACTCGAGTATTTACGTATGTATCGATAGGTGAACTTTCTCAAACGTAGACGATACGTGAGACTGGGATAAGGGAATGCTCGTGTCTAGTTCTAAGTAGGTTGGGTATTAAGTATTAATTTAACTCGCTTAGAATATATGTGCTAATACCGAGGGAGAGAGATAGCTGGAACAGTAAAGACACCGGGTCCGCGCTAGTAGCATCCAACGGCAGGAACATCGGGAAGTGCAACTTTATTAGAGCTGTCATCATTGATATTTCCTTTAAAGGCGCAGAAGCCAGAGAGTGGGCAACCTCTTAGGCTTGTCATTGGCTTTGAAAGGTCGGTGGACGCCGATAGAAATAAGATTGAGGGACCAGAATCAGCCAGAATAGCATGAGTACAGTGCAGGGTAGGCTACTTAGTCTTAGACAATACTGATCCTTGGTTGTTTGGTCTCGTCAATCGTCAATACGATAAGGAGAGCCCCCCTCGGGTCCGCTTCCGTCGGCCATGATCAGCGAAATATGGCTGCTGGCTCGCCTTGTATCATAAGTAACCCGGGATGTCAACACGGCAATAAAGTGTGGGGCCGTAGTGGGGGGTTAGTCGCGGCTGAAGAGAGCGGGAATGAAAATGAGACGACCGAGCCTGCCGAGGTTCCCTTAGTGGAACAGGGGAGGTATACATACAACCTTTTAGCTAATCTTCTTAACTTCCTAACTTCCGTCGGCGTTAGCTATTAAGCTTTCGGAAATATTAGACCTTAAATATTAAGTTCCTAGCCCCACATACACTTAATGGTTGACTTTTAAAAGATGCTTTGTTTTTCTCGAGATCGTATTTTTTTTTAGCAGTTTTCCACTAATAGGTCGGATATGAAAAATTCGGCTTATTTACACGACACTTAATCATATATGTATATCAATTGATATGTTCAATCATTCCCTTTCCCTTGCATATAAACCAGAGTAAGATGCTACTTAAGATGTTAAAGTATGAAGTGTAAAAGGTCAACTTACAATATTTAAAGCTCGTGGTTGGGTAGAGATTTTCCTTAAAAGTCATTGTTTGAGAAGAGAATTTGTACGTCGGGGAAAGAAAAAGAAATAAAGCACCTTGCTCTGTTAACCCCCCCGGGGATCGTATGTAATAATTCAATAGGTATATTACAATTAAATGCTGATTGGTGAATAATACCTACCAACCTACTCTGTCAGAAAGGCGTCAAAAAAGCTGGCGCACCTTTACTAACAATTATCCTGGTAGATGCGCCACCTTTTTTGACGTCCTTCTGTCTGTATTAGGTTGGACATTGCAACATATCGGGATCTTGCAGGTGAGGCTGAACCAGGACCTAAATCAGGGATTGTTCTGCCGGGAGCTCAGCTTTGAATTTGATGATTTACATAGGTACCTAGGTACCTAGTGTATTATTTTTAGACATCGGATCAACTCTAAAGTCAAACGCTGCATTTGAATTAGCATACATTCCATATCTGAGGAAGAACCTTCTGATGAATTAGCAATATTACACAAACTACATAGGTACCTAATGTGCCTAAAAGATTTTCAACTAAAGTTACGTGTAGGTACCTCTTTAGGTTAGGTAAATACATGTATAATTGATCTACAATAAGCAGTCATAACGAGGAAACTGTAAAGCAGCTACATAAATGGAAAGAACTATTATATCAGGTCCTTCCAATATGCTGTGGTCAGTGCGTACATAATTGGTGTAGTATGTACTTCGTACCTACCTACATGATGTCAAATGGCCCCTATGCAGTTTAGTGGCTTGTAATTACAGGGGTCAATATAGGTGATCGACAAGGCTGGATGCGGCGAAGATAGATGTAATAGATGGTCCGTGCATTACTAACGCGCTTTCGTTCTTTCCCTATCGAACTGCGCAACCTCAACTTTTCCATCTAGATGCACCTTCCTTCCTACATCGAACCTGATCGCAGAACGTCGCTGCCCAAATCAGTTGCGAAATTCGATGCGCATGTACGTATAATAGCTCGTAAACATAAACCTTATTTTCGATCCTGGTTTCCTAGACAGCAGATTTGGTTGCCTTAAATTTCGCACTTCTCAATCCAACTCTTTCCTTTCTTCCCAACTCACACTCCACTTCGCAACGATCACAACAATACAACAGCAGCCTGTTGACAGTTCCTGCACACTTCATCTGATCACACATTGCCTACCTTTTCCCAACATCCAATCACTTTTTTAAATTCAGTTTATCTGAACTTGACCTATCGCACCTACAGCAAGGATATACCTCTGTAGCCTTAACTTCCTCATTCCCATCCACACTTCCATCCACACTTCCATCCACACTTCCATCCACACTTCCATCCACACTTCCATCCACACTTCCATCCACACTTCCACACTTCCACACTTCTACATACAACCTTCGCGGGTAGCAACCGTTATTGACCATGGACTCATCACAGCACTCACCGCTGCACGATTGGCGCATTCCCGTCCATTGCATTTTTTGCTCTCACTGCCGCGCAATTCGCGCAAGCATCAACCGAGAAGCCCATGACCAGGCGCACTTGAATGCACAAGTCCACGCCCGGGAAGTCGGTAACTCGTCACGTCCCGCACCTCTACATCGAGCTCGAGTTATTAAGATTCCACGATCAAATCTATCCGTGACTATCCAACTTCCGAACCTGCAACACCCTGTTGCGCCTGACGACAAGTCGACCCTTCCCAAATCGAGAAAGCGAATCCGCCCTCGTTGGGGAGAGCCTAGTGAACTTGAAGCGACAGCAGCTGAGCCAGTCGCATCACAAGTAGTGAGTTCATACCTTGCTAATACACTTTCAGCCCAAGCAGGCTTGTCCCTATGATTTGGCGCTAACATTAATTTAATCAAGAGCCCAAGATCTCGGCCTCGTTAGGAACCTGCCCGACATACTTCGCAAGGCTTAGCTACTGAGCAACAATACCCTTCAACAAGGACCGAAACTCTCCCCTTCCACTCCCCCCGACAAATTCGACCACTGAGTCCCGAGACTCGAAGATACTTAGAACGGCCTAGTTCCGCTGTGAATGCGCGCGCAAGATTCCGCGTCGCTGCTCCTAAGCGTGTAATGCCTGGAGCTTGGCCATCCGAGCTGGTCGAGGTAGACAGTGCGGAAGTGCCAGTATATCATAACATGACCCTACCTACGACACCTACTCCCCCCCCATTCGCGACCAATGTTCGCAATGCCCTCACTTATCTGCGAGACTCATCTCGTAGTCTCTACACAACCTTCAATAGAATCTTCCGTCCGCGTCAAAGCCCCTCAATTCCGACACCAGCTACTTCCGAAGATGGTAGGCGGACTCCAAAGCGCCGTCGACTTGACCGCGAAGAGAATGGACCATTCACCCCTCCTGAACTTGTGGATGACCGCATGGACATCGATGATGATCCTGTTACTACTATACCTACCGGCTCATCGGCGAGCGAACTAGAAACGTCACCATCTATATCTCCTGTAATTTCACCGAACTCCGCAGCCGCTATAGCCTCTGCTAGAAGAGCTACGCGACTATTTCCTTACAGAAAGAACCTCGGCTTATCGAGTGACTCACCCAGTGACCAGACTAATGTGATAACTCCACCACCCTCGCGTCGAGAAAAGAAGCCAGTCCAACAAGAGGAACAAGTACCCGAACGGACTTGGGGACCTTTGCCTGCTCCAAAATATGCGAGCATCCAAGAGTTCTTCGCACACGATGACGAGATATGCCTGCCTGGTTTAGAACGCTTGCGGCTCACGCCGAATGATACTAAGATATATGAATTAGATTCACAACGCGAAGATCGACTGCGCATTGAGAAGGAAAAGGCTGAGAAAGAACGTCAGGAAAAACTTCGTATCGAAGAAGAACGCTTAAATGAGGCACTGCGCCCGCTCGGATTACGGAGACCGAAGGCACCTCTCATTACTCCTCTCAGCGACGAATGGGACCAGAAAGCTAGAGAGGCGCCGAATAGCGGCAAAGCAGAGCAGAATAAATGGAGAGGTGCACGCCATCGAGACGGCGTAGAACTCACACCACGAGACTTCGCGAAACTAGTACCCACAGGATCATGGCTAAATGATAACGCCATCCAATCAACTTTAGTCCATCTTGCAACTTACGTTAATGATGCAGCTGGCATTATTCCTAAGCAAACCACACCAAAATGTGTGGCGCTCTCCTCTCAATACTGGTCTAATTTCTTACGCGAACCTAAAAATAATGTCTACGCCCGAGGGTTGGACCGAAATTGGGGCATGAAACCAACCAACTTCCTCGATATTAATACGGTGCTTATCCCAGTCAATAAGAACAACCACTGGACCGTCCTTGTCGTCCGACCATCACGTCGAACAGTCTCTTATGTTGACTCGTTCCAAACAGCGGGAGCGGATCACATACATGACGTCCATACCTGGATGAAATACTTTCTGGGCGACAAATATGTTGCCGATGAGTGGCACACAGAGTATTACAGTGTGCCCACGCAGACGAATGGATACGACTGCGGTATGTTTGTAATTACAAACTCTATCTACCTGTCGCTCGGTATAGACCCGAGCGGCTACTCGGAGGGCGAAATGCCTCTCCAGAGACGGAGAATCGCCGCGATGCTCCTAAACGGCGGGTTTACCGGGCCGTTCGACTTATCACACCTCTAAATAACTCCTAATAACTCCTACCTAACCATAACTCCTCTACCTAATCATAACTCTACCTAACCGCAACTACCTAACCCTCCACTCTACCTAACCTCAATTCCACCTAACCTACTAAAAATAATCACCTCTAAATAAACACCACACAAATACTCTACACTACTATACCATTACATCACGATACCTCTACATTATTATAACTCCTCTATACCTTTATATCCTTACACCACTACTTCATTACTCATTAAATTCGCCGAAACACATAACAACGTACGTCAAGTCACCATTATATAATGTCCTGCATGGACTGGAATTGCATTGAGCCGGTGTTTATTGGAGTTGGTGGTAACAACATTGTACGCAGTTTAAACTGCATAGCATATCATGTTTGGAAAGGAAGGGCAAGCAGGCGGCATGTCCTATGCGACTTGAATTTTGTCGTGTTTGACTCTGGTTAGCATTTTTAAGATATCCTCGAAGCATGACGGGAACGGAGTTGAGTGAAAAGTCTATTGAAAGACGCGAAAGCAAGGTACCGGCGGCTCCTTCAAGCGGAAGGGCCGCCGAGGGGAGCGGGGAGTTTAGGCGTTTGTTTTTTTGGAATGCTTGGAAAAGAAGCATCATTGGATAGATAGATGCCATTTGGCGCTCTGGAGGGTAGTTCCCAGAGCTATGATGTAAGACCCTGTCATGGGCAAATACAGAGTTTCGATAGAATAGAAATCGGCGAGAACGATCAAAGTAACCACTCATCATAAATTCTCTTGAGACTTGTGAGGCGTAGAAAATATTGTAGATTATCCTAATTATAGGGGTATTTCTCTATCACATAGTATTGTGCTAGAAGTTAGGGCTGTATGTCACTCCTCGAAAAGTGTTGCCCATATACATCGTAAAGTAAAGCTTGTTATTATTACCATAGAACTACGTATGAAAACAACGTTTCCTTAGGAATTACTAGGTTCTCAGTGAAGTAGTCAGGGGTCCGCTAAATAATACTTATTATCCCAAGGGGTATATAGTAGGCAGCTGGACGAATAATGAATTAAGACAGTGAGCAATGCTAGAGTAAACTGGTATCCTCGCGGGTTTAAATTACGGGAAGACCTAGCTACAGTAGATTAACTAACATACACATAACCTGTCTGCAACCAGAAAGACGAAGCAAGCTTGCTCGCTCGCTCGCTTGCTATCTACCCAGGCACATAGGGGCAAGAATACCCCGAAACTGTTGATTGATTGATCTCCAACGCATACGACGTCCTACGCCCCGAAACAACCCTACCCGCCTTTCTTATTGAACGCCTGCTAATGCAAGTTGGATATATCGCCTCCCTCCCTCCGCCCTCTTCGAGATCTATCCATCCATCTAAAACCCTCCCATTCTTTTTTTTTGTCGGCCGCCTCCGCACCTTGATATTTTCCTCGTTCGAGCTTGGTTCGAGGGACTAACTCAACCTTGATACCTTCGAGTCGTCTGAAATGTGACCATGATGTTTCTTATGGCTTGTTTATCATCTTGTTGTATAGCCCTATTGTGGGCTTTCGGTGATAGATTATGCCCCCACCTAGTTGGAAACTCCTATTCTAGCTTTGATAGAAACTCTCGACTAAGGATAGTCTAGTTCAAGTGAAGGAGTCTCTTCGTATTTTCGTAAACCATCCACGTAATGCTAAGCGCAGGAGCGACCTTGAGCAGATTCGGCATTAGGCCCTTGTACAGACCCCTGACTCCTTCGTTCCGAATCGTCTTTTGCGCTACATCCCATATGCCGGTATAGTGGGCTGGATGCATGGTAGTGCCCTGAGTCTGTAGCCTCGTGCGGAGCACATTTAGAGGGTAGACTACCGTGGCGCCGAAGGCACCTGATGTTGCTCCCATGATTCCTGTCACAAACGTGCTTGGTCGAGCGTCCTCCTCGTGAATACCCTCAGCTTTGGCTTTGTATGATATGTAGGTCGTCTTGAGTAGCTCGAATGTGCCCATATCGATGGCCGAATACGGAAACATGCCGATAAGGCCCATAGTCACACCTCTGTAGGTAGCCCGGACGCCGCCTTCTGCCCACATCTTCTGGGCAGTTTGCAAGAGAAGGGCATTGCCGCGTGGGCCGCCAGAAACGTATTCCGACTGCAGGCTAACCATTGTATAAGTCAAAGTTGTATGCAAATGCAATGTGAGGCTTACCGGAACTTGAGGGTATCTAGGGGATAAACACAAAACCTATATTACTCATTAACCACCACCACCACCACCATATAAGAGGACGAGCAGGTACACATACTGTGCAGTCATGCCTGCTACACCGCCTGCTACGAACTTAGAATACGGATTGATCTGATGCATATCATTATGCCCTTCGAGGCTTGCAAGGGTCTTCTTAGCAGCCTCATATGCTCCAAACTGGTATGCGGTCAGCAAGATTTTAATCATACACAACACCTTGAGAGATGTACCCTGATTGCTGTCTCTGGCATGATCTTAACCACATTAAGTCCATTGCCTGGTTGATGAAAGGGTAAGCTTCGAGATGATTTGGAGTAGTCTTATCCAAGGAAGATAATTACCAGCAAAGAATCCACGAACACCTCCAGCCTTGTATATGTCGGTGATAGCTGTGACTAAGGGCCCGCCGGCATGTTTCAAGGCACGGATGGCTTGGCCCTTCTTGGCGGCGTCGACGGCGGCATTAGCGCCTACTGTTGTTTTCACGAGAAGGTAAACCTTCAATCGATCGAGTGGAGCAGTAGCAGTACGAGAAATGCCTCCCGCCACAGCACCAGCAATGAAATAGCCTGGATCGGGGAGGTATTTAATCAGCATAGATCTTTTGCTTATTTCACTCAATCCCGGTTCAATCTCAGTGCCTTCTGCTGCGGGAAGCTTCTCCTGCTTGGTGCCGAAGAGATCATCGGCAGAAGTAGTAGTTTCGGAGGTATCGTCAACATATGGCTGTGCTGCAGACATAGTCATGTTGGTCGTATCGTTGGCTGTCGGGGAATTATGCGTCACTGTTGTTCTTTGTTCGGGTTCCTCCTCGTTCGAATTCGAAAATGGAGGAATATACCCCTCGTCCGGTGGGCAGGCGATTCTGAAGATTGAACCAAAATGGGTGGAAAGAATATTCGTACCTGAGCCATGAAGAGTTTCCTCGCTGACTACCGAGTCACCCTCGGAATTGAGAGTGAGGATGTCTGTGTAGAAGGTGAAGACTGCCCGCAGCGTGGTGGTAGAATCAGTGTTAGGCATGAAAAGGAGAAAATTTCTAGGGTTGTAAGATGTCAGTACTGTTTTACACAATTGAACACGGTGACGCGTGTAGATGGGCTGTCCCACAAGCCTTTGACTTCTTAATTCTCATTCAAACAATTACCATGTAAGTATAGATAGACCTGTAGTTACTAACATTACAATAGAACCAAACGACTTTATCTCCACCAGGATTTAATCCCTCAGAGTCACGAGAAGCGGGGGGAGATACGAAATAGAAAGTAAACTAACCGCCATTCTTCAAAAGTAATGAACCCATCACGATTATGATCGATATTCTCGAAAAATTCATCTAACCGGCGTAGAGGGACCGCAAGACCAGCACGTTGCACAGCATGGTGAAGCTCTTCCTTATCAATCTTCCCATTCTGATCTCGATCGATAGATTTAAAAAGAACGTAGAGCTGACGCTCAGCAGCCTCGACAAAGACTCGAAATTCTATATCCATTCCAATCATGATTAGTTGGAGACATGACAGCATGGTGGAAATCTAGTGCAAGCTCTACAGACCCTCATATTGAATCTTGCCGTCGCCGTTCGAATCCACAACCGTTATTATACTCTTCAATAAGTCATCGGCATTTTTCATTGCTGCCGTACCAAGTCAGCAACAAAATGTCTAAGGTCTAAGACGACTAAGGCAGGGGATTAGTTGCTAACGATGATCGATCCTCTTGAGGCCTTTTTGCAACCCCTTCCAATCCAGTTCGCCTCTGCCTTGGTAGTCCAATTTTCTCCAAAGCTGCTCGACGCGTACGTCGCGCTGGTTCTGCGATTCCTCCATCTCCATCTCAAACTTGGTGATCGCCTTGGGAATGTCCATACTCAGCGATCATGACAGGCGCGACGGAAACGAGGAAGAGGCTATCGCAAAGCTGATCATCGAATGCTACGGATAGGGCATCATTAGACGCTGTGTCGGGGGCCGTTGTCGCGACTTGTCTGAGATCATTCCCTCAAACAAGTCGATAATTTGAATGTCGGTTGTTTTTTCGACAAGTTCCAATGCTTTGAACGGGGCGCGCGAAAATGACGACCATCCCGCAAAGGGAACCTCGGGGAACAAGGAATCCATGTCGAACCCAATTTGACAGCCCGATAAGCCGATAAGGAATAATGCCTACTGGATGAACCTACCGGATGACGATGCTTCCGTGTGGACTAAGGGGAAGGGACTGTGTGATGCCAGTCAAATAAAGGGGGTAATCACAGTGCAAGTCATGTCATACCGACCTATGCTAATCAATGCGCTAGGTACCTACAGGTAGTCAATGCAACCCCCACTTCGTCCGATATCTCCAGCTAGTTAGATCTTAATAACACGCAACTTGTTCTGCTTGTCATCCAATCTTCATCTTTCTCAGCCTTGGCTTGTGTAAGCCATCTCCTTTCAGCCTCACAGGGCTGGGGTTTCCAAAACCCCATCATGTTCCCCAATCCCAATGTTGGGTTTATCTAAGCTTACTTATCTTGTATTCTCTTCGACTACCTGGGTAAATACCCTAGGCAGTGTCATCCTATAGACTAATGGCGGCCAACTACTGGGAGTCAACCCAGAGGCGCTTCTGGCAGTTCTCGAAAGATGAACTTGCTCAGATGCGCGACGAGCTAGAGAAAAGCGACCAGGCCCTAGTACAAATGTTTCCATTGCCGCGGAGGACGCATCTAAATATATACTTTAATCAACGTAAGATGGTAGACCTTATCGCCTAATGCAAGGCCGCGTGCTAATGCTAGTTGTTGGCTAGAAATCGGTCGTTTAGGAAAGAGACTCAACGTCAAGCAACAAGCTGTTGCTACGGCTCAGCTATACATCAAGCGATTCTATTGCAAAGTCGAAATTCGTCGAACGAATCCCTATCTCGTTCTCACTACGGCGCTATATCTAGCTTGCAAGATGGAGGAATGCCCGCAACATATTAGAATGTTCGTGACGGAGGCACGATCTCTATGGCCAGGTGCGCTCAAACTATACCCTCGCGTTGAACTAGGCTTTTCGGCTGACTAGAGTATACTCCTAGATTTACTTCACGCTGACGTTTCGCGCGTCGGCGAATGCGAGTTCTTCCTCATATCCGAGATGAACTCCCAACTAATAGTCCACCAACCTTACCGGACGTTAACGAGCCTTCAATCCGATTTTTTCCTTACTCCAGATGAGATCAATCTAGCACTGTCGGTAATTAACGATCACTACATGACAGACTTACCGCTCTTATATGCGCCACACATTATTGCGCTCACGGCCATTCTTCTTTCCCTAATTCCCCGTCCGAATAATAATGCCAACATGGCTGCAGTAACGGCGGCGTTGACGCAAGCCCAACAAAGTCGATCTAGCACCGGTAGCGGCCAAAATACACCTGGAGCCACAGAGAAAGACAAGCAACAAGATGTGCGGATGGGCAAGATACAGCGTTTCGCTGCTTTCCTTGCTGAGAGCACCGTGGATATTGAGGGTATGATTGACTGCACACAAGAACTGATTTCGTTCTACGAATGCCACGAGCAGTATAATGATAAGATAATGCGCGAGCAAGTTAACAGATTCGTCAAGGCCAGAGGGTTAGACAAGCACTAGATGTCGTCACCAACGGTAGACGATGTGTTACATGAACCGAGGGAGAGGTGGTAGGCGGTCTTTGGTGCCCGTAAAAGGCACTGAGTTGTTTGAGAAGCGTCGCGAAATTATCATGTACCAAGATGGCTACATGTCAACAGCGATGGATATCAATATATGTACGAAATAGTGGGATATGAGGTTGACCTGGAATCCACATATCCAACTTTTAAATCACACCCACTCCAACTAAGAGATATTGTATTAGAACGGAGGTATTAACGAGTTGCTACGTGGATAAATTCCGATTCCCCGTATGTATATAGTAAATACTATGTGATGATATTATATTAATTACAGACATGCTGTGTTTCCTAGCTAAGGCAGGTAATATTTATTATTGGAACATTTCCGCTGTCTCGGGAGCCCATTTTCAATGCACGTGGTTAGGCCTTCAACTCTTCAGAGGTTAAGGACTTCAAAGTCTTAACGTGGTGTATAGAATGATCAGTTGGTGTCCCTTGCACCAGATCGAAGAGTACTCGATATGAAATCGTACACTTATCTCATCTACATAGGCATTGTCCAAGACCCACAAACCTTGACATGCAGAAGGGGTGGAAGGGTAGAAGGGTGGAAAGGGTTACGCTGATGATAAGAACGTACCATGTAAGGTTCCCCGCAAGACGGGATCGAATCCGATATAAATCACGTCAAATGTTACACGTTGGGTCGAACAGTTGGTCGGTGCCGCCGTAAGCGAAGCCATTCAATGTAACCGGCCACCAAGCTTCATAAAGTCAAATGCCATACAGATTTTTATATAAGATAATAATTTGTCGCATTGTTGATATCCTCGAAAACGTGTGTGTCTCATATAAGTATACATACATATATCAGTAAATGAAGGTATGTACATAACGTTTAACATTTCATAAGTGAGACTGGTGCAAAACGGAGGGGCGGTCTTATTTAAAAACGGTCAGTTAGAAGAAACGGCTGGTGCCGCTCAGCCTCTGTCCTATCGTATATGGTCCGAGCTCGGTACTTATCCACCTAGGCGTGTGCATGTACCTATGCACGAATTCGTGGAGGACCTAAGCTTACAGCGAATGCATTGGGTAACGTTGGGTAACACGGCTTGAAAAGACTTGTCTAGCCCTTAGTGAGACTTGCTCTCTACAACCACAACATCCACATATCGTCAACTTCTAACAGGAGTATGTTCCAGTATGAGATGTATGGATGAGTATACCCACCAAGAATCTCATACCACATTTCATCATGAGATACTAATAGAAAGACTAAAAAACCGAGCCTCTTTCTCGAACCCTCAAAAGAGAAGCAGTAAACAGGCTAACAAGCACCTGATACAACAAGCCACAAATTTGATCGGGACTAGGGCCGGGATTCTCCTACGTCGGTAGATCTACCACATTCGGAATTCATTGCCCAGCATTTCTCGATTATTCTCCCAGAGCCGGGGCACGAAAATAGTAGCAATCGCTGCCCTGACTGACTGCCTGACTTCGGTCTAGGAATAGATGGATGCCACCCAAAGACCTTCGAGAACGAGATCATCGCTGGACTAAAACAAGTTGTGGGAAAAGATCCGCATACATACATAGGTAACCCAATTTGGCCGTAGCAAGATTAATGAAGAGGTAAATGGTCATAAAGGAATGGGGCGAATGCAACTATGTAAAAGAAGAGATGGCATCCAGGCATCTTCACTAATTACCCATTCGTATCTACACATCTATTACGGGTAGTACGTATGGGGTTTAATTTGCCGCTTTCGTCACAAGCGGCTGTAAGTAAGACTGTTACAGTCGAACAAAGCGGGTGGCAGAGCCACAATCGTCAACGTCCCAGTCGGCGCAATTCAACTCTTCATCACTCGCAGGAGACTTTTCTACAACCGCGAGGGAACTCTTCGAATGCATATCGGGCAAAATCGTGCGAGCCTCTCTCCTACCAGTGTACATACGTACACATGTAGGTCAACACCTCTCAGGTTCAGGGTCTGCGAGTTCTAGGCTCTAAAGTTCCAGGGGACCAGAGGCAAATTTCATTACACATGGCGGCAACTTGCGTCTTCTGTTGGGCGGTCACTAGCCACTCAATCGCGATTTTGCCTCCGACGATCCATGCTCTTATCTTACACAGGCGCAGACAAGCAACCAGACGCCAACCCATCGCAAGTCGTGATAGGCTGGTTAACTAATCTGTATTTTGGTCTCACAACCGTACAGATTTGATTTGAAAAGAATATAGATCAGCAGCGCATATTACGTTTAACTTCAGGTGAGCAAGCGCCTGAATCATAACTTTCTCACACATATTCCGACAAGCATATCGAGTGGTCGAGTTCGAGAAATGAAACTGCAGGACAAAGGCAGGAATGCTGTCAGCTTTTAGGAGCGCGGGAAATTCAACCGTTCCCTTACAAAGTACCTTCTTACTACCTATGTATGTACCTCGTCGAGGCGGCTATGGGCGGTCAGAACTCTCTTACCGTCCTCCCTACGATACAAGTCGTCTGCTAAGCTGCCTAATAAAAGGGAATAGACCAGCATTACCCCCGTCGTCCCAAACCCCAAGCAGTCTCACGCTGCACGAGACCAGGTCCGTACCCACTTGCACCGGTATGGTGGCTTGCAGGACTGGTATGTGCAATCCTAACGATTATACGTTTAGGGTAAAGCTCCAGTTCAACACCCATCATCCGCTCCACCGCGCAACAAGGGTTTCTAACGCCCGGACCCGGAATACTATATCACAGTATGTATGAGTGGTCACAGTGACAGAGCGACTGGCAAGGCTGCAATCCCAAGCAAGCCAAAGGACCGAACTTGCCTCTAATTGGCCTAATTGGTACCGACGTAAGAAATTACCTACATAGGGGAAGCCACCGCTGCAAGGCAGGTGTTGTATTTACTACGTTGTTGTCAAAGGGATACTGGACATTCCCTTAAGGACTAAACACCATGGTTACTCGTCAGTTTCGACAAAGTCGGGATGTGAACGATGAGATCAATTGGATATAGACCGTCATCCCTTTTAAACTTTTGGTAGATGTGTCATTATGTTCATTTATGTTCATTACGCTATGGGTAAAAGCGAATTTAGAAATTGGATTAGACAATTACCAATTAACCCCATTTAAAGTCTAACGATTTCCCCTTTAGGGATAAACCCTTCCTCTATGCAGGAGTTGCCCCTGAACGCAAGGCAAAGCAGGTAGGGGAAGTTATTCAGGTAATCAATCTACCTGGACTAGGTTACGTTAACTACGTATGTACATAGGTAACAAGGCTGGATCATCGAAGGTTAGAAAAGGCATCCTACTATTCCGTATGTATGTACGGATTACAGTCGCAGAATGGAGAAACGATCATCCACGCGAGGCTCGGGAATGCGTCGTTGGGGGATGTTGGGGATGTTGGGGGGTTACGTACCTATCTAGTTGATCTGACGATAGTGGGTTCATCAACGTCGAGTGGCGACAAGAATTAACTAGGAACAGTAAGGTCCGAGTATTGAGATGAAGCTATTCGCATTAAGACGATATCGAACGATTAACCGATTTAGTAGATTGAAGCCGTGTTCTCAACCCTCCCTCAATCGACCCACCCAGTCAATAACGCCTTTGTCAAGTCTCCTGATATGTGCTGACTAGCATAGTGTAGTTGCTACTATGTACATACATTGTAGTGTAATGAACGAGATAATAGGTCGGATTGGATAGGGCTTTCAAAGGGAACCAAATTGCCGACTGGTACTCTTGACCAGCCTCGTCCAGTAACCAGATGGCGCAGCTTGCAGGCTATTATTCCTTTGTCCCAGACCACAGCACGCGGACTCGCTACGGTAAATTAATCGGCAAGCTACCTGCTGGCGATCGCATTGCAGCGGACATCTGGTGACGGGTGACTGGTCAAGGGACGGCCAGCATTACAAGCATTACAAGCACTGCAATGTATATGGTTTGTTAGGGGGGAACAGGCGGCCAAGGGGAGGCGTTCTGCAGAACAAGCCGACTGGCACTGTGGCATTCCTAAGAGCAATGGGGAAACAACTAATGTTAGGTACATCCAAGGAACAACATAAGGAACAACAGCGCCCATCGAACTGGGCTTCAGAGCTAGTCCTCGTTTGTCTTAGCGTTAGGATGTTAGGATATGTTATCCAATGATCTCAGGTGGCGACTCCAGTTTCATTCGCCAGCTCAATTCCCCACCCGCTATCAATGAAGGAAACCCTTGAGGCTTGTGGGTCCGTAAGAACAGTGCGTTGCGCAGGCCTTGCAGGTTCTTGCAGATCTTACATGTCTTTGCAGCTTCCGCCATTCAATGTTGTCCTCCCACTAGGCCTTATATAGACTAGCTCCAGGTCTTGAGCCAGCAAGCGACCCAAGCGTCTATGAGTTCCCCCCCGACTTTGGTCCACCCTTCTTTGCCGCCTTCTGCTGTTCTGCTGCTTCTTGTCCATCCAACAAAATCCTTCGCCTTCTCCGAATCACAGCTTGCCCTTCTCCTCTCCCGCCTTCTTCTCTCTTACTCTTATCGATCCTACCACACTCGCCCGTCCCTTAAACTCTCCAAGCCTTACCCCAGAAACGCACATAACGAAAATCTATAACCAATTCTACCACTTCTTAACAACAAACTTTCGAAAAGCTTATTCTCTCACATTGCCACATTGTGCAAATTACCTACCATAGCGGGAAAATATGGTAGGGTTTAACCGTTGTAATATTAAAATGCTTGAAGCTTATAATGTTCCCTGATCATTGCATAATGCCTGATTTTTGCGCAATGGTTGCGGAAAGTGCAACGTTAACAGTATTAAATTATGTTTTTTACATATAAGGTTTAAATTTTACATAATTAATAAAGTAAAATGGTATAGTGGTAAATATTGCGCTTCGGAAATCATTTAAAAAAAAAGTGGGGTAATTTTTTGATTTTTTTGATTTTTCTTTAATTTTTTAAAATATTAATTATTGTTATTATTGTTAGCATTGTACTTTCCTCAAGCATTGCGCAAAAATCAAGCATTATGCAATATTGACTTTTGATCAGGGAACATTATAAAATCTAACCATTCTTTATGCAACAATACGTATTTATAAACAGGTAATCCCGGTACGGTAGACAAGTTCTTATTGTTGTTCCTTCCTAGCCGAATTTTAATAGCGCAACGGTCGGCAACTTTAAAGCACCCCCAACCCAATCCAACAACGCACAGGACCGCACACACACACCGCCACCCAACTTCTCTCCTCTGTCCAACCACTTTCTGTAATCTACAACAGCTATTTTGAAGAAGAAAAAAAGCATACTTTTACGCATGACCCTAAGGGAAGAACAATCATAATGTCTTATTACAGCTATAACCATCATCAACCAACAGCACCCGCTCCTTCGGTTTCGCACAACCACCATGGCGGTCGAAACCGGAGAGCACCGAGGCTCTCTGTATCTCAAAACTCTCAGAAGCAGTTTCGTGGTGTGAGGAGCATGAAGGAGCTGAGTGAATCTGTTTCCGTGAATGCTTTCCGATCACAGTTTGAAGCGAGCCGCTCTTTCGATCTCGAGGATGACATGGAGTTTTGCCCCAAGCTGTTAACGGAGATTGATGTGAGTCAGGCCAGCACCTATGATGTTGTTGTCTAATACGTCGCCTATTCTACAACGTCGTATTGATAACTCGTTCGTGTACCAACATAGTACTAACCTGTTCGTCTATAGCTGGTGTCGATTAGCAGTGCTTCTTCCGACCGATCTTCACTGTCCAGCAACTCGCCTAATGCTTCACCTACGCAGCACCCGCAGCAAGTTGCTTCCAGCTTCTCTCTCAACTCTACCTCTCCAGCTTTTATTCCTCCTACTTTCCAAACTCAGCAGTCGAGCCTAAAGTTGCATGCACCCGCCGCCACCCGGGCGCGCAACGCCATCCCTATCATCAACCCCGCCAATGGCTTGACGATGTCCAGCCCGCCGCAGTCCGTTTCGCCTGCCCGAATGCAGCACATCGGCAGACGGTGGTAGATGGCCTGTCGCCTCGCTTCCTCTTTGGATGCTGAGATGACTCACCATCTAACCACACTCGTTTGCAGTTGTTCTGAACATCTTCTACTTTCCGTTTAGAAGACATTTGCTGCTCCAATAGCAGCTGTTCATCTTGGCGGGCACCGGCACGGATATCAGGCATCAACAACACACATCTTCAGGTCATTTTAGGGCTCGACTGCGGACTCCACCTCTACTCCACTTTCTCCCTGTATAAAACATCCTTATTCGACATATAACTAGTGTTCATCGTAAAACTTTCTCCACGGATCTTCACGATGGGCGCGAATTGGCATTGAAGATAACCGATACCACCTGATTTCTGTTTGGTTTGAGAAAAGGGGAAATCCCAATAATCCCGGTGTTCTGACCTCGAAAGATGGGGGCTGTTTGGGTTCGCAAATGGGCGTTTTAAGTTACGGCGGTTTTGCATTTCGTAATTGCATCGGTGTTCACGACACAACGGAGTCATCGGGTTCAATCTGGGAGCGGCACGATAAAGCGTCATCACGGGTTATGACATTTGAGCAAAAAAAGAATACCACTACACATATAGAACAAGTGTTTGGCGACGAGGGGTTGGTTTCTATTTTGTTTAAGCAGGCAGGTGGTTCTTCCATCGGGGCGGAGTTGTGCTACTCGGCAAGGTCTTTTTTACATGGGAAATATCCGGGTCAAAGAGAATCTCAACACAAAGTAACGGGATTGGGTAGGCACTCGGAGTGTCTTGATTTTTATTTTTCTAAGCTCATGGCACGAGATGGGAGTTGGTTGCGCGGTGCTTTGGGGCTGCAAATACAGGGCTCATATTCATGTCATCATCATCATCATCGTCATCATCGTCTTTTGTTTCCCTTTTTGCCATTTTTACTGTCCTTGTATTACGGTCAAAGGATGAGAGGATACCAGTCCGTTTCTTTCGTATTATTCCCCCGGGCAGCAAAGGTTCTACCAATTGGGTCAAGTGCATCACCAGGTTTCTTCTCTCGGGGCGATTTGGGGGAGGATGGAATCTTTGTGTATAGGAAATCATATTCGGGCGGACAAGCGCAGGCGGCGCGGAAATGGGTACACGCCAACTGGTTCCATAACGGCTGTGTGGCGTTTACCTATTTTGGTGTTTGTGTGTGAAGATAAAAGAGAACGCCTTTTGTTGGGTGTTTTCTACCGTACATTCGATGTGTTCAATTGAAATGGGCGAAATATGTGCCTCTCACTTCTAACCTTCTACTGTGTTGCTTCATTTGTGATGGTGTGACTGATGATCATAGCGATGTTGTAATCATTGGTATACCCATTGAAGCATATAGAAATCATGGGAATTGTCCATTTCCGATTAGAATTGATTTCTATGGTTCATGAGACCGAGGCTAGACATCCCAACTGTTGCCGTCTCATCCATCTTCGGATCGGTCTAGCAGCGGTTCTTACATCCCAAAGACGGGTCGCACAAGCCGGACTCTCATCCGATGGACACCGTATACGCTATGCAGAGATCTATCTTTGGGTATATAAATTGTTTTTTCGGTCGACCGGCCGGCTGGGTGACTAGGTAACTAGTGTATTTGCTACGCCTATATGTATGTATGTACATTGTATGTATGTATGTATGTGTCTATGTTTGTACCTATGCATGTGTGTATATATACCATGTATGCGCGCCGCCCCTTTCCCCGTCGTCTCCCCGTCGGGCTTGCTGCATGCGAGTTTTGGCGAGTTTTGGGGAGTAGGAGAAAGGGGACAAAAGGCCTATCTTGCTCGTTTGAGAATAGTGGTCCGTCGGGTCTGCTTTGCTGCATACCTACATAGGTAGGTACCTCTAGGTAGGTATGTATGCGGACGCCCCGCATCCCGTACCGGCTTTTGGTTTTATAGGATGGGTTGGGTTGGGTTGGGTCAGGTACTGTGTCTAGGTGTATGCTGTGTTCCCGACTCGGCTGCAGGTTGTCCGTTCGTCGGCCCGGTCAGGTGATGGGTAGGAGATGCGGCGTTGTGTTGCGTGCGTGCTTGGTGTGAGACTTTTGTTAGTGCGAATATCTAGTTCTATAATAGTTGGAAGATATAAGTTTATAACTATCGTATGTTAGGTAGTTAATTGTATAATTCCTAAAATACATAAAAGTTGAGGTACTCGCCCATGTGATTCTAGGATGTCTTCATGCGCTTCTGTCATTGGCGAATTGGATCAGTTTCACAAGCTCTGGCAGTGGTCGATAACGGAGTCCTGTCGAATACTAGACCAATTAGATAAATCCGGTAACGGGGGTGAGACGGAGGCCGCTGCGAGTAATATCATGTATGTGTTACTCGAGACTTCATGCGGGTAAATGTAGTACTGTCAGATATCAGATTGGTAAATGTGGCTGTCCATTCGATGGAACTCCATTGAGCATCGGGGGGCGTAATACGGACGGACGGAACTGCTCGAGGTTGGAGATTTTAATACGAGTGCTTGTTCCCAACAATATTATATTTCATGCTTGGTTTACACTGTGATGTTGGGATTTAATATGTCAGCTTTCTATTCTATGGTTTTATATGTATGAGGTCAGGACCACGGAGGCTTGATATGTCTTAGGTACAAGACTGTGTAATGACAGCCTCGCATATAATATCTATGGCTACAACTTAAAGATATGTATGATTTAAGTGTATATATATGCGTGGCTGTTATTCCATGAATTTATCATGCGTATAAGTCATGGTTACCACAGGTTAGGCCTAGGTCCTTATTACACCATTTACTATGAAGTTCCCGCTAGTGTTGGTTATTTAGAGTCGGTAAATATAAATCAAGCCTTGGGTGGGATATAGAAACAAAGGAGAGAGTTGATATGGCAAGGAAACAGATGTCACTTTTGCCTAGGGAAATGGTTTGAAGTCTAGTTGACCCATAATACTCTAAAGGTAGACTTATCATTAGTGTTAAGACACTTTACTCTACTTCAATAGCACGGAGCCTTTCATCCCAATATGCATATTATTATTTTGAGGACATATTGTACGATTTTGAGGATATTTACAAGAGGTACTTTGGCTTATGGCATCTGAGTGTCACTTCGTCGCATAGTGTCAGATGGCAGAGTTACTGGATCGACAATTTGAACTACAGGAACTTGCAACGCGATAAGGTAGATATTAGAACTTCCTACATGCGTTTACCTGTAAACTACCTAAACCAACTCCAATAAAGAAGACTACTAGTTGTGACCTTATACTGGAATAGGAGTTATTACATGTATGAATACGTATTTATTTACCTTTGGTTCCTGCTTAGTAACTCTGACGTCTATCATTAGGATAGACGTGCTAATTAAAATAGAGAACGGTGTTGGGATATTAGGGAATAAGTTACTAACTTAGTAGATTTGAATATGGGGACAGTTGACGATACTTTCCGAGGCATTATTAAAGATGGCATGCTACTAATTTTTATTTGGACACGGTGTATCTACTTGGGAGAAGCAAAGATTAAGTTAATAATAAGGTGCAACGGTTAGGTGGAGAAGTGATGTCGTCTCTGCTGTTATTTCTATGAGCCGAAGAAAGAAAGCGGGCTAAGCCGAGGAATGAACCATGCGCTAGCTATTACCGGCCAATCATATCTCGTTAGATTTGCATAACCCACCTGAGGCACCCTCTTACAAGCTGTTGACGTCATAATATTAAGTAGATTCCTTGGTCTCCGGCCAGTGAGAGCAGCGCCATGTTCCATGACTACGAGACAATTACCTCAAAGCTCTTTGGGATAAGTTCAATTAGACTATTAAGCTTACCCCGACTCGAGTACATTGCTCATACGCACTTTTTTTGAGCTCGAAGCTACTTACTATCTTCAACATACTATATCGTCACTTATACAACTACTGCCGTTTACCTAGAGACCTTATACCATCTCGAGAACTATATCAAGCATATATCAAGCACACGTAAACACAATGGCTTCCAGAATGCTATTCAGATCAGCTGCCACAATTGCTACAGGTAGGCAAGCAGTAGCACAACGGACCTTCACCACCAGCTCCGCAAACCTATCTTACAAGGAGAGCAGCTGTAAGTGACACCACCTCCCCCAAGAGAAGGATCATATGCATCCACACACAAAAAGACAGAAGAAGAACCACCAATTAGCTAACATACCGCCTCCCACATAGACGGATCTGAAACATACGACCCAGAGAAGCACAAGCAAGACCTGCTAGCGAAGCACAAGGAAGGCAAGGCCCACTGGAAGCCCGAGCTAGCATCCGATAGCGAGGAAGCCGTAAAGGCAGACCGGCACGGCGGCAGCGGCAAGGAGGACATCGCGACCCTGCAGGAACGCACCAAGCGCGCTGCTGAAGAGACCAGTAAGGCTGGTACCAGCATGCGCGATGGGCTGTAAGGTCCAAAGGGCTTTTGTAAGAAGAAAGGACATTGGGCTGACTAGGGAGTTCAGAGTCGACTTGATGGATAGGGATGACACGGGCCCGACGAAGTAAAACGGGTGGATATAGGTGGGATGGAGATGATGATGATGATGGGCATTGTTCGGACGTTAGGGTAGGCGGTTTTATGGCGGGTTTACTTATATGTATTGTACGAATAAGAAATGAAAATGGACTCAGGATCTAAGGACTAGCTGAAGCATCTATGTATCTACATGCTTGACTATCGTTCCTTGCTAATGTGTTGTAACCTATAAATCTTCCCCTGCAGCTGGGATATATTCACGGCTCAACTATTACAACTATGTATTGCTCTTCAAGAAAGTGAACTTGGCTGTAGAAATCTAGGACCGTATATAGTCCACAAGTCGATTTATATCAAATATCCAAAGAAAAATAAACGATGTATAAGTCCGTGGTGCCCGTCCACGTATAAGTATAATATAAACAATGATATATATAATCAATGTAAGTCTCCCTGTTAAACGCCATGCCGACGCCATGCAAAATGCAACGAGGACTCGAGTATGCCAGTCCAATCCAGCCCTGTCCAGCGCAATTACCACATCCCGCCTCTTTTCTAATCCCCCCTTAAGTGCCTAGCTACACCCCCCCTCTCGTGCTCTTTTTCTTCTCCCTTTATTTCAAAATCGCAATAAGCAACACCAACACAATAATCAAGATGATTATAGCAATCATCTGCTTACTATCTCCCGCCGCCCTCGTAATCTTGCCGACCTGGCGCTTTGCGCGATCTAGCCGCCCCTGGTGCCTGTCCACCGCGCTATCGACATCATCCAGCATGGCCACATGCTCGTCCAGCTCGTCGCCGATCTGCATGCTGAGCTCGCGTTGGCGCGCGATACTAGCTCCCAACGCGTCCAACTGCTCGTCCTGCTGGTCTAAAATCCGCTGGTGGTACGCGTGGATCTGCACGTTGTCCATCCCCGCCGCCTCGTCCCGGTACCCCAGGCTGTCATCTCCCGGGTTGTCCCGATACCGGCTTGCCCCGAATAGTTGCGCCTCTAGGTCCGGGTCTGTGGTCGCGGAGGGACTCGCGGGGTTGTCGGTGAAGCGCACGGTTTTGGAGGCGGTGCGGGTGCCTTTGGGCCGGAGATTCGAGGATGAGGAGGCTTGGGGAGGGTTGGATGTGCTGTTGCGGGGGGACGTGGTGGCGTGCTCGAAGTCCGAGCTCAGGGCCGGGTCGTTCGGATGTGTGAGGGTGGATTCACTGGATGGAGAGGAGAACCCGTGGAATTGGGATGTCAAGTCGTCGTATTGCTTCTGTAGGCTGGGAAGGGCGTCGGAGATGGTGAGGAAGCCACTGTAGATGTGTTAGTATAATAGGGGATATATTAAAGATAATAGTTCTCAGGTATAGATGGCATATCATAAACCCGGTCGCTTAAGATGCTGTCGCATACTCTTCATCGCCGGCTTCCTCGAGCCTTTTCTGCTCCTTTTCTAGCGCTTCTAATCCATCTTTGAACTGATCTAAAGATCTGGATATATGCCCGTCCTTTGAGTCGCCATCGAGATTGAGGCTCTGCGCTCGCTGCCGTTCCAGCAGGGAGAGCTTGATATGGTCGGCCAGGAGGTATAGTTGGTTCGGGTTCGACATGGCGACCCGTCGTTCGTCAGACTAGCGCCTGGGAAATCTGGGATGGGGAAAGATATGTAGCGTGACGAACCGAACCAACCGGGGGATGCGGAATAGAGCAGAAGTGTTGAATGTGTATGTATGAGGCCAAATTAGACGTCTGTTGGGTGGTTCTCGATGGGCTGGCTGTAAGTTGTAACTCAGTAGCAGGAGAAAGCTAATAATAGGTACGGATTACCAGTAGTAGGTACAGCGAGAGTACAGTAATCTGGGCCAATCCTAGCGGCTAACTCGACCTGTAGGCTGTAACTGCACGCAAATGCGAGATGCGAATAAGACCTACCAGTCTTAACATTTAGGTATTACATACATTGTGCATATGTGCATATATGCATAATCGGGGACCATGCATTTTCCCTGCATCTCGATTCATTTAGGTACATGTACTTTATGTACCTAGGTAATCTTATGTTAGGTAATCATGCGCATTTTCTTTCCTACATGTATTCTCAAATCTTCTTTTGTTTCTTTAACATCCTCCAACTATGATCCGCATTATCATATCACTATACTGTGTAGTCTTCCTCCCTGGTCGGCGTCGGTATAAACGAACCCACCAGTCAACTCAAGTTATATACATATCCAACTTAAACTGACCGGTTACGAAATACTGGCAACGAATCAGACCACGGACTAGGGGCTGTTGGTCTAGTCTGGTTCTGTTCCGTTCTGCTTTGCCGAGCTTATCTCCTCTTACTCATGTCTTGTTCCATTTGAAGATTGAGGTATTTGAGCATCTAATGACCGAGCTCTCTGCTGACCTTATGCCCCAGTTTGAACGAGCTCTTCAACTACCGAAGTGCTGACCTAAATCCTATTGCTTATGTGCTGGCTTATGTGCCTCACATCTGCGACTGAAGGAGCTCTGAGTCGTCCACCATCGTGGGGTCCGAGATGGGTTCCACGATGAGGCAATCTTTGGGAACCTTCGAACCCACTGTCTGAGGTGTCTGATGAGCAGTTGAGGTAGGATTTCTGCTATTTCCTAGCATAAGGTACGACGTCTCCCGAAAATGTACAACCCACCGGAGCCCTACTACCTTCTCCTATTTGGCTAGTTACGGACTTGTTACTGGGATGAGATAACTTTGCCCCGAACTGCCCGCACCTTTACGCCGCTTGGCAACATTCCGGCAAGTAAATCGTGTGGGGTTACCTGTTCTAGTCACGTACTATATCATTTCAAGGGTTCTATTATGACACCAAACGAAATAGTAATGGCCTTGCCCCTCACTGATACAAGCTCGACCATCAACTTGGTTGTTTAAAGTTAGGTTGAGGTTTTTTTTTCCGTGTATGATATGTAATGTTGTTTTAGATTTCTAGGGAATCTTTTTCTCGTCTTCTACTTATTGTTGTCTCTGTCTTAGGTAGTGTAGAGTACTAGGTTGGCGGAACTAAGTCTTCTCACCACAACCACTTGTCTACCTCTCCTAGCTCAGCTTCTTATACCGATCTGTCGTAGCCGAATCCCACGTTGCACGACATCATGTCTCTCCCTAATGGCGTGTACCGCGCCGATCAGGTCGGCTCTTTTCTGCGACCAAAAGCACTTCTCGAGGCACGCGAACAGGCTGCTGAAGGCAAGCTGAAGGTCGAACAGCTGAGGGAGCTAGAAGACAAATACGTTGCTGATGTCGTCGACAAGCAGCTTACTGCTGGACTACGGGCCATCACAGATGGAGAGTTCAGACGACAATGGTTTCACGTTGATTTCTTGCGAAATCTTAGCGGGATAGAGCTTCGTGGTGCTCTACAGTCTACCAATGTTAGCGTAGGAGGTACCATGCCTCCACGACTCGTCGTCGTTGACAAGATTGGCCACCCGAAGCCAATTCAAGTCGACGATTACAAGTACCTCGAGTCTCGGATCGCGGCAGCTGGTGCCAAGGCCACACCGAAGGTCTGCATCCCGTCGCCGACTATGATTCACTTCCGCAATACCCGCGAGACTATTGATGAGAAGGCTTACCCGACGCTGGAGCCCTTCTTCGAGGATCTCGCACGTGTATACCAGGAGGAGTTGGATGACCTCTACAAAGCCGGTGCTCGCTTCGTACAGCTTGACGACACTAACTTAGCCTATCTCTGCGATCCTAAGATGCGTGCTGAGGCCGAGGAGCGACACGGCGATGCTAACCTGCTTGCTCGACAATACGCCGCACTTATTAATGCGGCTATCTCGAAGCGTCCCGCCGATTTGACTATTGGAATACATCTATGCCGCGGTAACCACCGCTCACAATGGTTCGCGCAGGGCGGATACGAACCCGTAGCCGAAGTTCTATTCAAGGACCTGAACGTGGATGCCTACTTTCTCGAATACGACGACGCGCGATCGGGCGATTTTTCGCCGCTCCGCCACCTACCCGAGAACAAGATTGTCGTCCTTGGTGTCATGACAAGCAAGAAGGCCGCTCTCGAAGACAAGGCTGAGGTCATTAAGCGCCTCAACGAAGCTGCTTCGTTCTGCCCCAAGGGCCTGAAGCAACTCTGTCTCAGCCACCAGTGCGGCTTTAGCTCGACGTCCGAGGGTAATGATCTCACCGAGGAAGAACAATGGGCCAAGGTCAAGCTGGAGGTGGAGATTGCTAAGGAAGTCTGGGGAGATGATCTGTCCATCTAAACAGATACACACAACAGGGATCTTGTTACCTTAGGTAACGTGATATGGTCTTAGGGGACTCTAACGTGTGGTTAAAATTTTCGTATCCGCCACGTGGGTAGGTATACGTTGGCCATATGGTAATGAAGCTGGTGTGTGCATTTTCAATGGCAACGGAGTTGAAAGCCGACAAACGGGTATGTTTGCGTTGGCGTTGAGAGACATAGCACGAAGTACGAAGCCTACATTAGTTGTACTCTAAAAATAGAAAAGACAGAAAATATAATACTACTACTAGTAGTTGTTGTCATACGCACTATACCTGTGTACCCGGAAGCCATTCATAGCACATATTGTAAGACATAACTGCTGCAATGTAAATAGGAAAACAACGACGCCAGTATATTAACATGGCATATCTAACGAAAAACCCTGTAAACTCCAGGAGAAATCTTATTTGTACAGTATAGCAGACCCCCGCCTCCCCCTTTGCCGCCCTCTTCCCTAATGCACACCAGGGAGTTTATGATTTTCTTGCGCCAGAGTTGCCAATCAAACAGTAATATACCACCCACCTATCACCATCCTGCTGTGTAGTATTGTAGTATTAGTTTAATCCCCTCCCCCAAGAGATGTTCTTGTAACCCTTTAGTCTGCAGCCGCTGTCCTTCCAAGCCTACCTGCCAAATCCTCTATAAACACAGGCAAGATACGTTCTCCTTCTTGTTCGCTCGCGGCTCTCTGGGGGGGGTTTTCCGCCTCTGGGCCAAGGGGTACTGGGAGGTATAATATAAAAGAGACATGAAGACATGAAGACATGAAAACATGAAAACATGACAAAAGCATAAGCTCATTCGGAAATGCATAGAAATTGCGTCAACCAAGAAAAATCAAAGCTGAGCTCTTCGCATAGAGACTGAGAATGTTGAGAATCCCGTAATTAGCCTCCTGAACAACGACGTTTGTTCCAAGGGATTAGAACATCGAAAAAGTCGAGGCCTTTTTCTGGTCCGAAACGCCGAACACATTTCTGCTGTCACCAAGCGACGGGGATTAAAAAGCCGGAGATGCCATTTTGAGAAAGAAAATCCGTATTAATCCGTCCGAACAGCTGGTCCATCGAACGTGATAGGCCTGTCCGATCAAAATAAAAAATCTTCGCAATAAGAGAGCGAGAAGACAATCGACGTTTAAGCTCCTGGAGGGGGAGGGGCTTCACCCTGGGGCTGGCTGCCAGGTTGTTGCTGGGCATAAGCCTGGTACCAGAGCGCCAGGTATTGCTGGTATCCACCATCTTTACTCAAAATTAGTACGGTTCATAAGATAGAGGGATATATTGTCTTGGACTTACACGCAGCATACGGGTCGCTGGCGGGGTTGGCACCTGCAGGCTCTGCTGCCTGGTTGCTCTGTTGCTGCTGACCATAGTTGGGATTGGGGTTGGGATTAGGATTAGGGTTATCCCAATCTCGGCGATGTTGGTTGCGAGGAGGGCGACTTTGGTTGCCGCCGTTATTCTTCTGTCGCTGAGAAAATGTAAGTAATTTGTCTAAGTTGGCATCATGAAATGATCAGGACTTACTACTGCATCAACTTTGTCTTCGATAGCACGCTTGGCTCGGTTAATGGCGTCGTGAGATCCAATTAGGCCAATCTCACGCTCAGACTGGCCAGGAACAGATGCAGTAACGTTAATCTTACATCCGGTGGTGTTCTGCATCTCTCGAATGGTCTCGCCACCCCTGCCTATGATCATACCAACAGCATCACCAGGTACGAAGATAGAGTCATTGATCTTATCACCAGCACCTTGGCTGTTATCACGAACTTGGTCAGTTCTTTGGGGGCGTCCTTTATTAGCATCGTTGGTGGTGTTGGCGGTGTTATTGTTGTTGACATTGCGGCTATCACTTGCGACAATCTCCAGAATCAGTTCCTTGGCTTGGCTAGCAGCATTAGGGGGGCCAATGAGGTTCACAGGGCGCAGACCGTCTACACTCTGGTCCTCGCCGACAATGTTAATGTGACAGCCACTTCGCTCTTGCAAATCCCTAATAGTCTCACCACCACGGCCGATGATGAGGCCAACTGTACGATCTGGGACCATAATCTGCATGCAGTCTTCACCATCTCTCAATGTAGCTGGGGTAGGGGTAGTGTTATCGCGACGAGCATGTTGAGGCTTGTCAAGGCCGGCTCGTGCAAGGGCACCCATGCCACTATCTTCAATGATTCTATTGATTGACGCCTTGGCTTCCGCACGTTTAGCACGAGGACCGGTGATCTTACACTGGCGGTACGGGCCAGGTTCACCAGTCGGCGACAAAAATTGCACTCTGCATGATGTTTCCGACTCAACTCGACGGAGATTCTCTCCTTGTCTTCCAATGATGAGGCCCACTAGGCTCGACTCAATGCTGATTACTTCCGAATCATCATCATCTCTGGGCGAGAACAGACCGCCAGAAACGCGACCACGACTAGGGCCGGGTGATAGAGAACGATCACGACCACGACCGTAATCACGAGTAGGAGCACCACCACGATCATTACGTCGTTCATCCCGGTACGGGTTGACGTTATCACGAAAATTTTCACGACGCGTAGGTGGAGAACGAGACCTCGATCTATAGTGTCTGGCATCCACAGTATGAGCATCATGCCCCTGATAAGCACCAACAGCCGGTCGTTCATACGGGGTCAAGCCTTGTTCAGTTGCATAATTTTTAGCTTTGGCAATCGCGTCACCAAGATTGACAGTACCCGACGTAATTGGTCTAATGGCACTTAAATCAAAGCCTCCAGGTGCTGAGGACTGTTGTACGGGAGGATACGCCCCAGTTGCATACGGTGAAGGCTGGGTGGTGGGTGGCAATGTCGCATACGCATTAGGAGGTGGTCCTTGTTGGTAACCCGGCATGGCATAGGGTGTTTGACCTTGAGTGGGAGTTCCAGTTTGCGCCGCTGTAGTACGAAAGCATGGTCAGATTTGATTCATAAGATTATTAGAAAAGGCATCGCGTGAAAAAGAAAAAGAAAACATGGTCAAAACTCATACCTGCTAGAGCGGCGAGGATCGCCTGAACATTCGGCTGTGCTTCTGCCATTGCGCTGACAATGCAGTCTAGTCGGCGATTCCACTTGTAGTAAAAACGTCTTGGATGACAAGTTTTTATAGCAAGATCAAAGAGCAGAAGTCTAAGTATCAAGGTCGGCGATAAATCCTTGGTCCAAAAGATGAAGTGGCGAGTCGCGAAGCATGCAAATGCACTTTTGTGATGACAGACAAGTGTTCAATGTATACGTTCAGTCAATCAATCAATCAATGCGTCAGATGATCCCTCGACTAGAAGTTGACTAAAAGTTGACTAGAAGTTGGCTTGGTCAGATCAATTATGTCGATGGTGAGATGCAAGTCCGATCAAAAAGTAAGTCGAATCAATAGTTGAATTTTTGTTCTGTCAATCTGCGTCTGACCTAGGTGTGATACAGTAGGGGAAGTACTGTGGAGGTGTGCAGGTAAGGGGGTTGAGTATGGAGACGAAGAGGGTGAGAATGTAATCCAGACTGATTCACTGTATGTGAATGTGTGTTGGAATGCTTCCCTATCTTAAATGGTGAGAGTGTGTCTTCCTTACCGATCCACTAGATGAATGAATGAAAGAAGAAAAGAGAAAGAGATCTTTCGGATAAAAGGTTTTGTGTGTTTGGAGGAGGAGGTTTTTTTATAAGGAAGAGAAGACGGAACAAATGTTAAATGCTGATGGGAAGGTGGATGGATGTAAGAAATCAAAATATGTACTAACAAAATCCCTAAGGTACATGTATGGTACCTTAAGTACGGTATTGGGTACGTACATGTAGCCTAATACAAACTGTTTTCTTGGGAAAGCGCTAACCTTTTTTCGGTGACTTCGAGGCAGCTGTTTGTTCTCGGTTATTGTCCTTTGACTGGGTCGGGACGGCCCCACTAGACTTAGTCATTCGGGTTTGCCAATCATATGATCACATGTACAGTACGTACCACTCTAGCTACTTTAGTGGTCTAATAGGAACATCCACATCACGGTTTCAAGTCAAATGAACTTGCCTGAGCAGTTGCTTATGTAGAAGTTCACACTTGGTACGGAGCTATCTTTGGTTTGCTATGTACGGGCATATAGTCATTATGTAAAGAGCATGAGCAGCATGACGATCGGAAACATGATGATGCCCATAGCCATGAATACCACCGTGTAGAAAAACATTCTCAAGGCAGTGTCTTTACCCGTAATGATGATGGCTTCTTTTTGATACTTCTTGCTGCTTTTCCCTTCTTTCGCCTTCTTGGCCTGTTTTCTCTTGCTCTCTCGGAGAAGTCGATAACGCATATCATCTAACTTTACCTGGTGTTGCTCAGCGGCGTCGTGGACCATATCGTGCTTTCTCTGTTTCCCCTTTATCATCCAATCCTGAGTTTGAAGATTCTTTCCGAGCTCACTCACATGAGCCTTTAATACATCATTATGGCTCGCGAGTTCCATCACAGTCTTTTCAAGCAGCTGCGTTTTAAGCCCTAAGATCTCAACGCGAAGTTCCAAGCACTGCGACTTGAGTTGCTCTTTCGTTAGCGGGGCAAGCGGGATCGATGGGATGCTTGAGCCAGATTGCATATTTGACATGAGCTGTTTGGATAACCCAGTATGATTTCCTGGCTTCTTTTCTTTGGACTTTGGTTGCTGATCTGCCATGTGACCCTTCGCATTCTCGTCATTCTCAATTTTCCCATGTGCCTTGCTGTTGGAAAGATCTCGAATCCCATCTAACAGGGGAGCAACTCTAGACCCTTCGCGGTTTCCACATAGGAAGGTCTCCAAGGCTGACTCTGCTACATCTCTTCTGGCTACCTTCACCTTGATAGCCTTCCCTTTTTGCTTGGTGATTTCGGCGGCCCGATAATGGGATCCCGGTAGTGATTGTAACCGGGTTTTCGGTTTATTTTTCATCTCAGAACTGGAGATAGCAGTATCTTGCTCCATCGTACCCAGTCCGGGGGCAATATCCTTGGTTTGTTCTGTTGAGCAATCTGCGCTCGTAGTCGCCTGTTGCAGTGCTAACATCTCGCTAGGTTCTAAAGTCCGGCTCTCTACATTGAGTGGAAGGAATGCACCCAGGTTGTCAGCACGGTCTGCATACTGAAGACCCGGTAATCCGACTGGAAGAGGCACCCAAGCAGACGAACCCGCGATACAGCGGCGCGATGAGGTCCGCGGCGGAGATAGTCGGGATTCGCCCATCTCCATCGACGAAGTAGATCCAAGCCCAGCGGACTAGTATTGTATTAGGAACATAGTATCCAAAGAGATATTTACTAGTAAAATGAAGGCCTTTTAGCCTAGAAAAGAAACACTTTTATCATACCTGAATATTGCCGTGAGAATCGTAGTGTTCTAGTTGTCCGATGTTGGGACGCCCTGGGTGATTACTAGTGCCGACCTGAAGAACTGGCCAAGATCGCTCAGCGCTTGTCACTTTTAGAGTCATCTCTGAGTTGAATAGAAGGCAAATTCGGGTTGTCTTTTAAGTAGGAATGAGAGAGTTATGGGGATAATCAAAACGGTTCGGACACGAGGGGAGCGGAGGCGAATGTGGATGAGAGTATATGTAGGTATGTAGGTATGAGATGAGAAAAGGCATAGGTATATACATGTAGGTACCTACCTAATTAGAGAAAAGATGAAATTTTGAGACGGAAGGAACATGTGTAGATAGGATCAAAGGTAAATAAGGAAAGAACATTTCGTTGCTGCCTCCAGTCAGGGGTAAAGATACATATGTATGTACCCAGTATATATCCAACGACCTGTACCTTCCGTACCTTGGGGATAAGGCTACACCTCGTGCAGATACAGGATACAGGTGCAAAATACAGGTGGTTGCCACTAGCGAGTCTAACAGGTCCAGTCTTGTATTGTATCTCCATGGTGATGCATCCTCGTCCATGCTGTTGTCCCCATTGTCGTCTATAACACTGGAACATTTAGAGTCAACACTTAGTCACGCAGTACCTAGGGCAAACCAGCCGTAGCATATTCATCTACTTATTTAAAACTTCTGTTCAACTTCCAATATTCTCTTCCTTGAGTCTTACTATTATCAACAAACACTGATAAATCCATGACCACCAAACATTTGCCTGAACATCAAGATGGATGGGAAAGGATCTCAAAAACGCGATGGTCGTCGCGGTCGACACCAAGGCTCTGGATCCTGGCGAAAAACCCCGGATTCCTCGCAGCAAGATCGTAAGCAAGGCCGCCAACAAGACAATCAACAAGCTAATCAGCAAGTTCCCCGGCAAGGCAACCAGCAAACTACCCAGCAAGACCGCCAGCAAGACCGCCAGCAAGACCGCCAGAAAGATTACCATCAAGATTACCAGTCATTCCGTCAGCCGATTCAGCAGCCGATTCAGCAGCCAGCTCAACAACTAGTTCAACAGCAAGTCCAACAGCCAGTCCAACATCTAAGCCACGAATCCAGTTCCGGATCTAGCAGTCAGACCCTCACCGATGTAAGTTTCTAACCATCTCAATAAATACGTAAGTTTTCCTGACCTAGTTATATAGGGTAATCATGCCGCTGTGAAAACTCTCATCGAGGAGGTTAATGCCCTAAGACACACTATTGAATTTGTCGGACAGCGCAATGTCGAGACACTTGCCCAATTCGATGCATTGAAGAAAGAATTCTCTAGCTTGATGCAGAAATACACGCGCCTCGAGTATTCATTCAAACAGAGCGTCGTCAACATCCCAGGGGGTGATCAGATCCTACAGTCCATGGAAGCAAACGAAAAGCGCAGGCGACGCACAGCCAGCAACGCGGTAGCAATCCCTATTGCAACCTCTAGTCAGTCTCGGCCTAGTCAGTCTCAGTCTCAGCCTAATCAATCTCGGGACGAGATGCTACCCGAAGAGAAGCTTTACATTGATAACATAATTGACTTCTGCTACGAACTTCTCCATCATCAAGTTAGCGTAACTAATGAACTCCGCGAGAAGCTCGACCTGGCGACCCAAGAAAACGCCGAGCTTCGTGCTCGCCTTCAGTCTAACTCTTAGTCTAAATATCGGACCAAGCCCTCGCTCCAGAAACAGAACTTCGCAGTAGAGAATATGCCAGGGTTAACCATGTCATACTTTTCTCTTCCATTGCAGATATCGCATTTGGATTGTGGATCAGCTGGTAAGTTACGCGAGTATATTGTTATGATTAGAGTCTGACAGGCTTTAGGTTATAACAGTCCTCTTTTACCCTACAGATATTATAGGCTGCTTTCATATCGCCGCCATATAGTCCTTAGTAAGCTGGGGTGATTAAGGGTATATGAGGTTTGCTTGGAAAAGGGGGAAGGCCTCTATAAACTACGTTATTGTTGACAAGAAACTGGGCAATGCGCCCTCTTTCATAGCATAGTCTGGCATTCCAAATAGATATTTTAACTGTTTTCACTCTCAACATGCATTTTCTAAGTGTTAATAACAACATTCCGTAACCACCTTCCTCCCCCTCCGTCTCTCTGTTTATTGTTCATTTATCGTTCATTCATCGTTTGAGGTACCTAGGTATTTACAACTGACTCTTGGATGTGGGTGTTTCGGGATGGTGCATGTTAGTTACGCCCTGTTTCAAGCAAGACATTTGTTGGTTTTATAAACCAGAAAACTACCCTTAACCAGCTTGGCTACCTACCTAGGTACCTACCCAAGGATAATATAGTTTATTGTCTTTTCATTTATTTGAGGTTATTTCGATCTGATGATTCTGGTTACGTTCCAATCACTTTAGGCAAGGCAAGGCTGTACTAGTAAGTATGTGTATTGATTTATCCTGAGGTGGAGAAGGAAGGAAACAGATACCTCGTGCAAAGCGTGAAATTCATGATGGTGATCCAAAGCCTCGTCGCCGTAGCGACAGTCTGTGGTTCCTGAGGGAATTGCTAGCTCAGGAATATTTTGCTGGCAACCTTCTGGCAGTTGCTACGGGCGTGGCGGCCGTAGTTATTGTAAGTGACATAAAGTCATTACCTGAGGTTTTCACCTCGTCATTAGGTACCTAGCTATTAAGAAGGCATCCAAAGTACAAAGGTGTGACTGGTCAGAAATAAAATCGCTAATAAATAATAGGACACTCAGAGGCACCTATCCGCTGCTTCGAGGTTATTGTTTCAGCGTTTGTTGCAGACCTTCAAACGGAACACTAAGAAAAAGATATCTCGCCAAAATAGCCCCAATACCCGTTAAATTTATCTTCCTACCCTAATCTCATTCTATGAAATCTCGGAAACGCTGATAGCCGGAGCCCCACCAGTGTTGTCCACGATGGCTACCAAGAGTATCCGAGATTCTGCAAAAGCTCGGGAGCAAGGCAACGTTTTGTACCGGAAAGGCCGATTTAGTGAAGGTGAGCATTACCTGTGATAGGTACCTAAGTTACCCAGATTATATACTCACAAACATGATATAGCGTCAAAAGAATATCAGAAGGCTGCTACTCTGGCCCCTTCAGATCCCTCTCCATTGTCAAACCTTTCAGCTGTCAGCTTTGAAACTGGCAAATACGCAGAATGCGTTGACTTCGTGGAAAAGGCCTTGAGCCTTCTCATAACTAACCCAGGACATGACCTTCTAAAGCAGAAATTGCTAGCCAGACAAGTCAAAGCTTATCTTCATCTCTCAAGTCCAAACAAAGCCGACGAGGTTTTAAATCAACTGAAGTCAGGAGAGGAGGTCAACGATCTCCGTGATTCGATTAGCGAGTTAAGAAAATTCGAGAAGTTCTCTCCGCAGCAAGGATTACTACGTGAGAGATTAGTACAACTACCACGACTGAAACCAAACATGTGAGTTGCACAAAAGCGTCAGAAATGAATTATTAAGTTAACATTTCGAAGTCAGGACGAACCGGATTATTACGGTTTCGGTGACGATAAAGCTGAATCGCAATATACGGCCGAGCTCGAGAAGTCTGCCGGCAAGGATCCGGTCTTGTCTATCATGTTCTGTGGCGTTTCAGACGCTCGTCACGTCTTCCACACCGTTTTGCAGTACTCTTTAAATAACAAGGGACCTCAAAAGTTACACATAACAATGGTAGATCACAAGCCAGTTGTTGTGGCTCGCGATTTGGTATTTGCCAGCATGCTGCACGAAGCGGCTGTCAATCACGAGTCAAAAGACGCGATGTTGCTAAGTCTGAGTTATGTGTACTGCGCTCAAATCATCCCACCATTCGCGTGGGATAACCTGCAAGAGACCATAAGCAGGCTACTGAATAGGCTTGAGAAGAAGCAACAACCTATCGAATTTGTTTATCTTCAGACCCGACAGATGGACAAGGTCGTGAGCGTCTTGAGGAGTTGGAAGAAGTGGCCTGCGACGATGTATAAAACCTCTAAAATACGTCGCCATGTGGCTGAAAATCATACCAGGGTAATACCGGAGGAGATGTTTATGTTCTCCGAGTTCAAAGTAGACCGACGGACTTTCGATGACTTCTCTGTCCTGTTCCCTCCCAAAGCTATGCTGCCGATCCTCGAGCCAGAATTATCCACTCTCTATGCAAATTACCAAGCGGGAAAGCAGGGAGCTCAGAAGCGCGTTTCTGACTATCTGGATCGACATTGGAAAGTAAATATCACACTCCTCGATGCGATGATGCATGTAAGACAGGGAGACTATGCTTTATTTGTAATGGAGAGGCACCCATTCAGCATGATCGCATCAACGGTGACGCAGCTGTCTGGACTGCGGACACGTGATGAATCGATGCATTGCTTGAAGCATATGATGGATTTCTTCGAAAAGGTCAGCCTAGGTTTACTTCAGCTACATGGTAGGCTGATAATGGAAGTGATTGTTGGGGACATGGCCGAAGTATTGGAGAGGATTCGTTACGGCATCTTGGATCGTCCCGAACAAGGGGAAGGTGAAACTATCGACTGGCCTCTGGTATACCATTTGATTCATATGAACAACATTCCGTAAGTCAATCTTATATTTAACTAGGAATACTCGCTTGAAAGCTGATAAATCATTAGAGATTATGTGGGAGGGCCTTTGACGAGCTTTCTCTACGGACCCCCTGTACTAAAGAAAGGGGCTGGCACAGGCTTAACCTCATGTTGCCTGCGACATACGCACTCGTGGAATGGTATCAATCATTTTAACTCGGAGTACTTATTAATGCATGACCGAAAATTGATTGAGGAGCATTTCCAAGTCAAGCTTTCCAAGGAACCTTCAAGATTGGAAACACCCGTGTTGCAATACTATCATCGTTGGGAGAGATGCGAGAGCATGCGTCTCTCTTTGGAGCAACTGATGCCGCGAGCAAGCTTCTCGAGATGGTTATTTGCTCACTACCTCAAGATATGCATACCATTCCCCCGCAATCCAGATATACTTGGTTTCATTGCCCCTCTCAACATGACGGTATTTATAAGACTCCTTATTCAGATGAGTGAGCTAGGCTATCCCGATCATTGGCTATCAAATATTATCACATCTCTTAGTTGTGGTACAATCACCACTACAGCACGGGCACCTCGGGACAAGATCCTTGACACTACTGCTGTGGATAAGGTATATCCATCTCGCACTATTTGTGTTAAGCCTTGGTCAGCAGAATTCACTACGCTTGTAGCTCAATGGCGAGGACTCCTCCCTTTTACCATCGTGGTACCAAGCGGAACCCTACCTCCACCAGAGACCATCCTCGAGTATTCGGTCAAGATCCCACATACTCCGGATACCGCATTCGAACGTCCCGAATTCATATTGACCTTCTGTCGAGAATACGACCTGTTAGAGCGGGATCTATACAAGCTACTTCTTGACGACGAAAGAGGAGATATGACAACCTCGGCTCGGGAGATTAGGGCAGATGGGGTCAACATCTTGAGCACAATCAAATATGTCACAGCTACTAGCACGGCTACCTTCTGGCTGAGAAGCGACGTAGTGAACTTGATGTGGAAAGAAAACTGGGACGTTTTCATCGGGAGGACTGATTCATGGGGACATCACACACCGGGCTATCCTGTGAGGGAAGTTCTCTGGAGAAAGAGGAACTGGAGGGACTGCGTGGTTGCATGATATCATGTGTGTAATCTGTTTACGTATGTATTGACCCTCCTGGCTCGACGATAGGACCACAGTTCATTACATAGGAACAATCAAGTGAGCACGTTTTCATACTTCTCGGCCGGTAGCCATACGAACCAACCCACGAAAGACATCTGGCTGATATTTAGGTAGTGAATTCGTATGAACTGCTGTCAGATGCTGGTAGGAGACCTCCAGAAAAGAAGACCCGCTGATGTGGGCGTGACTGAGGTCTATTTAAGATATGCTCTAGGTTACGATGTAGTTCTATCCGAGGCGTCTGGGGTGTTATTAGCGCCGACTGCTTTATTGGCTGATGGTGTTCGGCGCTTAATACCGGCCCACCGTATATCCCGAAATCTTGTTTGTTGTACGGGGATCAGCTACGGGGTCAAGATGTAAAAGATAGGTAATATACGCGCATACCCATACCTACTCGGTATTCCTAATCTGTAGTTAGAGACTTGGACTGCCAATTCCCTTCCCGCCGTACATGAGTGGCACAGTCTTGTTTGTCTGAGGCTCTAAACGTATCCAGTGTATGGCTTCCAAACCAGACAAGGGGCTCGGCTAGCTTCGTCTGATGCAGCCGCCCGCGATTTTTCCACCAATCGTCTTACACCGCTGCCGCTAATCTGAGATTGCGTTTTAGCCTATGGCGGGAGGCGGCAAGCTGGGTACTGCAAATTTCTATAACTCGAGGACAGGGGAAAGAGACTAGTATTCGTAATAATATGACATCATTTCTATTATGACTTAAGCACCGTGAGGCTTTCTGTAAGGAAACTAATGTTCTAATCATCGTATACGGCGTGTAGTTTTACAGGTAAACTTTTAGTTATAATTTTACCCTGCTAACCCCTCGATTTTCAACGGTCTTAATATAAAGGCGCTCTTATAGTTATTCTTACGCTACCTTACGCATATCAATTTCGGGATTACCATCTTGCATGTAGTTATTTATCTTAGTACCACGATGATAGCGTCTATTGACTCTCCTTTCTAGTGGATTGAAGGCGCGATAAAGCTTCCCCACCTAAGGACAATAACGTGGGGCAGCTATATGGACATATGTACTTGATTGGCTGAAACATTTTACTCATCAGATCTGTACCTGATAAAGTTGTCCAACCTTAGGAGGTAGTTTTCTCCGATTCTTTTCTCTAACAACTCCTTTAACCTAGAACATTCAGTCATTGTCCCCGAGTAAATCAAACAAGCCGTCCTGAACACGTATATAACTTTTGAATACATGTATTTCTTGGAGTCTACGTCCTCTACACAGATGACACATATTTGCTGTATCGGCCATTTCGTGCGCCTCATGACGCAAGTTGTCGGCAGGAACCCTTCCTGCATGCAAGAGCCGTATGTCTTATGTATGCGACTCTGCAGCGGGAGCTTAATTTGTTATATGCAGTCTGCTCTGTCTAATGTCACCTAACCCCTAGCTACCGAGCAATTCAAACCTAACCCCCAACTTCGGATTACGTAGCTCACCATACATCGTCACGGCAAGATTGGTGACGGTGAATAGGATACCACTCGGTCCAAATGTTCGCCTCGCAATGCTTAGAATATGGGAGAACAGATGGACCTTATACGTCTGCGAGAATTTGGTAGACCCTTGTCAGATAATCGAGTATGTCCGCATCAGTATCTACATATTCACCTGGTACCAGTGTACATTCGGATCTCGGTGTAGTGGAAAGAGGCATAACTGGATTCGAGAATCACGGTATAAAACTCCCTCGATAAGTAGTGAACCTAATTATTAATGACATCTGATTCGAATTTGACCTTGAAATGGGCATCCTGGTCAGGTAGATGAGCCAAGGAAATCGGCAAGTGAGGGCGCGCGGACAAGGAAATCGACTGGCTGAGAATGATCGCTGGCGCTTAACCACCTTTCTACACCGCGCGTAACCTTCACGAACAAACCGAACTAACAAAGAACATTCTAATTAAACGTGGCGGATAAGCAAAACAAAGACATCTATACATTTTATTCTGAAACAAGACCCGTCTTGATCATTCGGCCCTTGAATTGCCCTTGACTGGTCGCCAGGTCGTCAGGTCGTCAGGTCGTCGTTGTGGCCGGCAAAGTGGGTTGAGCTCGGTTTGACATTACACGACTTCTTTATCATTCAACAGTTCCCTCCTCCATTACATTCATTGTCCGACTACAATCACTTTTTACTTGTCAATTACAACCAGTTTCTTTTTTCAATTCTCTGTCACCTTCTGACGTTAATGCAGTTACGGATCACAATACATCGTTGAATGAATCACGATCTTTCCTTTTCCTTTCTGTCATTCTCCCGCCGCACTTCTTTCTATTTATAATTTCTTTGACGATACCCTTTTGTTCCATCTTACCAATATTACATGGCACAAAAGTCTCCCGACAAGCACATCTGGTACGGCTTCTAGGAAGACGAAACAACCCATCAGGCAATTCAATCCTGCTTTCGTTTTTCTTATTTTTCCCTTCTTCGACATTCCAGTTATACCTACCTATTTACGACAGTAAGAGCATCCAAAGCACTTGGATAAACTCAAAAAACTCGAGCCTATGGCTATATTTCGAGAACAGGAGGGTTTCCCTCAAGTACCTCCCTCACTAAGACACGATGCATACGAAACCAAGGACGTACGAAGCATGAAGATTCGCGAGCTGCTATCTCAGAGCTCGGCTAAGGGTGCTACTCCCTACCTGGGACTCGGCTCGCGACTTTCGCAGATCTGGTTTAACCGATGGACTATCCTACTACTCTTGGTCCTGGTCAACTTCCTTTTCACCATAAGCTCTCTGAATGGAAACCTCGACGATGCCAAGGTGAAGGCCCTATCGGCATGCACGAAAGTCGAGGATATTGGTAGTGCCATGGCTTCGATGCCTCATTACTTGTCCGTTGGAGTCAACCGCCTCACTGCATCTGGTATCACCGAATCTGTACACGCCTTGATGACTATCCTCGACATGATCCTTACCGGTATTGAGCAGCTGATCCTCTTCGTTATCGGTATGATGACAGACACCTACGTCTGCTTGATTACCATGGTGGTCCACGGAGGACTGAATGCATCATCGCTTGCTATTGCTAAGACCACTGAGGCCATGAATGACGCTATTGATGGAGTTGCTAAAGCAATCAATGGCACAGCCGACAACCTCCAAAAGCCCGTGGACGCCATGTACTCGATCGTAAATGGTGCACTCAACGCAGGCGAACAAGCTACGAGCGCTGTTGGAGGAGCTGTTGACACTGCAACAGCGGCGGTTGGAGGTGCCATCGAGACTGCTATTGGCGGCATCGGCGATATCTTCAACAAGCGTGCTGATATTCCACCTCTACCAGAGATCACTGGCGCTATCTTCAAACGTGTCGACCTTCCACCCAAGCCAGAGGTTGCAGGTGATATCAGAGCAGTTGCTGCCAAGCTCTCAAACGTCAATATCAATACCACCGGTTTCGTGTCAGATTTGGATGCCCTCAACCAAGAGCTCCCAGATTTTGATGATATCAAGAACCTCACCGCTATGGCCGTATCATTCCCGTTCAACCTTATCCGAGAGCAGCTCACCAAAGCCTACGGCAACTGGGAGTTTAATGATAGTGTGTTCCCTGTAGCTAAGAAAGAGGCTCTTTCATTCTGCTCTGACAACACTGCCATCAACGACTTCTTCGATGGATTGTACGAGATCGCCCATATAGCAAAGGTTGTAGCAATCGTGGTATTGATTCTGCTTGCGCTTGCGGCCTGTATCCCGATGGCCTACATAGAGATACGCCGATGGCGCCGTGCTCAGATCAGTGCTTCGGATGCTTATGACGACATGGATCTCGTATACATGTCCTCACGCCCTACCACGGCTCGGGTTGGTTACTGGATTGCTTCGAAGTTCGGCGAGAAGCGAAGGGTTCTGGTACGATGGTGTATTGCATATGCTACGTCCCTCCCGGCCCTCTTCGTCCTTTCCCTCGCGTTAGCCGGCTTTTTCTCCTGCTTCTGCCAGTGGATCCTCTTGAACACAATCCAGAAGGAGATTCCAGAGCTTGCGAACCAAGTCGGAGACTTCGCCAACCAGGTAGTGGGTACTCTAGACGGCGTCTCACAGAAATGGGCGGACGATGCAAATGGTGTCATTACATCCTTCAGCACTGAGATTAACGACGACATCCTTGGAAAGGTGACGAACGGTACTGCTGCTATCAATGATACCCTTAACACCTTCATGTCGGAGATTGACAAGGGCCTCAACACAGTCTTTGGCCATACAATGTTCAAGGATCTTGCCGCGAACACGGTCCGATGCTTAATCGGGCTGAAGGTCGAATCAGTTCAAAAGGGTCTCACTTGGGTGCATGATCATGCTCATATCAACTTCCCGGTGTTCCCTAACGACGTCTTCTCTGTTGGCGCAGCTAAGTCTATCTCTGGTGATTCGGACCTTACATCTTTCCTGGCCTCTCCTAGCAGCGTCACGACCGACGAGATAACTGGTTCTGTCACCCACGTCACAGATTGGCTGCGCGGCAACATCATCCAGGGTGCGTTAATTGCGACTGGTCTACTCTTAGTTTACGTTATCATCATCCTGATAGGTGTCGTCCGTACTCTCATCGGCCATAGCGACGCCGCAGGAGATGCTCGCAGGAGGCGAATAGAAAACTTCGATCCTTCCCAACCGGCAGGAGGTAACCCGCCTATGCAGATGCCGCAGTTTAGCGGCGCTGGAGACGCCAGTGCTCACCCCGATCACCAAACCTCGCCATTTGCCCGGGACGATGCCTTCAGTCGCGGAACCGTGCACGGCGGGCCCGTCACGACCGAGGAGGCTCCCCCTTACACCCGCCATAGCAGCTACGTCCAGTACGGCGACACAAAGCGCATGGAACACGATCCGCTTCCGCCCAACTACAATGGTGGACGAGCTCTGACTGAGGACCCCTTTCGAGACCCGAAGCACGGTTAATCAGCATTGTTAGATCTCTTTTATTATTACTTGGGTAACTAACTATGCGCAGTCAGCATAGGCCCTCTTCTTTGTTATTGTCTTTTATTCATCAGCGATTATTATTACAGCGTACATACATACATATACCCAAACACACACACACACCTTTTCTCTCACTAATATAAACGCATCCTACATCTCCTTGTGCGGATATCTCTAGGGTACTTGGACGCGGCATGGATAGATGAGACATTATTCTTGCATCGGCATTGGTACGGCAGGGCATAGCATAGCATGGTATTGCATCAGCGTCATTCATTCATTTGTCATACTCATCAGACGAGCCAGGGAAAAAGGAGGGGAAGAGAAAAGAGAGATCCGGTATCTCGGCTTACGCCACTAGCATAATTATTCTTTGTCTTCTTTTTTTGGTCTGAGTTGCGCGTCCCTGGAATGGACTCATGGTTTATTAGGGATTGGCCGTTGGACATTGCATCTACGGCGTTACGGGAGGTAATTCGACGGTCTGGAAAGGGATGACTGTACGATAATACTGGATGGGTTGATTGCATATTAGTTCAGCGATAGCAACCAAATATGAATATTCTTATATTAACTTCTACAACTGCTTCTCTCCTATTGAGATCAATGTGCATGTTGCCAAAACCACGGAGAATACTACTAGCAAGTGAGGATGTAGCCCCTTTTTTCACTAACAGGTAGCGTGATATCGAAATAGCACCGGTGGTATAGATTGGTAATTCATTACTTTTTTTCAATAGAACTAAGGCATTCTGCTCCCTATTCATGCCATGTATTGTCAAGAAGTAGAGAACCATCTCCATGCAACCATACCCTAATGACATTTAACACCAATCCCCAAAGTAGTTCCCTATCATAACAATTGACTCCACGTTCTCATTATAAATTAGGTTGCCATCGCAATCCGCCAAGGTCACGACCACGACCTCGCCGAACTAGACGTGGTATTCCGTTCCTCTAGTACCGTACGCCCATATCCCCAGTTCTAAACAGGGGCCGCTTGAGCGGTGTTCGAGGAATTGGATTCTACTATGATGCTTTACACTCAGAAATATGGCAACTAGCACCAACAATCCGGACGCATACCCCATCATCGCCAACCTCTAGAGTTTTAATATCTTGTGGCAGAGTCCGGCCGCGAGTTTAACTTGGGGGATATAGCTTGAGCGTAGTTCTCCGCAGCCAGGTCATCGCGCAAATCCAAGACGGCGGCTCTCTTCTCCTATCGTGTCGTCGTGGTAGGAAAGCTTCTCGAGCTCAAGAACATGCCCTTGATGCTGCGGATCGCATCCTTGGTCTTCTTCACCTCGTCTGTGGGCTCTGTGCTACGGCCGTAGCCCAGCCCGCCGTGGATAGAAGAAAAGTCCATCATGGGCGGAAGGCCTATCTTGTCGACTTCGTCGCGGACCTCCCGCAGGAGGGAATTTAGGTCCGCGGCGCCTTCGGCATGACGCACGTGCATGTCGCTTATCTCGCGCAGAGAAGCCCGGAGGGCGGTAAGGCGGCGGGCTTGAGAGTCGATAGGCTTGTCGGCTAGGCTGTTCGTGCTGGACCCGAACTCCTGGTTCATCATCACGGGCGACGTCTGCGTGCCGATGTCCCGGTGGAAGAGCTCGGTGGGATCGCTGAAAGTACTCTCATCGTCTGCGTATGAACCTTCGTCTAGCCTCGACTTCAACGGCTTGCCGTTGTGATACGGGACTTCGCTAGCGGTATCCTCGAGCTTCTCCACCAGCTGCCCCAGCTTCTCGCTTACGTGTGCGTAGTAGTCGGTCCGCGCGTCGTTCAAGCTGCCGATCATAGGGTTGATGGCGAAGCGTGCGGTACCGTAGAGTAGCGCCCATATGCTGCCGGAGACGGTGAGGATGTTGGCGAGACGGGAGGGCGTGATGAGAGGTTCTGGTTTAGGCGCAGTGGTTAGGAATTCGGGATAGGTTATGATTGGTGCTAGGTTGCTTGTTGACGATGAAGCAGCTTGGATAATCTTCTCGGCATCTCTACTTTCTTCTGCGGCAGCCTGTTTCCCGTTTGCCTCGTCGTTGGATTCATTAGTCGTGGGTGGGTTCGAAGCCTGTGCATCTTGCTCAACTTCATCTAACAATTGTTTGATTTGGGTATCGTCAAGTCCCTTTCCCTTGAGGAATTCCCTTTTCTTGTCTATACTTGAGTTTTGAACCGTCTCGTCCTTCAGAAACTTTCGGGCTTGGTCGAGGGTAACTTCTGTCGTATCGACATCCTGAGAGTTGCTATTTTCCGGCGCATCTTTTTCCTTCTCATACTGTGCATGCTGCCATGCCGGTATCTTTGACAGCTTGGGATCGGCCATATTGGCAACGAGAGAATCCTGTCGGACTCTTCTGTCTAGTGAAGTGTATAAAATACAATTGAATTATCAAGAGGGAAACGATTGGGTTTGGTAGCAGTTTGGTAGCTTGGTAACTTAGTAATAAACACACAGCAACGCGAGGTCCACGAGTACCAATCTTATCTCTGGCGTAATCAGCCTCGGTACATTCTCCGGGCTCTAAACTGGAACCGAGCTTTTAGCTAGGGACCTAGTACCTAGGTACATACGGAATATTGATAGGGAAAGATAGGACCGCTAATGAACTTAGCAGGATTATCTAACAATGTACAACTTGATAGCATTCTTTCATCACTTAAGCCTTCACCGACCTCACCTTAGGTACGTATATGTGCATATCTTATGTACATGCGCGAGTTCTACACGTGACACAATCCTCAATCGCGCCCTTCAACTTGAATCATTTCATCGTCAATACGTTTCTCTCGGCTGGAGAAGGGATAGAAGATTTAGCGACGAGAATTATCTCGGTCCCAGGCAAGATTTCGATTTCGCTTGTTTAAGATTACCTATCTTACTCCATCTCATATCGCCACCTTTTAACGATTCCTCGGGTCGTATATATTGAATACTCCGAGACGTGCCTCGATCTCATTATCACAGGTTGAAAACATTGGTACCCACCTGCATCACTACCGACGATCAAGAGAAAAGGCCATCCGATTTCCCATTCGATTTGAGTTGAAGTGAGCGCTGTCGAGCTGGTTGTCACCTAAAAGCTCGGTTACTTAGAAGACTAAAACCGGAAGACTTCCCGAACCGCAAGCTAATCGCCCAAAGAGTCGCTAAGCTTTGACGAGGTGCTCAGCTGCAAACCGAAAAAGTATCCAATTGAAGAAAGTCGCCTATCATTAGCCTAGCCTGTCAGCTACAGCTGGAGATACGCGAGGATCCTCGGGATTCTCAATTCATCATGTAAGTCTTAGGTGCAAATCCTGATAATGAGCCCTTCTTTCTCTCGTCAGCATACGTCAACTTCCCTGTCCCGAATTCATCAATATCTCTACCAATGTCCTTCAAGAATAAAAAGGGGGGAGGTATGAGGAGAAGTATATCATGAATTGTCCGTGTGATGGAGAATGACATACGGATATTCAAGTGAATGGGTGATGATAGGAGAAGATTGATAAAAGGAGGTAGGAGGGGGAATGAAGATGATAGGAATGATGCAACTCGATGCCGATGCGATGCATAACGCAAGGTCTAATGCTTGGATTTCCTGGGGCGTGTACGAGGTATAAAAGAAAATCTTTGTTGTCGGGGTTGGCTGCATTGATCTAAATGCTCTAAATGCTGCATCGACTAAATGGAAAGGAAGGGAAAAGGGTCTTGGTGTGTTGCCTCAAATATCTCGTTGAACAAATTCAACTGGTTGAAGCTTCGATCTAATGGCCAATGACCAATCGCAATCACATATCCTCCGATCCAAAGTATCCAAGCGGCAACCTGCTTTTTTCTACTCGTACCCGACACGGGCTTGTTTGCTGCACAGCAGGCACCAAGGGCACCAAGGGCACCAAAGGCACCAAAGGCAGGCACCAAAGGCCACCATCAGACAGCAGCTGTGTCACGGCGTCTGACGCCCCAAGCTTATTTCAACTTCGACAAAATAAAAATAAAAAGAGAAACGGCCCCTTGCGCCTATGCGCGCCACCCCCAAAAATTAAACACATACTTCTTCTTTCATTTCAAACACCAATTTCGTCATTCGTCATTCAATCACAAAACTTCACTTATCACCCCATTCACCCTTATCTAAAATAACATCTCCTCTCCTCTCCTCCCTTGCCTATTCTTAAACATATCCCAACCTATCAACTCCCCATCACTTACCCCAAAATGACATCCCGTCCACGTCGTGCAGCCGCCCAGAGGGCAAACACGGCTATAACTGACATGGTCGATAGCGACAATCATATCAATAGTCGTACGGGCAGAACAATGTCCTCCAGGACTTCTCGCCGATCTGAGGGTAAGAGTGCCGCAGCATCTGACTTGCGCGGTCCTCCTTCCGAACCCTCAGATTCTAACCAGCATATCCATTTTACAGTTAAGCTTCCAGCAAGCAAGCTTCGCCAGGCCACTTCTAGCCGCCAGCAACCTTCAACCCCTAGAGCCGGGGATGGAAAGCGGAATCGTTCTCAGAAGAAGAGCTACGTTGTCGATTCTAGCGATGAAGAAGACGAAGACGAGGCAGAGGACGAAGTTCAAGTTGAAGAGGATGACGACGACGATGATGACGACGACGACGAAGATGCCGAGGGAGAAGATGACGACATGGCGGATGAAGACGCCGAAGGCGAAATCGTTGTCGACGACACCATGGACATCGATGCCGAAGGAGACGACGATGATCTCGGTGAAGAAGATGCCGAAGGCGAAGACGACGACATGGATGTAGACCCCATCCCCCCTCCAGCACCTGTAATCAAAGTCTCAAAGCCTCAAGCTAAGAGCACCCCTACCGGCAAGTCAAGGGCCCCTACTAAATCTAATTTGAAGGCTGCGACCTCTCAAGCGAGGGACAGCGACGACGATGAGGAACTTAGTGAACTTGAAAGCGATGCCGACGAAATTCAGGATACTGTTAAAGTAGGAGGGGGCGGCGACGAAGATGCCGAAGGGGAGGATGAGGAAATCGAGGCAACTAATATCGCCGAGGATGACGAAGACGACGACGCTGATAGTGACGGCGGCGCCGAAACCCCTGATCTCACACGAATGACCAAACGACAGCGTGCCCGCTTTGAGGAAAATGGAGATTCACTGATGAAGCTCTCCGACGGCAAGTAACCCACATTCATCACTAGAGTCTAGACTAACACAATTACAGAAGTACAAGCAAAGAAGCATTTCACAGCCGAGGAACTCTCTATGCGCCGCGCCGAGATGGCCCGCCGACGCCGTAATTTGAGTGAGAAGCGAAACGAGGAAGTCAAGGTAAGCTAGTAGTGTTTTCTTAGAGCAGAAAGTGTCTATTAAGACCATGAGAATATGTCAGCTAATAACCCGAATTACAGATGGAGACTATAAATAAGCTACTTAAAAAACAGGCCCCCAAGACTAACCGCAAGTCTCAACTTGCTGGAGAGCTGACTCCTGATGCCGAATCTCGGAAACCTAATCCGGTGTTTGTCAGATGGGTTAGCAGCAAAGACGGTAGTCGAGTCGGTGTTCCTGATGAGATGCTTTCTGGATCATCCGGTAGAGTTTTCGTTCCCGGTGGCCTTGGGCGTGGGAAGATGGTAGAGGAAGTCTCGTAGAACGAAGAGGATCACGATCTTGATTCTTAATTCTTGACCGATATAACTATTCTCGGTTTTCCGGTTATTTCTTCCAAATCGACGGACGTCACAATTATTTCGTCGATAATATCTTCTAAATTGCATTTAATGAGTGCGTGCGTGTATTATAGATTCGTCATATTTCTTCAATCCTGGCGAAATTGGGGCAGCATATTATTGTATTGGGATTAGAGCTTAAGCTTAGAAAATAGCAAGGGCGGCGATTTAATAGAACGGTGCTTTAACAACAGTATTGTGTCTCTAATTCTGCACAGACAGCGATTTACCGCAATTTCCCTATTACTACTAGATTGTCTCTATTTCTTATACTTACCTAGGTAGGTACCTAACTTAATACAATTATTCTATAGATTGATATGTATCGGTTACAAATATTGGAAAATACCTATTGACCAAGGTATTGAAACGTCGGGCTTCATATCAGCTGTTTGTTGGTGAACATGTTCTTTCAGATAATATTAGGCGCTTAGTCCGGAATATTTAAAGTATATTATAGCATTGGACTTTATACTTAAAATTATACTTAAACGCATACCTACATCCTTATCAGCACTCTCCCACCTTGAGTGAGCTCATTACCTACGATAGTTCAATGTGGCATTTTTAGTATGCTTGCTTGCTCATACGCATGATAGTGTATCTACCTGGTCTCGAACTCAATACAACCTCATTAGCATTGGTCCATATGGACGGCGCCTATTAACTGACATAAAGACTACTTCGAACAATGTATTGTATCTTTGTACATTTGCTGCGCACACTGCCATTGTACTTCCCTTCTAAACCTGGTGGTCTGAGAGTATTTAAATATGCCCTCGTGACGATATCGGCTGTGTAGTAAGTTATTAGAAATACATGGAAAACCGAAGTCATAACCTAATATTACATAGGAGCTATCCGTGTCCTCCAAAAAGTGTCCACTTGCCGTCTTTTGCGTAGTGACTTAGGTACATTTATTCCGGGGGGGTCTGTTCCTTCCAAGAGTCTCAATTATTTTGTGGGAGTTTAGGTCATTCGAAATTTGTTCCACCTCTTGCCAACAAATTCTACAGCTGGTGCTTCATGCTTGACTCACTACCTGCCAGTTGTACCCTATTCCTTGGAATCACAAACAATCCCGAATATCGTCACCTTACACATACATAGTCATACTACTAAGTTGACCTACCTCAAGCCATAAACCCTTCGTTGGTGAATAGATGTTTATTGAATAACTTTTGGGCTGTTGGATTTGAACCTTGGACGTTTTCGTTCTCAACCTTACACCCCATCATCCAATCCCCTTTCTCGACTTTTACCAGTCTGCTTCTCCCAAAACCCCTATACGAGATTCCCAAGTTAAACCAGTTTCATCAATCATCTAAACACTTTTAATCTACCTACCAAAGTACAACCGGCCACTTTCTACCCATCATCACTTGGATTATATCATTTCTCTCCTCTCTACACTACACTACACTGCAACAAACAAACAAATCGACACGATGGCTAAAAAGCGAGTATCCTCTTCTGAAGAAGGAGACAGCGCTGGCCGCAAACGTGTCCGTACTGAACGAACCACGGGCGCGAGCGACAACAACAAAAGGAACGAGGCTATCAACATGGCGCTGAGCAGAGCCAACGTTGGGAAGAAATACGCCTGGATGAACCGGGTAAGCTCGTTCCCAATCTTTTGCGGAATCTCTATCAAGTCTAGCTGTAGCAATATGTTATCTTCAAGGTTGCGTAGTGCTGACTAGTCCCTACAGGAGACAGGTGCTCTTGAGAAGCCTGCGCCTCCCGTCTACAAGACCGAGAAAAAAGAAGAAGAAGGGCTTGCGGACTGCCCGGGGAGCCCCGAGTCATACACCACCATTGCCCCCCCTACAGTTGCCAATGACGGCCCTATACGACCGAGCATTGAGAACGCGTCTAAAGACGCATCCGAGGAATTTGACGAAGAGCCTGACGAGATAGTGGCAGCCATGGAAAAGGAATTGGCCCAGGACCAGATGGTCAAGTCTAAGTCTAGCAGCGGCTCCTCGGAGTCCCCTATCATTATCTCCTCCAGAGATCCTAGCCCTATCAGCATCCCGTCTAAAGAGGATACGCCTACCAAGAACATCACAGGCTCGAAGGAGCCAGCCCTCCCCACTCCACCCAAGACGGACGATGAGAAGAAGCCTGAACAGCAGAAACAGCAGAAACCAGCGAAGAAACCAACGCAGAAGAAGCAAAAGCAGAAGCCTGTTGTTCAGGAACCCGAGGAAGACCCCGCCGTGGCGGAAGCTCAAGAGCGGGAAGACCTATTCGCCATGCTAAACTACATCTACCAATTTGCTTATTAGGGGGCGTTTCTGTTTCCCATTTTTACGTTCATCACATTCACAGCATCGGAAAGCGAGCACGAGCTACTAAGGCACAGGCCAGCGACGAAAAAAAAAAAAAGAAGAGAAGAGGCTTTGCATTCGGAGGGCATAGATTGCATTTCATCACGCCAGCGAAGATACCCATTATTTGTTTTCGGAGATAACATCAGATTGGCTGTTTGGTTTTTAAGAAGTTTGAGTCTTGATATTACCTGTATGTGCGATTTGGACTGGACTATCCGTTGGAAGGATATAATATACGCAGGCTTGCGTCGAGATTGATTATAGGCTTTTGGCGGCTGATACGGGAGGGAAAATGTCCGTCTCCTGCGTATTGATGCGCGTGAGTTGGTCGTCGAGCTATATAATCACCTATAAATGCCAAAATATAACATGAAATTGGTCACCAGTGAAGATTTGATTGTATGTCGTCAAAGCAGTAGCGAATTTGTAGATACTGAAATGCTCGTAGTCTTCCATCCTTCGAGGGCGCTGCATGCCTCTCATATACCAAATCCTAGTAGATATACCCCTGAATCTACCCCTAATCCATTTATTCCCTGACACGCTCTTACCGATGCATAACCACCTAAAATTTCCAGTGTATCCTAACTCTACCAAGCCAACCGTATTATCCATCTAAACTTCAAAGCGTACGAAGGCATGACAAGTAGTTAAGTCTATGATTCACGATAAAGTCGCTTGGATCAAGTCTGTCGTGTCTCACATTGTATACGTCTGCTATGGCTAGATACTATGGCGAAACTTCGCGATTAAATTCGTTGAGAACCAAAGCACGTAACCTGGGTTTTAGATTTCGGGTATAATGCAATAATACTTTGGGTAGTCTTTCCTTTTTTATGGTTCTGGCGGCCCCTGCTGGGGGGGCAAAATAGGGGCTATTGTGAGATGGGGCCTATCGTGTATTAGAGTTGGATAGTATACCTATATGTAATGTTATATCGTTAACTCTGTTTACGTAGCACGGGTAAACTTGGCTAATAAGATAAATATATACTTCATAAGTTTTAGTTTTAGTTTTTTTATTTTTTTTTTTTTTTATTTTTTTTTTTTTTTAGTTTGGGGGTTTGATCCCTTTACGTTATGTACTGAATTCAACTTAGTCAAGTTTTGCTTTGTTTCAATTGGTGTTTCAAAGTGGCAAAACTTCCCAACAAACTCTTTAGGATATTATCATAAATCTTATTTTTATAGAACCACTAATTTTTCAACTGTATACAACGTACGGTGGCTTGTTTGCTGCGCTTTTGTAGCCTCGGCTCACAGACGCCCCAGACCCACTACATATACTAGAATGAAGTAGTTAACACATAGGGTATCGTTGAATCGACTTCATATACTTCGGACCTGCTATAAAGCATACACTAGGAAATATAATTATATTTGATCTTCCTTTTACTCCACATTTCTGGTGGATAGCTATCCTCTCAGCTACATAATTCCTACTAATTCCCTCGAGATCATGGGATTCCAGGCGATTGGGCATCGTCAACTCCGGAGTCGAATCCAGGTATTACGTCGTTCCTTGCCAAGTTCAAATTAGTTTTGATATAGCGGTCGCTAATAGCCATGCGCGGCTTAGCCGTAGACCTCTCTCTGTCAAAGTCGTGGCTCATTAACTTGTCGCGAAGTTCCTTGCTGGGGAAGCCGTTATAAGAAACTAGGGGGCCTTTAAACCAGACTCCCTTCTCGTTCTCGATTTTATCGTCGTCTTTCCTGGCGAAGCGCCACCCGTGGGTGCTTCCGCCTTGCTTGTGATACACAACCTTCGGGTGAGTTTCGTCTTCCCATCGGACATCCTCTGCCTTCCGCGTGTCGAAATCTCCGTGACTCCCGGCCGCCACGTATTCTGCTTTTCCATCTTTGACGAAGACGATTACATGCTCCCAGTCGTTGCGGTGACCACCGGCGTCAGCAACATAAGGGACCGCAACGTCCTTCTCGAAGTAGTAGTCGTAAATAAAGGCGCACTAGAAATAATATAATTAACGGTCATCGTGGTCGTAATTAGATATCTCTGGAAGTCTGTTACCCATCCGTTATTACAACGCTTACGCGAGTAGACGTTATTGTTATCGAGACGCGCAGAATCGCGACAATGTTCTGTGAAAACGGTTTAGTCTGAGAGTATGATGCGCACATGTACGAATTTATCTACATACCCGAGGGTCCTGAATAATCATGATCCATCCCGGGGTTGATCTGCCCATCGGGACTGATGGCCGCCGTGTTATAACAACTGTCCGTGTCAAAATCCGCAACAGGTTGCCATCTCTTGTCCTCTTCTGTCGCTCTTTCAGGGAGAGGCTTAACAATATCCCGAGGGGCTATCTGGTGTATCCCCGGAATAGGCGATGCTACTACATGACGAGCACATAGGGTTAAGAATAGTATCGCGACTGACTTCGTCATAGTTGGTAGTTTTGCCAGTTCTCGCTCGATGTAATAATGAAATAGTCTGGGGAGGTCATCATGTTACATATGTCAACGTAAGTAGCTAAGGGCACAAATGCTCTTTTAAATAATACTAAGCTCTAAAATATTAGGTTTAGGTTATAACATATTATCATGTAAAGTTCATTTCTGAATTTCATTTATTACAGTTCAATGAATATTAGATGTGCCTTAAGTCATACCGATCTTTATAGGAATCTTAATATTTAAATTTTTGCCATCATTGCTAACAAGGTTATTAACAATCTTTGGCGAAATTGAAAGCTTGGCATAAAGTAAAGCCACGTAGAGTAATGTCGGAAAAGATATCATCGCTAAGTACCTAACGGAATATAAGATTCCACAGTCGTTCATACCTACCACTACGACAGTGTCAACCCATTAGATTTAGTTTAGGAATGAAGCCCGAACCCAGTCGATGTCTCGAGCCTAACTCCAGCTTCACTCTGACCCACGAGGGCAAGCATTCCATTAACCTGTAATTGGTGTATCGGGGATACGAAGTGTGGTAAAGTTCCAAGTCTTTCCATTGTCCGCACTCGACATTTCTCCGCCGGTTGCCTTGTACTGCCAGGCGCCACTATGTTTAAAGCTTGGATCTGCCTTGCTAAGGGTGATAGAAATATCCTCCCAGGCTATAAACATATTATTAGGCTCTTACTCTATCTTTAAGAAAAGCGTTAGGAACTTGAGGGGCTTACCGTGTGCTGGGGCGGGAGAACATGTGCCTGCTGCACATTCGATCGAGATGTAAAATATTACTCCATGCTGTCTTTATATCAGGGTATTATAGGTTAGGGGTAGTTAATAAAAGTTTATTTACTATATAAAAAACGCGAAACGCTTTTATAAAAAAATAAAAAGCCAAGCGTTATAAAATTAATATTATTATTATTTGGTTTATTTATTTTAAACATTTATTTTATGTATAATATTAATTAATAAATATAAATTTTAATAATATAACGTTTATTATTTAATTATATAAATTATTTATTAAAAAAATAAATTACGAAATAATATAAAAAATACTTTAATAATGCGCAAAAATAATTACGATTTAAAATATTATAAAACGAAAAAAAAAATTTATTGTTACGGCGTGATAAAACACCGGTCATGTGACCATGTCACATGACTAAGGTTATGCTTATATACACTATTTAAAAATTAATTTACACACATATAAATAAATATTTTTTATTTGGTAAATCTCCCACTTTTTTTATTTAATTAAATATAATTAATTAAACCATTTTATTTAAATTATTTTGTTATTTTTTACCTTTTGTATTACGTAATACACGGCAACATTGTTGCCATTTTAACACGGCGTAAAAAGTTAATTACGATAAAAAAGTTATAATAAAAAAAAAAAAAAAACAACGGTAACGTTATAAAAAATTAACAATTTTTTAAAAAGTTTTAAAGTTAAATATTACCGATTTATAATAATAAAGTTATTTATATTATAAATAAAAATTTTATAAAATAAAATAATAATTATTATAAATAAAACTTTATAACGGAAATTAAAATTAAAAATAAAGTTTTATAATTAATATAAAATTAAACGGATAAAATTTAAAATAAAGTAATAATTATAATAACAAAACTTTTAATATAATTAAAATAAAACTTTATAATTAAAATAAAGTTTTACGATTAAAATAAAATTTTAAACCCGTATAAAACTTTATTAATTATTTTAATTACGTTTTAAAATTTTATTAATTATTTTAATTACGTTTAAAAAGTTATAAAATTTTTTTAATAACTTTTAAAAAATTATATAATTATTATAAAAAAAATTAAAATTTAAAAAAATATATTATTAAAGTTTTTAACGTGGTTAAAAATAATTAAAAAATGTTTTAATATAATAATAAATGACTTTATAATAAATTAATAATAAAATAATTATAAAAATGCGTATTTTATTATTAATTAAATATAATTAACCCGAAAAAATATATTGTTAAAATTTTTAATAAAGTTTAAAAATAATTAAAAAATATTTTAATATAATTGTAAAAAATTAACCGTATAATTATTATAAAAAAAAATAAAGTTTAAAAAAATATATTATTAAAGTTTTTATTATTTTAATGAATTTAAACCATAAATTCGAAATTGTTTATACGGTTATATTTTTTTTAACCATATAACTTTTTAACTAATTATAACTTTAATATAACTTTAAAAACAATTTTAAATTTTTAATTTAAAATAATTTAAATAATTTTTACCATAATTAATTATTTAATATTAAAAATAATATTAAAAATAATATTAAAAATAATATTAAAAATAATATTAAAAATAATAATATTAACACGTTTAAAATAAATTTTAATTAATTTAAAACATTTATTAACTTTATTATTAATAAATATACGCGTTTTAAACGTTTAAATATACGCGTTTTAAATATTTTAAACGTTTTAAAATAATAATTAACCGTAATATACCGGTCGTAACACCGGTTATAACGTTTTTAAAAATATACCATTAATTTAAACGTTAAAGTTTATAATATTATAACGTAATACCGTATAAACATGTAAAATAACGGAAAAGTTTAAAAAACCATTATATTAACTTTAAATTAAAAAAAATTAAATATTTTATATATAATTATAAATGTATATATAAATATAAATATTGTTTTAATATATTATTACGTATTTTTAAACGTTAAAGTTTACGATATTATAACGTAATACCGTATAAATATATAAAAAAAATAAAAAAATAAAAAAAACATAATATTAACTTTAAATCATAAAAATAAAAGTTATTTTATACGTTATTATTAAATATTAAATTATTATAAATATAAAGTTTAATTTTTAAAAAAATTATTTTAATTATAATTAAATACGTTAAACATGTTTTAAATTAAAATTCGTTAAAACTTTAATTTTATATTACTTTTTTAAGTTTTAAATTTATAAATATAATAATATAAATTAAACGTTTTATAACGTTTATAACGCAATTAAACGTAAACCCGATTTTAATGAATTTTAATTTAAGTTTATTAAAATAATTTACAATTACGTATAAAATTTTTTTTTTAACTTAAAACTAATAATTTAATTGTTTAAACTTTTTTATTATTTTACATATTTATATAATATTATGTTATAATATTATAAACTTTTAACGTAATATATTTTTAAAAACGTTATAACCGGTATTATAACCGATATTATAACCGATATTACGGTTAATTATTATTTTAAAACGTTTAAAACGCATATATTTAAACGTTTAAAACATATATATTTATTAATAATAAAATTAATAAATATTTTAAATTAATTAAAACTTATTTTAAACGCATTAATATTATTATTTTCAATATTATATTTTTAATATTAAACAATTAATTGTAGCAAAAATCGCCCGAATTGCTTTAAACCAAAAATTCGAAATTGTTTTTAAGGTTATGCCGAAGTTGTGATTGGTTAAAAAGTTATATGGCTAAAAAAGGTACAACCGTACAAACGATCTCGAATTTGTGGTCTGAGTTCACTAAGATAAATTTCAGCTACTGCGACATACTTGTCGAGATGCTACCTGACAATAGCTTATCATCTACATAGAGATTCTGGTCCCATAGATTCGTATTAGGGTTCAATTTGTCTACCAGGTACGTTAGTTATCATTCATGTAGGAGGTAAACTCCGAATTATACATGCAATGCGTCTTAATTCGAGACCCGGGTGCGGCGCTAACTGGTGAACCGTTCTTGGCATTCCGGGAGCCTTTGCATGATAACATATTAGTATATGATGTTCAGGTGCCTAAGTTCGTAAACTTGACATCTTAGGTACCTACGAGGGTACACGCGAAGTTACACCATTTACTGCCGAGGTTAGGACAGTACGGGCTACAGCAAGATGTCAGTTATATATCCTCGAGGTGCTACTAGGTTGTTTGCTGGATCATGCCATACCTGTTAAGCGCATTCTCAGTAACTCCCTGGAGGAAGTCCCTCTTATCCATCATGATGGCGCTCCACAAGGCAACGTCACCTGCCATTGGGTTAGGGACATCTCCCAGAACTAGTGTAGCGCTGGCCTCCTGAATCCACGCATCACCCTTAGTATTGAGGGTAATGATGTCGAGATTCGCCCGGCCTTGGCCAACGAGCGCTAGAAAGACGCCAATAGCCGCAGAGATGCCCTTTATAGCAATCAAATTGATTCGAATGATTGCTTTAAATTATTTAAATTACGTAAGTTAAAGTTAAAAATGAATTTTAAATGAAGAATCTATAATATTTTGTAGAAACTCGAAAGTTATAGGTGGTCTAAATTACCGCCGGCTAAAGGGAGATGTTCCCTCTCTGGTATGGCTGCCAAAAATGGAACAGCACATTAGCCACATTCAGATTCCGTAACAGTGTGTTCTCTCCCTATTATGGAAAACTTGGGTTTGTTCTTTATAGATCAGACTCATTTTTGAAACCGCGATATACAGACCTGATAAAGCCATATACCTATTGTGTGGTTGGCTATGAGAATAACGACTATATGGAGTCTAGCATGATGTACCTAAGGAATAGGGGGTGATATGTTACTGCGCAAGAAATCTAATTTAACTAGATCAAACCACTGATATACATACACGTAATTTCTTTATCTAGTTAAGTGTTTTAGAAACCTGTGTTATTGATAGAAGTTTGATTTGGCTTCGAAACCGCAATGTTTCTTATATGTTTTAGAGGGTAATTATCTAGTTGACTGATCATTTCTTAAATAATACCTAGGTAATTTAGTGATACTCATATTACTATAGCGTTACAGTGTGGTGTATTCTCTTCTAGGTGATATATTACCAATACTGAAGAAAGAACTAGATTTTCAACATGTAACTTATAACTTGTAACATGACAAGTAGCTTAACCTAGTGTTATAGATGATGGTATATCACGCGTAGAACTAATGTTAATCACTGTCTATCGTGAATAATATTATAGTATTTGCAAGCACCATGGCTGCTTTACGGTTTAGATAATTATACAAAGTCATCCTGTTCGGCGACAATATACTCATCAACTACACCCCGTCCAAGTCACTTCATAATGTCAATTGTTTCTAATATTTTATTACCTCACTATCATAATTGTCTCCACACTGCTCACTCTTCTGGATGCCAACTCATATCGCTGCTTTACATTAGTAATTATGAAGCTCACTACTAGAGGCCACGTCTACATACCTACAGGTGACCCTCTTTGTCTACGTGTATCAGGATGAGTCTTTCTAATGCTCATTACCCTGGGACATGGCCCCTTACACTTGCCATACTCTGCTTTTTAACGCTTCGTATTCTTCTACATTGTGCTTCGTTTTGCTTTTCCTTCAACAGGCTTTACCAACAAATTTTATTGTTGATAATTATCCATCGCCGAAACCCATCGTTACCACCACCACCTGCTTACCATCCCGCGTAACCATTGCCAGCTTCTGATAATGGATCGATGCAATAACCAGCCCGAATCTCCCGCGGCCCCTCGGCCAGCAGCAGGAGCAACAGCTGATTCTCTAGACACTCCTGTACCGACATCTCCTGCACTGTCTACACTATCATCAATCTACTCTCCGAGATTTACTGCGGCAGCTCCTATCAGGTCTCCTTCTGCACGTGGACCGAGGCAGTATCCGTCTACTAACGATCCTCAATTCCTAGATGACCGCTTTCATCCAGAAACTGTTCCTCGCACTTGGTCGGCTCCACGCGATCCTCGCTTCGAACTACTATCAATATTTTCTAGTCTCGAGGTGTATAAAGGAGAAAATTCGGACAACAATGGCCTGGACGCTGCCCAGAGTGCCATAGGCCATGCGATCATGACATACAAGAAGAGTCTTCTGGACGAACTGGAGGAAGAAGGCACCATATTTGGACTTAAGGTTCAACTGCCGCCCGACGCTGGAGACTATGGGGTTGTGAGAGAGACGATTGAATCTGAGGCTTTTGAATATTTCGACCGACTACAAGTAGCAATAGCGGCGCACGAATTCCGTGAGCATGGCGTGCCTAGAGAGCGCCGTGTTGACTTCTTTGGACCACCTCCCCCTAGGGAAATGCGCGATACTGGACTCTATGCAAATCGCGCTCATATTATAAGTAGGCACTCATTAGAATCGAATGACCCGCGGGATATTATCAACTCGATGCGGCGATAACTCATCGGCGGCCTAGCTTGTATAGGGGATCTGATGAGCTAATGGCCCTGTCGGGTCATCAATTAAGCCTCATCCCACTTGTCCAACTTACTTCTCTGTCGGATATTCCTACTGCTACTATTTCTTACTTCGGGTATTACGAGAATTAGCCACTGTTCGTTATACAGGATAATATGTAGGATCTAGATAGGTTTCAGGTTTTTTTTTCTTTCCTCTTGAATCAATGTCTTTTCATTTTCAATTTGTCGATTTATTCTTGGTGACTGTTTTATTTATTTTATTTTTATTTTGTACATAGAAGAGCCATAAATCAATATTTAGTATAAGTCTCTTAAGTCTACCTGCCTACTTAGTCATTTACACTAATGTTTAGTATTGAGATGAGACAATACATAGGTATTCAACATTGAACGGGGATCTCCACATAATACAATACGAACAGTCATGTATGTATGTATCCGTCGTACCTGAATACCCATAGATTCTACACCCGAGGTGGCCACGCAAGCACAGGCCAATCTTGGCCACGATTCCCTGCACTCCAGACTTGCGGGTGGATACTAAAGTTTACATGCCCTTTTCGTCTAAGTAAGCGAGCCAATGGATGCGGGGAACTAACAGGGTCAGGTGCCGCGGGCGGTGATCGACAGAGAGCTTTTTATTTTTAGGTTAGTGGACTGGTGGAGGAAGAAACTGGTGGAGGAAGAAACCGCTGAAGATCTGTGATACTTGACTTCTTAACTGATTCCCTTGACTGGATTGCTTGACAGCCTGACAGCAAAACCACCTCATCATGATGTCCCCTCTCGTCCGTTGCCTCTCGCGGTAAAATGGAACCTTCGGATTTGGTAACTTTCATCGATGACGCATATTATTACTTTACCATGGCTTTGCTAGGGTATTTCACCTTTAGGTATTTAGCATCAGCATTGATCCTAAGGTTTCGCGGTAATCGGCAAAGTGGCTGGTTAGCTGGTTAACTGGTTAGGTCTTACATTCTTTCGGCATATGTAACGACCTCGCCTGTTTCCCTGATTTCGTCAGCGAATCTTCACCGTGGATCCCCCGGTCGAACTGCGTCTTAGACCTGCAGCTAGCCTTCGATAGCGCATTAGCTATGGTAATAATATATAGATACATGGTACCTATTAATTACCTAGTACCTAAGGCAGTTGACCAGAAAAAAAAAACTTTACTAGCCTCTACCTATATAGACCTACTTCTTCAATACTACCTACATATCGCCTATTACCGGCATACACGAGGTGCATTGTATCATCCATCACCGACCTTCGGGACTGTGCGCGATGGGCTCGATAGGTTTGGTGAAACCCTAAAACAGTAAAAAAGAGGAATGATAGCGAGATTTGATCGTGGTCCACTTCAGCAGGAAATTCGAAGTCTGCATATTCTGCATACAACATAACATATTTGCAGATTTGGTCACACGACACGCGCAACACCACGATCACCACGATCCTCGGCTGACACAACAACAGCGAACCAGGACACGTTCACCAACTTGCATATGCTCTTTCCATGCGAGTTTGTGTGCAGGTCGTCTGATGCATAAACCTAGGTTAATGAATTAAGATTAAGATTACGGGTTGGCCGCTTAGTCCCCCGAACCTACTATCTTCAAAGCCTCTGATCAGCTGTAATCAGACGAGGCTTTTTTTTTTTTTCCTTTTCCTTCTTATTCTTCCATTCTTCCTTCAGGATGCAGGTCTCAGAAGGAAACCCGTCAGCACCGGCGGACTCCCCGTCAGTCGACGCCCATATCCCAACTAGGTCTAGTCTTGGGCCCGATCCTGGCCCTGACAGTCAGCCGTCGGGTTCTATCAATAATTCCAATAATGGATACAAGTGTAAGTCAATTTGACTTTTCTATTTTCCATTCTATACTTTTACTCTCTCATAACCCTATTTATCATGATATTACGGGAGATTTGCCTCCCTTCAGACAACCGTCGGTAATTCTCGGGATGGCAATGATCGGACGTACCCTTCTATTCACTTTCCTAGTCCTACCCTCGTGTCAAGTAACTTAAGAAAGTACCATAAGACATATTAATCACCCTCTATTTATCAATTTGCCATCGCACAATCCCTAGTTCACATGTATTTTCGGCCAAGCTCTTAGGGAGCCAGTGCACACGGCGCCACGCGGTCTAAGGGGTTACTTAATGGGCACCTATGGTTGACTGATGCGGTTCTTAGCGAATGTGCCAATCTTTCATGGCACCACCAGTCACCCTGACTCCCACCCTGACTCCCACCCTGATTCCCCGCACCCCACACAAGCGGAAACTCAGATTGACCAGGCTATATCATCAACCGGGGCTGGCCCAGTTAGAAGACTCTCTGCCTCCTCATCCAAGATGTTGTTCTCAGATTTGTATAAGTCGACTAAATCTCCACTCTCGAGGTTACGGCATCACTCACATCCGGCCCCTGCGGCTCTGGATTATGATCCTGACCTCGTGAGTCGAGATAAAGCCAAGCAAAAAGAAGCTATTAAGCGCGTCCTCGCGGCTAAGATACGAAATGATTGGCACTTCGAATGGCCGCCTGCAGCTATCAATCCAGACCCGGGACATGCTGAAACAGAAACGGCACCTGGGGGGTATGATGACCATATTGCCGTAGAAGATATCGATTCAGGAGACGACACTGCTTCAGTGTATAGCACCGTTTCAGAGGACCTTACTCATTTTCGCCCTAGGTCTGAGTGGCTATCGGATATGCCCGATGACGACGACGACGACGATATTCCTGTATCACCATCGGCATATCGTTTTGATACTCCAGATGCGGTTGGCACTTCGGTCAAGGTAGCAGCCCTCGCTAAGAGCGCTAAGCGGAGGAGGGCGGTGCGTTCTGAAATGGAATGGAATGATGGGCTTGCTTGCTTCAATGCTCGACGAGACGCTTGGACGGGTGCAAAGGCAGCTCGAATCCGTCCAAAGGTAAATTCCCCAGTGGTTACCTCTCCTGCCGCAAAGCGTCTTTCTTGGTGGCATATCTCGACTTCACCGTCGCCCTCGTCGCCTACGGAATCGATTGGTGCCGGTACAACGCTTAGCCCTAGTGCGACGCGTACATCTGGCGATACTACTGCGGTGTCCTCAACGGATGCGGAATTTAGAGAGACGAGGACCAGAGATGACTCGTCTACTTATCCAGTAGAGACTCTGGTTCCCATACCCCAACCTCTTTTGCCTCCTGCCACTCCTATGCGTGCCTCCATCACCGTGGCCGCGTATCCTACTATTTACGATAAGATCGTAGTTCAATCTGCAACACCCTCGTGTCCTGTTAACCTCGGAGACGTGGTACGTTCCTGCGTGGCCGGTTGGAAACGAGACGGCGAGTGGCCCCCTCGGGGTACCGATCCTCCACCCGTCATAGCAGTTCGTAGGAGGAAGGACGGCGGTGCGGGAGGCAGAAATAACGCACCGAAAAGCAACGCGTCTAAGAGGATGAGCTTTAGTTTTCTAGGGCGAAGACAGAGCGTAGGTGGGGACCAAAACAAACTAGCAGAAAGTACATCGCATCCGGAGAAAGAAGATGCTAGCCATACAACTGGCAAGGTTTTTAGGAAAGGTTTACAGCGCGTGTTAGGCCTTGGACACGAGAGAACGTCGAGCAACACTAGCAATCAAGCGACTATTGCTATGTGATGGACGTGGATTAATGGGAACGAATGAATACTCAAGGAGTCAGTGTTGCAGGAGTCAGTGTTGCAGAAGGTTAAGGGAGGAACAAAGGAGTCTTGGACAATCGCGACATATCCTCTGGGATTGTTAGGGAGAAGCGCGTTCTCGGCATCATGGCAATATACCCAGCATCGCTTTCGGCGTTTACTTATTTTATTTCAACACTTCGCCCTTTTGGCGTACAGATAGCACTGTTGAGATATGTTGATATGTTCTAGAATGAAAGTAGCAGGCATTCGCCGCGGTTTTTTCTTACCACTACATACGTCGATCACGAATCTCTTGTATATTGCTCTATGGAAATTGGCACTGTGGCTTGGATCGCGGCTATGATAAGGTTACTATCTTGTCTTTGAACCGGAGAACGAAACGCCATGCAATTAATGAGTGATAATGAACATAGGTAAGTAATAGAGAATTATAATTGTAGGTTAGGTAAATTACGAATTAACCTAAACTTGAAAGTAAATATCAAAGACGGTCTATTTAGCTTCGTACACGGATGCATAGGATAGGTGTATTAGTTCGAAGGATAAATAAACTGTAATGATCCTCTTGCTGGTTTGCTGGGCTATATAGGTCGGAATACGCTTTCTTACAGCGATATTCAACTTACAAGACGCTGATGTTCGGTAAGCATAAGTCAACCTTCGTTACCAAGACTCGAGCCTAATACAGGTTAGGTAATCTTAAGCACACAACACATCAAACACCGAAACTGTAACTGTAACTGTAACTGTAACTGTAACTGTAGCTATAACCGGAAGACTTAAACTTTCATCTCTCATTACTAGCGTAACCCTGTGATGCCACCCGTGTAGGCTTTTCTAATCCTACACACCACACCGAGACGAGAAAAAAAGATAAATAAAAATAAAAGATGTTTCATCTCCAAAAACGCCAGTTGATAAGTTCCTTTTCCCAGCTCTTCCTTCCCCTTTCCATTCCCCGGCCTAAATTATTTCTCAGAGACGATGACCCGCCTCATCGACCATGACCCGGCCGAAAAGGGGCCACCTTATACCTGAGTAGTCCGAGTCCGCACGCCCGCCTGTTAAAAACCAGAAAAGCCGTTGAAGGAACCCTAGGGTAAATGTAGGTAGAAATAACACAAGTTGCCCGCGGCAAGAACTGAAAACTCCTAGCACAACTTTGCTCTGATCCAATATGATATGACAAGAGCAGAATCAACCAAAGCTGTCCTCGCAGCCCTACTGCAGGGCAGCCATAGATTCATCTATAACCCTATCATCCTGCACGACACCGCTGCGTACCAACGCATCCCACACCTTATCGCCCTTCCTCTTCTTGAGCCCCGCAGCCGACGCATCGACCGGCAAGCCATCTAACATCCTAAGCCGACGACACCGATCTAGCACGACCATTTCGTACAGCCTTCGCCGCATCCGCGTGCCCATATCCGAGCGGCTCGCAAATTTCTCGTCTCTCGCCGCGTCCGCGTCCGGCAGCGTAAACGGATCGAAGCCCTTGGCCCCTTCCACAGGCACGAGGGCCTGGATCGGCCCGTAGAAGCCAAGTGTCGCAGGGTTGTTTCGAAGGTCTAGACGCGCTAGATGTGGGAACCCAGCTAGCACGTCGGCGGCTTGCGCGGGGTCTACGAGCCTGTTCCCCGCGACGAGGAGTTTTTTTAGCCGTGGGATGAAGCGCAGGGGCGTGAGGTCTTCGATCGCGTTCATGTTGAGGTTGAGCACCCGCAGGTTCGGCATTAACTGTCCGAGGTCCGGCGGCAGGCGTTGGAGACCGCAGTTTGCTAGCTCAAGGTACTGTAGATTGAGGAAGTCTACGGACGGGTTGAACGATGTAAGAAAGTTGCCGGATAGAAAGAGTTTGCGGATTTCGTAGGCAGCGTTTAGAGATGATGCGTCTAAAGGCACGTCGCCTTGTTGCTCACGGAGAGAAAGGCTGTCAAGACGACGGCATCGGGAAAAGCCCGTAATGGTGGTCAATTGGTTCCGATCTGCGTGTAGGAGACGCAGCGAAGAGAATGGTGCCAGATCGAGGGCCGTAAGTTCGTTATTAGAGAGGGTTACGTATTTGAGATTGGGAACTAAAACATCCGTGCTCGGGCCAAAGGACGATAGGTTGTTGTGCTGTAAGTTGATAGAAGCGAGACTCGTGAGCTGTTCGATGCCCTGAATCGAGCTGATCTGGTTGTTCTCCAAGTCGAGCTCGGTTAAGCGCTGCAGTCTTGTACCATCCAAGTTTACCTCGCTGAGAAGGTTGCCTCTAGCTCGGAGGACTTGCAAGCTATCATGCATCTTAATACCATCCAGATCAGTGATCAGGTTGTTGTCGGCGCGAAGGTTTCGCAAGTGGACAAGATCTCTAAAAGCATGCAGACTGCTGATCTGATTGTTCGACACATCCACATACTGCAAGTTCATCAAGTGGCCCCATGCCGTCAACTCGGAAAGGTGATTATGGGTGATGCGCAAGTTGCGAACGCTTCCAGGCATGCCGTCTAGGTGCTCGATAGCATTGTTCGATGCGTTAAGGGTGACAACATTGGTGCAAAATTCGTCCAACATGTGAAGTGTCTTCAATTGTTTGTTATTGATATCCAACTCATGCATAGACTCCCAATCAGGCTCGAATGGTTCGACCTCGGTGATCTTCTCGACCAGGTTTTGGATGGCTTTGGACATGATCTTCTTGGAGCCATCTCCAGTAGCAAGATAACGGTCCCCTACAACATAGCTGACTTCTAATCCGCAGGACTGATCCGCCTGGTGCATAGTGAAATCGGACAGAGGACTCAGTGAGAAAGTGCCGACATACTGCCCGATGATTGGTGTCGCAGATGTCTGCGAAGTTTTTGCGGGAGCTGGCGTCACTACGACGCTTAAACTAGTGTTCCCCTGATGGTTACTTTCTGGATAAGCAGTACTATCGTCTTCGCGAATACTGATCTGACGCTCTTCGGATTCTGTTTGCTCTCCGCTCGCATCTTCGTCCCGCTCGTCAATTCGTGACACGGGTCGTGGGACAAATCCCTGTCCTTTAACCGACAAGTTCCTTGCAGAACGACTTCGTGACCTCGATCCGGTAGTCGAACTACTGGCGGGTTTAGGTGCCTTGGAACGACCTCCGCGCTTAAGTGAATTAATTGCCACGTATTCAGGTAGATCGTCTAAGAGACCCAATTCTTGACCCGCATTGTCATCATCAGAAAGATGAGCGACATCTTGTATGATGGAAGCAATTGGTGATGAAAACGAAATTGTGAGATTTCTTCGTCGCGACGAACTTGACCTTTGCATCCGGTCTTCGTGTATTGTTATCTCGTGTTCAATCTCTTTATCGTCTTCGACTGCTGTCTCTGCTAACGGTTGTTTCATTCCCGTGAATACCTCGTTTGTATGGCTCAAAATACTTTCGTCATTAAAGGAGTCTGGCATTAAGATGGACGATTTAGCAGGCGAAGGCATTACAATAGACTCTTCTTGTAGGGATAGGTCATTGCCTTCTGGATTCTGGTTTGCAGTTGATTCGATATGCTCCGTCTCCTTAATCGTGTCGACTGAAAGATCCGGGATACTAGCGAAAGGATCCTCGCTGTCTTCGGACGGAAGAATGTTTCTACCATCCAAACTAGGACGTGGCTGTTTGACCTTATACCATACGTTCCTTTCCTTATCGAATACCATATTGCCCACCTGGTTACCGATGAGGGGTGTGACGACATCTGGCGCAATGAGTCTCTTTGAATCCGATGCGTGGGAGGAACTGGTATGGATGGAGCGCCCAGTGGAAGCCCCAGAAGATCGTGTCCCATTCGTAGGGAACTCGATGGTGTCCTCGCTAGGTTCATGGAAATCCGGGTTACGCGAAATCCTAATGTTGGGAAGGTCACTAATTCCATCTTGATCATCAGGAGAACTATCCCATCCATTCTCAGAGAGAAAGCTCTGTCTAATAGACTCGCTAAGGCTATTAGCTTCATTGATAGCTTCTCTGATTCGGCCCATCGACTGCATTGAATTCGTTATGATTTCTCCTAAATCACTGGCTTCCTCGTATTGCTTCAGCCGATCCGCAAGCGTCGGATCCTCTTGACGGGTTGGCACTCTGATTAGAGGAGGCCCTTCCCGGCTCGGGGGTCGCAAAAACGGCTCCTGCGTGGATTCCTGTACTGAACTCTCATCCCCAGCCGTAACAGTTACGTTGTGCTGTTCAGTAATCTCAGCCTCAGATTCCTCCACGCTACTAAGGTCGTTCTTCGGGCGAGCCTTATTTCGGATCATTGCCATGATCTCCTCTGCAGCATCGAAAAAATCTTGGGTTTTCATAGACGTCCTTGCGGATCCATCAACAGCAAAATCTTGGATCGATATATCTGGTACATCATTTTGATGATCTGAGTTGAAGGTAAGGCTGGCAAGTGGTTGTCGTTCATGCGATGTTGGCCGTCGTTGGCCAGGAGTTGGTGACCTCGGTCGGAACATCTGGTACATTGGTAAACGGGATGGACTATCAGGTTGCTGTGGTTCGCTTTGGCCAGAATGTTGTCTTTTCCCCTCCATAATCGATTGCATGGTTCTGTGTGAAGATTGCACAGATCCTACCCCCGTGTGTTGGTCTTCTAACCCGTACGCAATGTCCGATCGGTGAAGTGTTCTCCTCCTTTTTGGAGTGGGATCTTTAGATGGTGAAGTCCGTGGCCTCTTTCCATCTGAACTATCCCTCTGCGGCGTTGCATGAATACCACCAAAGGGCCCAGGCGGATATGAAGAGCTCTGTGGCTTTAAATGATTGGCAATCCTAGATAAAGTGATGCTGCGTCGGGGAGAGAAGGAACTGCTAAGTGGTCTATGGCGCCGGCGCTGTACGGCGAGGGATCTTCCACCTAAAGACAAGTCTTGGGGAAATTGAAACTTCAAAAATTGACTTGGCGGGAGCGAGTCGTCTGCAGGTGCCATATTCTCTTTGTTTGTCAACTGTGAGTAATCAATCGAATTCTGAGTGATATCTTCAGTGAATTCGTAACCATCTAGCTCCCCAGCTCCAAAAGTGCTAACGTCCAGATTTTCGGGATAGTCAAAGCTAAGCTGTGGAGCCCTTCTCGGGCCAGACTCGGTCCTGGACCCCTTATTTCCGCTAATTTTTGAGGGTGATTCTTGCATCGACAGAGCATCAGTCTCGTCCGCCATTGTGCGTGAGATGGGCTCTATCATTTGGTCCTCAAACTGGCTTATGCGTCGGAGAAGAGTCTGGTTGGTGAAGGTATCATATGGACCAAATAACTTCAGGGGACTACCGCTCTGGCCCGAAGACGGTTGGGATCGTTTCTCGGGACTTGGATACGGCACAGGAGGTAAGATAGGACTAAGAGCAAACTTCAGTTCATCCTTTCGTTCATCCGACGCAACGCGATCTATTCTAACAGTTGGGAACTGCTTCGGTGTGCTGGCCTGGAGTGACGATTCTGGAAGCATATCCGAAGTATCAAGATTTAGTGGCGGGCTGAGAGGACGTTGACGGAAAGACCCGTCTTTCGAGCGCCCACCTCGCTGAACATTCAGAAAGCCTCCATTTTTGATAAAATCGTCAGTTGTGTCAATCTTCTGAGTGTCGTCAGCAGCAAGGGCCGGTCCTTGTTCTGAGTGGCCATCAGGCTCGAAGTCTAACAACATTTGGTTTCTCCTGAGTTTGTCGAGGCGCTTACGTAGCTGTTCTGCCGGAAGTTCCACGGGAGCGAAGTTCACCTGTCCGTCTCCAGAGTCGTGGCGTGATAACAGAATTGGGCTTAGATCTTCATTTCTAATAACACTTTGCCCGCTAACCTTACGTGATACGTCAAGGTCGTCGTTAAGATTGTAAGAGATGTTAGATTGCTCTCTACGTTCGCTTTTTCCCTCCTGGCGACCATGGTGCTCGTCATCTGTTACATCATCTCCGCTCGGTTCGCCAATCATCTCTTCCGTCATTCGAAATTTTATCTGCTTGCGGTGTGGACGAGGTTGCCGAACCAGAGATTCGTTAGCAAATTGTTCGAAGCTTTGCTCATCACAAGTATGATGTCTCGAATAGGGTGGAGGACTCGAGGGTAGGGTCGACTCATTAGCGGTATCTTCTTCGTTCCCGGCGGATTCGTCCCCTGTGGATTCCTGGGCCACAGGTGGTCGAAAGATGTTTTCCAATCCTGTCCCGGCGGAACTAAAAAGGTCCTTCGACTCTCCGTAATTTAACTCCCCATAAACTAGTCGTCTTCTCCATTCGGGCACATTATCCCTAGATTTAGACGGGGAAGAACTCTGTGACTTGTTATGCTGAACGGTATTATGAACGACAGACGCAGCACTAGAAGCGGATGCCGACCGACGAAGATAGCGTCCCCCTTGGGAGGTCCCGACTACTTGCGGAGGCTTTGGAGGGGTATATTGCGCTCCTCGGCTATTGATATCGTTTGTGCTTCGTTCACTTAATATATTAAAAGCGCTACTATCGTGCGCCGATTGTTGCGACTTCCTTCCTGTAGCATTTCCAGCGTTGAATCTCGGTATGCGACTAGCGGGTTCGTGTAAACTTCTGCGACTCGTGTTGGCCCTGGAGCTCAAAAAACTAGGTAATTGCGCTTGCGAAGTATCGGACCTAGGCTGAGATACCCAGTCCTCGGAAAGTGAGTCGAGCCAGGCCTGGGCCATGGCGGGCGAATATGGTCAGGGTATTGACGCGACGAGTAGTGATCAGCAACACTGGCGATCGTCCATGAAGTAGTTATATCAAGTTCGGGTGATGTTTTGAAGCTTTTTAATAATAGTCGTTTGGTGGACTCTAGTACTATAGCCCAAATAGTCGCGTATCTAGGTACCTAACGTATGATTTGTGGCTGTATAAGTGGTGTATGTATGTGTTGTGTGTTGACAATGATGCGTGTAGAAGAGAGGTAGTGTAGGCGCGTCTGAGAATACGATTGCGATAAGATATGTGACGAGAGGAATTGGGTTTAATTATCGCAACATTTACCAGGGTATTTCATCAGAAGAACAACTCCCAGACCGTTATCGCATCTGAATTAGGTTCGTAAGGCGCAAAGGTTAGGTTCTAAGGTATGTAGATAGCAACATACGTAATAAGTGGCGGGCGTGTTGTGCAGGCGGTGTACCGGTATACATACCGTTCATACCGTCACTCTTTCTCATTCCTTACCCGATTTTACCGTTTGTTGGTCAAAGCACCCGACGACAACTGGCCTTGGATTTACCGGTTTCTGTAGCAACGGTGCCCCATTTATTCAGCCCCATCTAATTATCTAATCGTCTAACCATCTCTAGCCACATCCACTAATTTCAATTAACGCGCTCAGTCGCGTCTTTCGCAGTCCCTCAGGTCCCCTACTAGGGAAGGTTAAGAAAAAGGTACATTAGGGTACCTCTTAATAAAGTTACCTAAAGCACATAGCAACCACCAAGGGAGTTGTAACATTCTTATGAGGTACATTTGACTAACACAACCCATTATCAAACTTTTTTTTTTTTAAACTCATGTCTAAAACTAAATCCCGCCTGCTTTCTACCTATGTACCTACCTATGACTTTCTATTCTCAAACCCTCATCCGAGTTTCAGTTGGACTTGCTCTACTAATTCCGCTTGGAATTCAGGACATGATGTCGGATTAACAACCCATCGTACCCGGTATTGAAACGATGGATAAGGGTACCACCGGTGTCGAGCCGTGGAGGCGAGCTCGCCTCGGAGACGAACCAATTTACTGCGCCGCACCGACTCCGTCGAACCCAGACGACATTATCTGCCTAGGCTCAGACGAAGAACTCGATGACGCCGAAAAGATTGCAAAGAGGCTAAGATATGAGGCACAGGCACTGCGATATTTACAGGGTAAGCCGGTGCGAGTCCTATCCGCATCTCTACATGGACCCTTCGACAGAGCCTCAGGCTGGAAGAATCCTTGGCTCCCGAAACAACCCACAACCAAGAAATCTGTTCTCAAATCATCCCGATATCCGACCAAACCCATCCCGCCGTTCAGGGAACACGTCCACAAAGTTTCCGAACGATTAGGGCAGCAATATAGTATTATGCCTGGCACCGACAGCTCTGCGCGTTGCCATTTACCTAGTCCTGAAAGTAACCGCGGGTTACAATTCTCCAGCAATACGTTAGAGACAGAGAGGCATAGTCGAATACAGGCTTGGGCAAAGGAGGTATCAAAAGGTACCATCTTGGAGAGAGATGCTTTCTGGGCGCCTGACAAAGTACTCTATGAAGAAAATGATGAACCTAGAAAGAAACGACCTGCCGGGAAAGAATGGCTAAAGAAAGCATCAAAGCGGAAAAGACTGAGCAGTCCACAAAATACAACCATGGGGTCTACTCCCACGCCGCTACTGCCGACGCAAGCACCGGTCCGAAGTACATCAGTTCCTATAAATACACGCTATCTTGAAAAGTCGGATTACTCAAAGCTCAAGGTCAGCCAGAGCTTCGAATTCGTTACTCCATCGTCTACTATTAGCCCGAGCCGTCGGGGAGTTAAGTACGAAAGAGAGGCTAAGGTTCCCACGCAGGGTAAGATGATGCCGTCACGAGACGAGTTATCCAATGGCATTCTCGCAGGGGACAAGGAATGCAAACCAGTTTTGGATCCCGAGAGAACTAACCATTCAAATGAGTCCCCCGAAAGTCCAATCGATCAAGAGGCTCAAGTGGGCCAAGAAGTAGAAGAGGATCCAGCCTTCGAGAGTTATATAGACCAAAGCTTTCACTATCGAGCGCGGCTTCCGATGCAGGCCTCTCCCGTAACTGGACCGAATGTCTCAGCGATGAGCATTCATTCTAAGCTGACTCAGACTGGAATGCCCGAGTCTCCGGGCGACGAAGATGCAGCGGCTATCGCCATTCCCGAGAATCAGTGCCCTCTGGAGCAGATTACAATGTTAGAACAGTATGTTGACATGGAATCAATAGCTATAGCTCAAGCATCCGTGCATCTACTAGAATCGATGTGTAGCCGAGGGAAAGATGACGACATTCAAAACTATAGGTGCCAGCCAGCACCGTCAGCACTAAATGAAGACCGGATAATCAACGGCGATAGCGAGGGACCATACAAGTGCAACGAGACCATTAGTTGTACAACCGTAATAGAAACTGGACCTTCTAATGACCAAAAAACATCTAATGAGAACCCTTATCCAACACAAGTCGACACAGCTGGCACTTCCATTTTGGCGGAGACTGCCAACGCTCCTCACACGGAGAACAGGGCTACAAAGAACGACATTCCAGACGTGGTAACCAACAACTCACATGTATCGCATATGGTACTTGATGTTAAAACAACGAGAAACACCAACATCCTAGAAGGTCCTGCGGCGTTCGAAACACAGCCAACCAAATTCGGACTATTAGTAGATAAGGGGTCTACCTTGATCGGTGATCCAATGAATTTTAATCGGGCCTCGCCAATTAAGGCCAATGGTTTGCTTACACTTAACCACGTATCTAACAACGCAGATATAAAGGCCGAAGCACACGATCCAATAAGAAATTCAGTAGGAATAACACGAGAGGTAGAATCGGATACCGAATCCGATCCAGTCATAGTACCATTGTCGCGATTAGAATGGGGCATTGACGAAGATAAACTGAAGATCGTAGTTGCCAACGATGAAGAGGCTCCTGAGAAGGACACCTCGACCAAGGCCACTCTATTAGATCCTCCAGAATCTTTTACACGAGGAATCTCCGATTCTCTTCCAGGGGCGAATCTAACAATCGAGCACATTAAGTTGGAGCCTATTGAATATGAATCCTCACATTGTCCCTATCCGTCCCAGACCATGTTGCCGGGTTCCCAGACAAAGGGTCATGAAGTACCTAGGATTGGGCCATCACAACAAAGCCCCTGGGCTAAGGAGATCTTGGAATCCGCAAACCCAGATAGGCGAGGCTGGTATTCTACTACGGTTGAAGAAATGACACCCACAAACGCATTACTTAGTACAACAACATCTAAGGAACGTCAGAGTCCCTCGCCTACAACAGATATAAGCATGGTGCCCCGTTCTGAATGCCCACCTATTTCGCGTACACCGGCAACTTCTGATAAAGATTCACTAATTCCACCCCCTCAATATCCCATAGTAGCTCATGAATCAGACATTCGGTTCTCAGAGCATAGAGCTAATCCTCCTACTACACCTCCTCGAATGTCTATACTTCACATGCGTACCCCTGACCTCGAAAGATCGATCAAGCCATTCTCCTTATTCAATACCCCATCGCCGAAGCGCCAACGGCGAAACTCTCAGCAATATTCATCTACCGGCCGTACCGTTGGGATTCTTTTGAACGCCACACATTCAAATTCACGGAGTAGCCAGAAGTCGAAGCGGCGAGTGTCATTCGCTCTCTTGCCAAACGAAGATGACGTCGACATTCCGCCAGTATTCAACACCACGAGAGTCACATCACCCCCACCACAGATACTCGTCAATACTGGAGACGAGGATATCGATAACCAATTTCAGGGACATTTTGATGCCATGAAGCTACGCGCCAATAATAGGAATATCCGACTTCGACTACAGCCACGGCTACTCCCGAGCCCCTCACAGCAAAAGCCTACGAGCCCACATATTGGCGCGATGGCCGAAGCCTTTCGGGAGGCAGACGCATACTCAGCCTACGCACGTGAAGATTTAGTTAAAGACAAGGAGAAGGACTGTACTGAGAATGTTTCGGAGAATGTTGCTGAGAATATAGTTGAGGATATGGCTGATGTAGAGCAATCACCATGGCGAAAAGAGAGCCAGGGTATAGATCACGTTGCAGACGTTATGGAGAACCTGGATGAATTTATCAATGCTTGGGACGTGAACGTCGAGCTTCAAAAGGCGAGACAAGCGTCGGGCAGAGAAAGCCTAGACGGGGAAGCCTTCTGGTGAGGACACATATGGCTGTTGCATGACATGGACGTATAATGATAACATAGGGCTAGGTGCAAGGAGTCATGTTGATACCCTTAGGTACACGTTGCTTTCCAGCATGGCTAGGAGTTTAGTCAGTTATGATCTGACAGATAGCATAGTTTTGGAGTACCTGAGGGCTGCATCTTATCGCGAAGCTTTGCATACCTTATGAGAGCAATTCAATGTCCATTCATAGCATAAGACTACCTAAGTTTATGTCTAGAGCCCCCGAAGATTTCATTTAACTATAAGCATTGCCAATATAAGAGACACTAATACTTATTACATTGTCTAATACTTATTACATTGTAAGCAACTTGGTCACGTTTGGGGGCTATTCGATAAGATGACTTAAGACATAGCTACAGTAGTACCTATTATTGACATCTCACCTTAGTTTGGTAAGGACCTAGCCCCCTTCTTTAAATGTAGATACAAAATACAGTTAGCTCGGGGTTATCAGCCCTATCCATAGTATATGCTTATGAAATGGTGGCTAGTAGTCAATTTCCAAGCCAGTGGCAATCCACATCACGAGACCTGTGTATTGAAGCTTTTTTTAATCTACCATGGTACGATATAGCTGTATTATACTTATCCTCACTAACAAGACACCTCTGAACTGTAAAATATTTTCATGGAGAACCATATAACGCAACTACTAGACTTCCACAACATAACGTATTACTATTCGTATATTCCAAATATAAATAAGCTAGGTTTAAGTTACCCTTTCGCTGCTTCACTATCGTCAATCCTCGTCCAAGGCCGAGTACTATAGACACATATGATTCCATGCTAGATGAATATACATAAGTTTATACTTTCCAGACTAACCCCTCTACAAGTCTTAACATCTTAATTAGCTCATGCGTACGATATTTTATGCCAGTCTTCACGGAGGATTAGGCTGTCACGAGCTTATATCGTAGAACTTAAAGACTATTAAGGAGGAAGAGGAAAGGCTGTCAAGGCATTGAGTATGTAGCATGGATGCAGCTGCGTTACGTATCTAGTCATCAGCTAAACCTATAAATATCTTAGATATCAAATATCAAAGACACTGGAGGGATATCTCTATGGTGCTAATAGCATTACACAGAAGAGGGCTTGCGTAAGAAGTTTCTAATATATAAGAGTCTTGAAGGCAAGGGAAACGAACAGGGTTACCAGGGAGGGTATCATCCATCCAAGTCCCTCAATTTTCACCGATCCGCCGGCGGCATATGCACGGGGAAAGAGTTCAAGGTGAATACCCTTACATTAGATTCGGGGACTTGAGATCGAAAGTAGGTAGGAGTAAGAAGGGGGGTGGGATAGGAGCGGCGATAGGGGATAATAGTTAACTAGCCCAGCAGCATTGGATGGAGTTTTACTTTTTAAGAAAGTACATAGGTATGCAGTTGTTAATAAACTCGATATATAACATAGCTATTTACAAATCCTCCGAAACAATTATAAACAATAATACACATTGTAAAACAGGACTCACAGCTCTTGTCTCATAGACTTATGCGAAACTATTCATGATCCGAATTCGGTTCCAAAAAGCAATTGTCAACTTTTACCTCCTGCATGGAAGCCGTGTACTCTCATACGTAGAATAGGTATGGATGGCTGGGCTGGGATGGACATCGGCGAATAAGTTACCTACTCATAAATATCCGGTATCCGGTATCCTCACACCGTGCTTATGTCATTATATCCTATTTATCTACTAGTGCCGGCCTGCCACTGGCCTATATTCTTTCCCGAAGCGAGTTGATAGCTTATTGGTGCGGTGTAGTTGTCTTGGCCCGTAAGCTCTCGGCCGGGGCTTATGGATAAATAGCAATTGGGTACCTCGTACAATCGTCCTGACGGGACTGTCTATCTGCTGGCATGACTCCGTCTCCTACACTATAGGCGGTGCTATAATAGGCGGTGGTGCTTCGTTGGACACATATACATAGCGAGTCTAGGACGGAGAAAATCCCCCACTAATCAATATGTACATAGTGATTTTTACGATGATCCTGTAGGATTGTATGTACACCGTACAACGGCGGTGAGAAATCGAAGTAAGCGGAACGGGATGATAACGCAATATGGGATACCGCATTACCCCCCATGCCTAGAGCTTGGGATCGGCCGCCAGAGTCGGATTTGGAAAACTGGGATATCTAGGATATCAGCTAGGAAGTGCTGAAACAGGCAGGCAGGTTTCTAGTAGCCTCAACGCTATTCGTCCTGATACACTCTCCCCCTTTGTCTCCAGGTTCCAGACCCTCGAGGTGCAGCTCTAATTCTGATGCGGAGAGGTGGTGCAATGCTGATCTGCATTCCACGGCACTAGGGCACGTATACTATGTACGGATCTACCTTGGCTTGCCCGGATACATTGTATCGCGACATTTTAACTCCCGCCTGTGAAGTTTCATTGAATTAAAAAAGCCGTCGTTGAAGGGATTCGCTTCGCAAAATTTTAACGAAAAACATAATTGTAGAAAATGACACCACAATGTATAGTCATTCGAGCAGACGACCTAGACCTCATGGGAACTCGGTAGGACGACATATGGCAAAGCATAATGACGTAGAAATGGTGTGATAAGGGGAGTTATAAAGAGTGCCAAGGGACGAAGCTTCGATATACATAGACTATGTAAAAACGACACCCTTTAGCGTTGCGACGCGACAGTTGAAAGTAGACGTCGTGTGCCTGTCACTACTGAATGACAAGATCAGGAGACTTATGGACTGAGTTGTCAAAATTAGACACATGTCATTATAACATTGCCGACTTTGACGCGAAGCGAAGAGTACCTGGAAAAAAGCGGCCCGGTCGAAAACACCTGTAGCCTGTAGGTCGGTCCTGTAACCCAGCTAATGCGCCCTACATATGTTGGCAGCTGGATGATCTTATGTCATTTTTAACGGGGGCTATCGCAACCCTCCCACCTTGTACGGCTTCTTGGTGATTCTTGGTGTGTGTGAACCCGTGAAAGTAGCCGTAGGATACACTAGGTACCTAATGTATTGTTATATTCTATATTCGGTATCGTACTGTCACCTAGACCCATGGGCTTGGACAGACGATGATCTTTGAACACCATAGATAGTTGTCTAATACCGATCTGGTGAACTATGTAGGTAATAGGTACCCTACATACAGCTATGTATCGTACATAAAGTCGCGTGGGCCCTGCCAGGGGCTAGCTCCGTGAAGGGCTAGCACGCATGGCAGTGGTATCGTTAGAGCTGCTAGGTCGGACGATAGGAATTTGTCAAGAAACCATAGTCGATAAACTAGGTAAACATATTTCCTGATTTCGGCGATGATTGTCCGCGAAGTCGAGAGATATTCGTACTCGCAAAACGAAAGTACTACATATTTCTCAGAAAATAGACATCCACTTACATATGACTACCTAATGTACTTATGTAGGTACCTCTGAGATATGCAGACGGGTATGTTGGCAGGTATATGGATATGTATGCCTTGACGGAAATGGATATGCCGAATCGCATGTTTGATTATCCGAGCAAGAGCTACTAGGATAAACCCTTGAGAGACTCGAAACCATCCAACACCAATCTCAGCCTCACTGCGTTTTGAAATGCGACGGCGGGCGCGGACGCATACTGCCTTTGGCCGGCTAATGGACTCAACAAGCAGATTACGCACCGGGTGACCGGTCCAGAATTTTCGAGCAATTAAAAAGTCGACGAAGGACATTTACCAAATGCGATTTTCGCGGTGGTACAGAGTGAAGTGGGATGATCTTTGTCGATTCTGGATGAGGGGAAAAGGGTCCAGAACACAAGCAGCAGCGCGAAAGGACTAGCGGCTGGCATGTCATCATTTCCAGAAAAAGGGGGTCGCACGTGGCCTGTGCTCATGCTTGTCCTACTACGTTGTATCTAGGTACTAACTATGACGTCTTCATGATGCGCCACCTCGGGTCTGCGTCAATGTGCATATGGCACACATGTATGTACACATGTATGTACTTTATTAGTACCGCGCAAGTCCCGTACCACCCTATGGTCTATTTTTATGTACCTAATTGTACGAAGCTATTTCGGATGTATGGATTCTAATAGGTACCTACCAAATCTGCCTTAAGCGCGGTTGAACCAAACAACCTTGCAAACATCAGATGCGAGATGAGAGCCTGATAATCATTACAAACCGCAAACTTTTAAGTGACTGCGGATGGCTTGTGTAAAGTATTTCAAGTATTATGAATGAAAGAGGTAGGGATGAAGAATGGAAGGAAAGGAAAGAGCTCTCTTATCTATATCTATGTAAGTCTAGGTACTTTATGACACTTGCCTCATGTCATGTCATGATATTATGTCAAAAGAAAGAAAAGAAAAAAAGAGCAAGGTTTCGCCGAGCCATCAATTTCAAGGGTCCTCCTGCTTATTCTTTCACCCCCGAATCTTTTGCCATTTCGTCATCGAGGCGGGAACCCTTTTTTTTTACTACGTACGTATTCTTTTCATTTTATTCACCTTTTCTCCAATCTTATGTTACGTGTCAATCGAATATGTATTTTGAATAAGATTGCTTCCCTACCTCATAATACACTTCATTGTCATTTGACTAGAAAGCATTCATGCGTAACAAATCCTCTAACAAGGCTCAATCTAAATGGGGCTCATTTTCCTGCTCTCGTTCAAGCTACTTGTCTAGCATTGAATAGGTGGGAACGGGCATTCCAGGAGTCCCTGAAAAAAAAAAAGAGTAGAAGAATAGGAACAAGCAGCTTATGGATTGCCTACCTAATGTAGTGTAGGTATATTGTCCGTCTCCACGCTTTTGAGGCGCCGTGTCTCTTACCCCTTCGACCCTTGCTGCCGTCGCAAAGTAGCGCCATTGAATCGCAGATCATTACCTCAGGCGACATATTCTCTTGCCCTAATAGGATCCAGAAACTCCCGTAGTGTCGACCCTCTATGACACCTACCAGTCTACCAGTCTTACCAGTCTACCAGTCTGTACCTTGGTTCTTCTTAAGTACCTGCACGAGACAGTCGCCTTGCTCCAGTCAGGCAACCCGAGACCGCCCCCATCTACGTACATCTATCAAGTCAGGGCAGTCTCTCGTTCTATTTCCCGTGCGACCAAGTTGCGTCTACTAAGTACATCCAAGTAGAGATCGCCGTGGTCCAGGCCTCATTGTCCATTCCACACACACACGCACACCACCACCACCGTATCGACTGGGCCACACATTAAAAAAGCAAAAGAGTTCCTAAAGCCTGAAAGAGCGGGCAAGAAAGGACTCTTTTTCTAACCGTCTTCTCCCCCACCCACCATCTTTCGGTGTTTCTATTACCATCGTCACATTCGAAAGAGCTGGACTCTATTCTGTCCGTCGCCTCCTCGTATTATTTGTGCGCGCTACGCTTGCGGTTGAGGCTGTTACTACTGCCTTCGAACATTGTCTCACTCTTAACCCGGCTTCCTTTTCCCACGTTTCAGCCACGACGTAAGGAGAAAGCGAGAGCTATACGTGCCGCTAGAACTACAACACTATTCTACAAATCCCAGTATCACTGGAAAAAAGAAAAAAAAGAAAACGTATATGCATCTCTGAACAAGCCGTCGCTCGTTATGTCCAAATTATAAGACAGGCAAATACTGAAATGGGAAGAAGAAGAGGCTGGTCCGCTCAGAGACACGACGTCATACGCAAGATGAGAATGAAAATGGCTCCAGACTCGACGAAAAGCAACGACCGTTCAGCAGCCAGCATTACCACCGCAACCACTCACCATTACACCATGAAGACCTCTACGAGACCGGCTCTTGCCTCGTCTCACTCCCACCACTCTCACCACTCCCGCCATCCTCAAACCAATCTACAGTCCTTCCGCGCTAATAAGTCTACGACTCCCATGGCGTCGCCTCGCATGCCTCATTCCGTCGGCCAACCCTATCCGCCTAGTGCCAAATTACCCCCTATTGTTACAGATGTCCGGCCGCCTAGTCCCAATTATTTCGGTCTCAACGTTGACCATTCGGCTGCTGACGTTGGTAACTCGGATGCTGCTCCTCCCGATCACTGGAGTCCTCCGAGCTCGTCCGTCAAGTCGTTTGGTGCCGCGATACCGAAACAAGTTCCTCTTGATGCCAACCCGGAGTTTGAGGCTTTCAGACGCCAAGTCGATGCGAATCGTTCCAAGGGTTTCAATCTAGGGAGCGCTTACTTTGCGCCATCCCCGTCACCTATGTTCGTAAGACCTAGGCCTCCGCGTTTGTCAACCAATCACAGCGATACCGCCTCGGATATGTCTAGTACCCGATCTTTAAACAGCAAGGTTGTCGATGGTGTTGGCGGCCGAATGGATGTTGATACGGACAGTCTAAACGACTCTGCGTATGTATCATCAGATTCGAAGAGGAATTCGGAGGTGTCGCTGAATCCTCCCTCATTTAGCAACATGCCTCGGTTTGAGTCGCCCGCTCGTGCTGACTCTCCCTTTGAGCCCATCCGCAGGATGGCGTTGCCCAAACCTGAAGATCGGCACCCGCGACTATCGTTGTCTGATGAGAAGTTAGAACAGACAATAGAACCCATGAAAGCTCGTGCTGAGACGCTACCGACGACGCTTGAAAATGGACCCGGGCTCATTCTACCAAGGCAACTTAAGGATATGCTTTCGAATATGCCCGAAAATGAGTATCTTTTGCTGGATGTCCGTGTATCTACACATTACGCTCAGTCGCGCATTCGCGGTGCTCTGAATCTCTGCATACCAACGACTCTTCTGAAGCGCGCTACATTCAATTTGCAAAAGCTACAGCAGACCCTCCAGACCGAAGAAGACCAACAGAAGTTTGCACAATGGTCAAATGCTAAGTATCTCATCGTATACGATGCCTCTTCAACAGAAAAACGGGATGCAACTTCAGCTATGAATATGTTCAAGAAGTTTTCGAATGAGGGCTTTTCCGGGAATTCGTATCTTTTGAGAGGGGGGTTTCATGCCTTTTCTACTGAATATCCTGCGCTCATTGATCATCAATCAGCTTCAGAACGGGCGGGCACCGCAGTTACTCTACCGGAGGGCGGACGACCGAGCTTCGCGCCTGTTATCGGCGGTGTAATGCTCCCATCAAATGCTAATAATCCTAATCCATTTTTTAGCAACATCCGGCAAAATATGGATCTAGCAGATGGTGTCGGACAGATGGATATCACTGTGCCATCTAATTTGGATTCGAATACACTCCCTCCTTGGCTTCAAGATATAACTCGGTCATCAGATCATGGCAAGAAAGCGTCTGAGAGATTCCTGAATATCGAGCGTAGTGAGCAATCTCGTATGAAGGAAGCCTATGCATCTTTCAATGCGTCTGCGCCTCCAAGTCAAAATTCTGGACGAATCTGCCTCTCGGGAGTAGAGCAGGGTGTTAAAAACCGTTACAAGGACATCCTTCCTTTCGAGCATGCTCGCGTCCGTTTGGCCGGTCGAGCCCAAGGTGCTTGCGATTATATTAATGCTAGCCATGTTCAAGCCTCGCGTAGTCATAAGCGTTATATTGCTTCTCAGGGCCCTCTGCCAGCCACCTTTGATGTAAGTTTGCCTATCGTGATATTCTACCTGTTAATCTCTGAAGCTCACAGCTGTTTCTTTCTAGGATTTTTGGTCTGTGATCTGGGACCAAGATGTTCGTGTTATCGTCATGTTGACTGCAGAATCAGAAGGGGGTCAACTTAAATGCCATCCGTATTGGCATGATAAGGAATTTGGACCTATTAAACTCAAGTCGATATCCGAGAAGAAAGTATCGCTTGATATGGATAAGCATCGGTCAAATTCTGGGACCACGTCCACAAGCAGCGCGTCGGACTATGGACGACGCCGTGCTGCCACTACAACGGCGTTTGAATCCGCCCAGAACACGCAGCCCGCTCAGACACAACCCGAGACCCCCTACGTTATTGTTCGAAAATTCGCGTTGTCACACGCTGCTCATCCGTTTTCTCCCATACGCGAAATTACCCAACTTCAATATCTCCTGTGGCCTGACTTTGGTGCCCCAGCGCAGCCGTCCCATCTACTGGCTCTTGTTGAATTGGCCAACATGATGCAGCGTGCTACGTTGCCGGTGGACGCAAGTTCAATTGCTGCGTCGGTCCCTACCGAGACTCCGGTAGCCGTGGCTCGGTTCGACGAACCGGAAGCTGATGCGAATGCTAGGCCAATGCTTGTGCACTGCTCTGCCGGCTGTGGTCGCACTGGAACCTTCTGTACTGTTGATACCGTCATCGACATGTTAAAGCGGCAACGTCAAGCCACAGCCAACCGCGTAGACGGAGATGGAGACGTGAACATGAATGAAAGCTCACCTATCCATCGCCGGACTTCAACCACCAATGGCCTTAAGCCTAGACCAATGGCGAATGGTAATAATGAGTTGGAAACCAGTTGGCTTGAAGATACAAGCCTTGATCTGGTTGAAGCTACAGTGGAAGATTTCCGAAGGCAGCGACTGAGCATGGTCCAAAGCTTACGGCAGTTTGTCCTCTGCTACGAGACTGTGGCAGAATGGGTCTCAAGAGTTCATGAAAAGAGCAATAGTATGGCTGGCGGTAGGGGTCGGCCACGTAGCGAGACTATGGATGCTAGAAGATGAAGAGACAAGGCAAATCGGAGCATGTCTCGGCAAGAGTTATAAGACTGACAGGGAATAGGGGTAGGCCCAAGATATATTGCATAAGTTCGCATTTGCATCAATACGGCATTCTGACACGGTCGGAAGGTACATACCATCGGCTAGATGGTTTAGCTAGGCAAGGGGTATACGGAGTTCAGGGAAGGATTTAGTGCTTCTATAGGCGTTTCCAGGTCTACGGCATGGCATATTAAACTTGTTTTATTTTATTTTACTAGCGAGATGAAAGCATTGCACATGCGGGACCTACAGCAGGGACCAGGAAAGAAAACAAGCAGTTAAGGAAGAAAGAAAGAGACAGAAGGTTTTACAGGAGTACCTATCACCAGCAGCCACGTCGACGATGAGATTTGTACAATAAGAATGGGGATATACTGAGGTGGTGGTGACGACGATGGCCCTGGTTCTAGACGATACCGCAACTTATAGTAGCGAGTATATAGCCGCGTACACATACTTGCTAATATGGAGCAGAACAGATAGAAATACATCGATACTCTGCAGTTGAAATTGCTCTATACCTCCTTACGTGATAATTGATTTTTAATTAGCCTGCGGCATCGTGACTCTGTGTTTACCCAACATAAGATTGCCCTGGGGGGGGGGATACCTGAAGCTCCTGGTACTTATTACTAGGCTGAGTGGATGACAGGACTTCTAGTACTATGCTTTTACATATTTACACCATTATAACATTAGGCTATACGGGGTCGAGAGCAAACTAGAATCACTAAGCACGGAGAGCAGTTGCAATCGTGTAACGCCTGCATATCATCTTGAAATAACGAGGCCCCAATGGACGGGTCTCGCCTATCTTGCTTTGTCTCTAGGATTATTGTACACTTTACAAAAGTAGTATCTTTGACTCCGCCCAAGTCATCGTCGATTTCATCTCCAGTGCCATACCAAGGTTCGTAGCAAGTTCGCATAAGGACATCGTGCAGTAGACATGCCAAGCTTATTTCCAGAATTTCTGGAGTGAAACCTCCTTGTCGTCGTGCTTGTTGAGAATCTTGGCTGTGGCTAGTTCGAAATCCTCCTGTGTGACGTGAACTCTTCGTTCACGTAGAGCGTACATGCCGGCTTCCGTACAGACACCCTTCAGTTCGGCGCCAGAACAGCCGTTCATCTTCTCGGCGATCTTGGTTAGGTTAATGCCTCTTGTTAGGTTCATCTTGCGGCTGTGGATGCGCAGAATATCGGCTCGGGCCTCGACTGATGGCGGTGGGAACTCGATCTTGCGGTCAATACGACCGGGACGAAGTAGAGCAGGGTCTAGAATGTCCAGTCGGTTTGTCGCCATGATGACTTTGATGTTTTTGGTCGGCTCGAAACCGTCTAGCTGGTTGAGAAGTTCCAACATGGTTCGTTGCACTTCCGAGTCACCGCCCGATGAACCCTCCACTCGCGACGAACCGATAGAGTCGATTTCGTCCATGAATATAATTGAGGGTGCGTGCTCTCGGGCCATTACGAACAGTTCACGAACCATACGAGAACCCTCACCAATGTACTTTTGCACGAGTTCCGAACCGGAGACTCGAATGAATTTGCAGTCTGTGTGATGCGCAACAGCTCGAGCTAACAGCGTCTTTCCCGTACCGGGAGGTCCATATAGAAGCACACCCTTCGGTTGTGCGATACCGAGGGACTCGAACAGTTCGGGATGCTTTAGACCCAGCTCGATGACTTCCTTGATTTCTTTGATTTGTTGGTCTAGACCACCAATCATATCGTATGTACTGTCGGGCACCTTCTCCACCATCATGAGAGAGACGAGAGGGTCAACGGAGGACGGGAGGATCTTCTCGAGCTTGTAGGAATCGGATAATAGCGTTACTCGCTTGCCTACTGTGAGCTTCGCAATATCTACAGAATCGGCGACGTCGACGACTATAAATTGTTAGCTATAGCACATAGCTCAAACAAGCTTGTCTTCCATACCATATTTGCCTTCTGGGTGCACCTTCACTAATACTTTCTTCGTTCCCATCACCTTGACCACTTCGCCAACATACGACCCGGGCTGCTGCAGAAGACCTAGTTCTTCCCTTAGCAATCGCACTCTCGAGTTGTAATCGTTTCGCTGGGCTTCGAGACGCCGAAGAACAGCTTGGCCCTTAAGAATCTCAAGCTTCATCGCCTCGATCTTGTTGTGGTAGTAATTGTCGAGCGCCATGGTTGCTAGGGCTCCTTTGAGGAGAACTAAAGTCTTTTATGTCGTAGGTCAAGTTCTAAGGAGACGATAGAACGTTTGTACAATGAGTTGCGCTACCTGAGGAAGATTACTATGTGGTGAGGATGTTGATGATGATGATGATGAAGTCGAATGTAGCGATAGAGTTGGGATAGTGAGGCTAAGGCTACGCCAATGATGGACTGGACCAGGGTCAGTAAAGCTTAGATCCGAAGCAGGCAGTTGCAGCAACGCGTTCCGGAACTACGGTAAATCTAAAATCCCGACGTTGCAACAACTTAGTACATGTGTACCTTCTACTTATCTAAAGGTTACATTAGGTAACGTAAATTCGGATGCGGCACAGAGCTGTAATGTAGCAGGTGCAAAGCATATGCATTGATTTTCGAAGCCTAGCAGGCTTACATGCATCAATTACGTAGGTACACTTCGAAGATCTTCCAGAACTTTTTCACGGCAGGTTTTTACGGAGGACCCATTAGATCGCTGTCATTCTAAGGTACTTACCTATTAAGCCTAAGCGATTTTAATATGGCAACTATTGCTCTCCTTACTGAGCGTTGAACTATTTTCTGTACCTATGTTTGAGAGTTCAAGACCATCATTTTCTGAGTGGCAGCAATGGTAAATTGTAATCTGTCTTGCAGGCGCGGCTGCCAGGATCTGTTATCGAGAAGGTAGTACCTTAGGTACCTAATGTACCATATGTACCTTACAAAGCAAGGATCAAGTAAACTTTCTTACCCTGTAACTCCTCCTGTACTATGTCGTCTGTAGGTAATCAACACCTTCCAGGCGGGACGACTTCGACAAGGGTGCGCTAAACATTGTCCACTCACACTGTAAATAATCACGAGTCACAATCACGACTTGCGACTGGACTGGACTTCGCTCCATCCCATTGCCTATCCACTGCCTTTCAGCCATGTGCTATGTTCGCGATAGCCAGATACATGTAGCTATGCTTTATGTGTCGCACAAGGTCTGACTAACAATTGTGAGCAGTGAGCAGTCGTAAGCTGCCTTTCAATTTCATCTTACCTACCTGTTACCTCTTTTATTTTATTCTTTTGTCTCTTTAATAACCTAGGATCCTATAATTATCGTAAAGCCGCTTCAAGCGTTTCATCTAATCTAACTTGTTTATCACTTGAACATCTCCGCATCTTGGATTCGTCCGCAAGACATGCCGCAGCAACGCTAGACCTGCAAGCCAAAGTCATACAATACTACAATTACATTCCCATCGGGTTCCACAGACATCGTTCGGGTCCTATCGTTCCTCATCTTTAGCCTCTTGTCAAATTAAAACTAAGAAATCGCATACTATCTCCTCCCTAACCTTAGCTATATTTGTCTTGAAGCCTTGAGAATTACCCTATATGCTCATTAGCTAGGTAGTTTAATAGAGAGCCCACTTCGTTGGCGGCGAAGATCTCGAATACTCTCTATCCGCGATGGATCCCCATTCGCAGGACGACAGTAGCTCTGCTGCTCCGCCCTCGCCTACAGATTCGCGACAGCAATCCGTTCGACGCGATACCAGAGAGACTACGCTCCCCGAAAGTTACCAGTCCGCCGAAACCGTGCGAAGAAGAATAGACCAGTCTTATGGTATGTCGTAGCCTACCTCTCTAAACTTAATTCTGACTCTAGCGGCGTGTCCCTCGCCTGTCACGTCAATTCTCCATCAGAAACGAACTAAGCTAACCCGATTTCCTGATCTAGGTACGGTTCAAACACCGCCGCCGCCTACGAGCGGTGGTACACAATTTTTGGGAGAATCCACTGCCCACGAACGAGCACACTCGAGAGCCGCAACTCAGCAACCTCGTTCTCCCTTACTTGGCTCAGATCGTGGCCGACAGCGTCCTAGAAAGCCCGCTATGCCTCGCAGGGCCTCTTCCAACACATTAGCTCCCCATCGCGGCGAGGTCTTCTCTACGGATGATGACGTCAACGAGGTGGAGAACGACACTGTTGGGCGACAGCAGACTTTCTCCCCTCTTCCGGCTTATAATAATGAACAGGCAAGACCGTCATCTACACTGCGGCGACGGGGTATGGCCCCACCGACCCTGTCTCGAGTACACTCGAGTCGCAGCGCCGGTCCTGAAGAGGAAGGAATTGATGAACTGCGAGAAGAAGAGGACGAGGAGGGGCACTTGCCGTCGCAACCACATGAGGAGAGTGTATTGCAAGATGCGCCTCCGGATTCGGGCGTTCTTAATGACGACAACAACGACAACAACAACGACGACGATGACGACGACGACGACGATATCAGCGATACTGAAAGTTTCACATTGAAGGACCGCCAACAGGCTATCAACGAGACACATCCCTTCGGTATCAGGATTTGGAAGCCTGCATTGTACAAGAAAGATCGATCAGTTCAAAAGACTGCCGAGGGTGACATCCATTCTTTTCCTGGCGGTCGGGTCAGTAGTTGGTTACTGTTCTTCAACCTCATCTGGACCTTGGCCTTCGGCTGGTGGATGGCTCTGTTTGCTGCGCTGGGCGCCATAGCCTGCTTTATTTTTGCGGCAGCTCCTAGCGGCAGGGAATATGGCCGCGTGCTATGGGGTCTGGCCGGCTATCTTTTCTACCCCTTTGGGAAATTCGTGCGACTCGAGCAGGACGAAGCATATCTAGATGAAGACGAAGGTGAGGGTCGAAGCATCAGCGAGTATGAGCAATGGCAAAGTGGCGACCTGGAATACGGACGGTTGTTCTTTGGCCCTGAACGAAATCGCTCCATCATCGGCCGATCAAGAAGGAGCATCGACTCTGAACCTAGCGAGACAGATAGCCTCCTTCCTCGCTCGAGGCGCCACGATCATTCGAGCGACCCAGGACGGCGACTGAAGAGGCGGTTATTTGGCCGCGGACAATGGAATATCGGCCGTGTCATCTTCTTCATTTTCTTTTGGGGTCTCATCACGCCTTCTCTGCTTATTGTCTCTGCCATCTGTTGGTTTCTGGTCTTCTGGATTCCGATGGGTAAAGTTACAAACCTTCTCTTTGACCACCTTAGAAGACATCCGCTGGCTCTATCTTTCGAGTCCGATATCAGCACCGCCAGGACGTCCGATGGCACGCACTCCTCCATCCTGCTTTGCACGTATCGAGTTGTAGGTTTGAAGTATTGGAAATACACCGTCGATGGCACTAACATATTTCTTATCAACCTCATGGCCGTTGTCATTTTCGTCATCTTTGACTGGCTCGTATTAGATACAGTCCTTCATGTTGACAATTTCCTGACATCTCCGGGCTTTTTATTCGTAGCCGGCTTATTCTCCATCATTCCTCTAGCGTACTTCATAGGCCAGGCTGTTGCGTCCATCTCGGCCCAGTCTTCTATGGGCCTTGGTGCTGCAATCAATGCCTTCTTTTCAACGATTGTGGAAGTCTTCCTCTACTGTGTCGCGCTTAAGGATGGCAAAGGCCAGTTAGTCGAGGGTAGCATCATTGGGAGTATATTTGCTGGCATTCTCTTTTTGCCCGGGTTATCGATGTGCTTCGGTGCTATCAAACGCAAGACCCAACGATTTAATGCCAGGTCTGCCGGTGTCACATCTACCATGCTAATTTTTGCTACCGTTGCTGCATTTGGACCAACCCTCTTCTACCAAATCTACGGCACGCACGAACTCCGATGTCAGAGCTGCACTGATTTTATAGGATCCAAAGAACGCGATTGCCGTCGGTGCTACTACTCACAAGTACCAGCGCTTGATGACCGTTTTTATATCGAAGCTGTGCGTCCCTTTTGCTACTTGGCCGCCATTTGTCTTTTCTTATCATATGTCATCGGTCTCTGGTTCACTCTTAGGACCCATGCCGCCGTCATTTGGAATAGCGAAATCGACGAGAAGAAGCATGAAGAATTTCAGCAACATACAGCTCGTCTGTCTGAAGCACGTAATATCGGCGATTCAACTGGCGCAGATATCCGAGACAGCAACCTGTACAAGCGTATCCTAGGCCAGTCGTTGAAACAAGTCGGCTTGTCAAGCGGAGAAGAGGGCCGCCATTTGCGTCAGCCAACAGAGGGATTCCCGTTCAATGGGGGTGTCCAGACACCGCATATGGTTCCACCAAGAGGCAGTAATGATGCCATGGATAGCATTCGTTCGAATGTCCATATTCCCGGCTTTTCTGATGCAGAGAACAGCGATCTAGTCCGCAGCGTCACAGAAGTAGCGGCAACAGCAGCCGCTATCGCAGCCCGCGACGCTCGAGGGCCACGTCGTATTTCTACCCAACCGTCAAACGCCGGAGCTAGTACCCCGGCAACACGTCCTACACCCATTCGCTCTGCTACCTTTCCCGAACCCGACGAGGCCGGTGAGAATGCCCAGGCTTCCCATGGAGGTCACGATGCTCCGAACTGGAGCCGGACGAAAAGTGCAGTTATCCTGATGGGTGCTACTATTCTCTATGCAGTCGTTGCCGAGATTCTGGTCGACACGGTAGACGTGGTATTAGACAACTACGCGATCGACCCAAAATTTCTAGGTATCACTTTATTCGCTCTGGTACCCAATACCACCGAATTTTTGGTGAGCACTGCCCCTTCGTGCCCTTCGGGTCCGCTACGTATTTTAAGCTAACCAGTACTGTTTCATTTAGAATGCCATTTCCTTCGCCATGAATGGAAACATTGCGTTATCCATGGAAATCGGTTCTGCGTACGCCCTACAGGTCTGCCTTCTTCAAATCCCCGCGCTAGTTTTCTTCTCTGCGGTTTACCCTCTCCAACCGGTCGGCAACCAAGATCCTACGCACTGGACATTCAGTCTTCTATTCCCACAGTGGGATATGGTGACGGTCATTCTGTGCGTGTTCCTTCTGAGTTACATGTACGGCGAAGGCAAGAGCAACTACTTCAAGGGCAGCATCTTGATCCTGACATATTTGGTGGTTGTGATCGGATTCTACTTCGCCGGGTTTACGGATAGTCAGATGGGCCATATGGGCGCGAGCCGATTTGACACTCTTGGTCCGAATGGCGCTTGGCAGAGCTATAAGACGATTGGACGGGGGACCGGCGGACGGGCATATGAGGCGGGAGTTGATTTTTGAGAATCTGTCGTACACGCGTCACGCTTGGGCTGATGAAATATTCTTACGTTCAAGTGTCGAATGACGTCTGCGGCTGC